TAGAGTTTTGATATTTCAAGGTCAAACTTAAGTTTATCATATTTTTGATTATTAACATCGATTATTTACAAGTTTGAAAGAAAACTTTGTAAATTGAACATGATTAACACTCTTAAATCAACATGAGCTTCAACATGCTTTTAGCCGTGGCAGAGCTAAAGGGTAGCTCTGATTGGCTGCCCACATGGCCTAACTAAACCATGATTGGCTATTGGCCTTGTCAGACAAAGCATTTAAAGCAAAGTCAGGGATTTGGGTTAAGTTTAGGGGACAAGTCACAGTCACACAAAGTTAATTTTGAGAATTTTTCAGGTCGGATCGAGTGTCTTTTACACGCTTCTAACTCAGTAAGTCCACGTGACACAAACTTGAAACTTCCGTACAAAACCCCGGACATTTTAAGGATTTTATAAATTTCCCTGAACAAATCTGGACAGCCCTCAAATAAGAGGACATGTCCGAGTAAAAGAGGAGGTATGGTCACCCTAGTTTACAAAGTCCTTTCTCTAGTCTTAAAACCACTCAAAGCGCTTTAACATCACAGGCTCTATTATCATACCTCCCTGGCGGTGTGGCACAGGCGTAAGTCAGGTCCGCCACGCCGATAAGGCATTCCCAAGCACACTTTGGTATTTTGGTGAGCGGCACAGCCCGACGTAAGTATCCCCCCTCCCCAACTCAGCTCCTGAAATACCACTAGACCAGCTGCACTATGCCTGCGCTGAAAGCTGACCAGGTTTGAATCGGCGAGCTTTCAGCGCACATTCTAAGCTGCCGGCGAGCACAAAAATGCGCCTCATTCCCTCATTGATGGCAGAGGCTGCTATACAAAGCATCCATCAGTTTTTGACTATTCCCATTCACACACTAGCGGGCGTGGCCGGTGAGGGGAAGAAGGGGTCAAATGTCTTTCCCAAGGACACTTCTGTATGTCTCTGAAGACAGCACCTGTTCTGTTGTATTACTGAACAGGATTTGATCTCATCACAGACTTTAGTGCCACATTTCGGTTGTTTGTTGAGTTTACAGCAGATTTCACCTGCGCTGGGGTTAAGTCAGAGAATGGTAGTCAAAGAAATGACACAAAACACACTTAGTCATTTTAATATATTTGTATATATTCATATATTACACATTTAATACAGGCACAATGAGAAATCATAAAGTAAAGACAAAAAGTGGCTGTGATATTGGTAAAAATGTACATTTTATGAGAATCATTTACACAATTTTGCTCTCTTTAAACTCTGTTTTAATACAACATAAAAAGTAAGAAAGAATGTGAAAGTGGAAAAAGGAGCCCTCTGAAGTCTATGTCCAAAGTTTCGTATTTTATCGAGACAGCAAGAACCAGCTTGCTACGACTGAAAACAATTACAGGTTGTTTTTTATTTTTTTTGTGCTATATTTTTAACGCATCTGACCAAAACCACTGATTGAATTAGCTGAGAGGCGACACAGAGCGACATGCTGATTTCTCACTGTGCAACTATCTGGTGCTACAATTTTAGGATTTCATGAAAACTCATTGATTTCGATGAGCTTCAAACATTTGGCTGATTACAGTTCAAAGTCGGATACAAAATTTAAGTTTAACAAACGAGACTTGAGGCGACATTTCGATCACTTATTCCAGGAAAATTATCTGCCTCTGAATTCTTAATGATGGCTTGAGTCTTACACCAAAAATGATATATAAAACATAATAAACATAAAAAAATGGTCATAACACATAACAAGCCCAGCCAGAGTTATTTTTTTTAAAACCTCAGAGTTCAGTTCGCCGAGTGACGCACAGTGTTTGAAACTCCAAAGCTTCCAGGCAACTAATCTCCTGATATGCCGTTTTAACCAACACGTTAACCACCATGAGGACCAGGACATGGCTGAGGTCATGACAAGAGTCGAACACGACACAAAGATACTCCTTTAAGAAGTACGACAACCTCTAAAACAGCGGCCTCCCAGAGTTAAGGCAAGAATGGAGCACCGAGAGCTGAGCATGGCTGATATCCATCCATCGCATAGACTGGACATGCAGTGGACATAGCTAGTATTATTATTATTAGCTATCTTTATTAGCTATTAGTACACATAGTTTGGAAGAGCTAATTTACGTCGTTTGAAAGCAAGAATGATTCATTTTAAGTCTGAGAGTTGTTAGCATTCAGAACAGAGAGCTTCAAGATAAATCTAAAACCAGTTTGGGCACATTTTATTTGGCAGGTGAGTGAAGAGCTAGCGTCATCTAACAAAGATGCTATCAAGCAGAATTTACTTACAATAACGGACTTTTTGATCAGTATTTGAAGGTGAACAGTCACAACAAAGCTAGCTAACAGATTCATTTGTGAACTCAGTTTATTTTGAGTTGGCAGTTTAAGTTTGAGGAAACCATTTAGGCAGTAAATGAACGATTATCAACAATGTCAGCTATCAAACAGTAATGTAAGCTAGCTTAGGAATATTTATCTTTTCTTTATGTTGTCTTTTTGGTTTCTGATCAATAAAAATGTGACGAAATCATAGACATTATAAACGTAGATGCCTCATAGACTGACGCTGCCTATTGGAGCTTACGTATCAGCACGGCCGTCATCTTGGATGGGTCACCCATGCACCGCCAGTGCATTTGTTTCTATTGAGAAAGGTAGGAATGCCAAACTACATATATCATAGCTCCCTGAATTTTTACCTGATTTTCACACGTTTTGATTTGTTACAAACGTCAGAGATGTAGCTATGATACAGGATGCTGTCATACATGAAAAATAACCAAAATTATTTTGTGATTTGTTTTCAATACTACGTTGGTTTTTGCAACCGTTGGGTGCACAAAATATGGGCATAGTTGCTCATTCTCTGTTGACTTTGTTTGGCTCTAGTGTGAGCCGAGCGTAAGGAGACCCATCCAATTTGGCAGCGACGTTGGATTACGCATCAGCACATAATGAGGCGTCTATGTATATAATGTCTATGGACGAAATAGTAGCAGTTTGGCATAATTACACTTTTAATATATCAGCTTAAAACACAATAACGGGCAAAACCCACAGGATCCGTCCGGCTCCGGATCAGATACGCAAGGCTTCTATTTTTGCCGGATGCCGGAGCAGGGCGCATCAATTGAGTGCAGCACGAGCAGCAGCAGAAGTTGTATGCGGTTAGAGTAAAATATCCGGTTAATTTTCAAAATTAAATAAAGTCGATACATTGAACTGTTTTTAACTTGATCATAGGAGAGGCCAGGGTTGTGGGATGTTGGTGTTTATATACACTGATCGGCTTATCTCATTCTATGACTCCCGGGGAAACACGTGATAGCACATAAGATCTCATCCAGTCTCACAAAAAATATAGGTAAACTCGCAAGCACTTCTCCTCCGATGGCTCCGATCCAGATCTTGTGGGTTTAGCCAGAAAGAGGATTTGACGTGAATGCCCACCCTGTGAATTTTAACACTATGAGTCTAAGTCCACTTCTAAGTCCAGTCTATGAACCGCCCATCCTTTTTTACTTTGCTGCTTAGAGGTTCAAGACTCAAATCCCAGCATGCACTTGGTCAGAGGCAGGACAGGTGAGAGATCTCAAGGCAGTGCTGTACCACAGTGAAGAGCCCCAGATTAGTATCAGTATGGAGCAGTTGTGTTAAGGCATTTCAATCATTAATTTGGCCCTTATTGTGCTACGGTGTGTGAGGATGAGGTCTATCGATGAGCTCTGAGTATGAAAACATGAAAAAAAAGAATCAACGATCAATTACAGAAGGCAAAAATGATTCGTTCATTTCTGGAAGACAGCTGGGTAGTAAAAACATTTTTCCCTTCATCATCCAAACAACAGTAGAAAACACGACTGGCACATTGTAGGTGCTTTTCTTTTTTCCTGTGCTGCAGAGTACAAAAAGAAAGTTTGATTCAGGCACAGTTTTCTGTCATCAGGGCACGAATGTGTGATTAAAAAAAAACACTGCCAGTCTTTGTTAAAAAAGGCTGAACTTTGTGTGACGTCCCTTGACTTTTTTTTTTCTTTTAAAGCATCTAACATTTGACACAATGTTTTTACAGTCAAGATCGCTAATTTCCAATGAAGAGGGCTTCAAAATGTAAAAAATACAAGATGACTGAGAGGGGGATTTACAAGGAAAAGTCTCAGACCTCCTGAGGGGCGAGTGTTTGTAGAAAACTCCATGAATTTGACCACAGAGAGAGACGCAGCTTAAATCTTGAAAACCCACATGTGGGTAAAACCTTGACGCACTTTCGTTGCTCATTGAACCACAGTATAAGACGAGGCACTGAGGTCACTTTTTTCTTTTTTTTTGCATTTGTTTGAAAGCACTTCAATGTTGTTTTAAAGGTCGAGCTTGTGCCATGTGAGTGTGTGTGAGTACGTTTTAAGACAGATTCTACCTTCATCGCTTCATTGCACATGATCAGAAAAGACAAATCGTGAGGAGGGGAAGGAGGAGGAGGAGGAGGAGAAGAGGAAAAACCAGTAAACAAAACTGATTTGAGCCGAAACTGAGCTGGTCGAGCAGAATATTCAGCGTTAATATTTACAGATCTCTCTTTCAATTCTGTTTCCGATTCCCTACAGGCTCTTGAAAGATGAGTGGAAAGAGGAAAAGGAGCATTTAAAAGATTGTTAGTGCACTTTTTTCTTTTTTTTTTATGATTTCAAATACAATATAGATTTATATCTAATCCATAAATCGTTTCGGACTATACAAAAGTGAATTGATCAGAAAGCATCATTAGACTTCATATCTACACATTTCCTGAAAGCTCATCGTAAGTTTTTCTTTCGTTTTCTTTCTTTAACAGTGTTCAATACTCAGTGCTGTTTTATTGTAGTGAGACTCTTGCTTTTCCGGGCCAGAAGCACAAATGCGCTCGGATCGATCCAGAGGTTTGGGAAGCCTTGAAAAAATGACAACTTTTGTGTCAAGCAAGATTATTTTTTTCTTTTTTGTAGAGAACCAGAGTGATGAGTCACCTTAGCAATCTGCCATGTAACGTCCTGCAAGAGGGAGGAAAAAGAGTGCAGACGGGGTTATTAGAGCTTTAACGATCTGCCAATCAACATGTACTATTACCAGATACATCTAAGTTTGCTTATTCTGTGAATTTATGAATTAATTTCTTAAAACCAACAATGCTTGAGTTGGTTTTTAAAGCTATATTGTCACATGGTAGATCAGCAGAGTCAGTCAGAGTCAAAAATGAACTGAACTCAGTCTGCAGCATAAAAATATCACAGTCAAGCTTGATGTTTGGTTGAAAATGTACTAAAATGGAGGAAAATTCTTAATCTAAATTCTTAACTTTAGAAAACAGAACTTTTTCAAAGTCATATCTGAAAAATCTGTACAACTGAGTTCACTATATTCACTATATCAATTGTAGTAGCTGTATAATGCCTGTAAGAGGAAACCTTTTGTTCTCCCTTAAACTGAGTTTTTATAGAAGAAACATTTTCAGCAGAAAGACAAAAAAAGACACAAAGCCTCAATGCAGAAAAATCCCAAATGTTAAGTCAATATCATGAGGTAAATGTTATAATTAAAGGGAAAAAAAAGTCAAAATAATGAGACAAAAAGTCAAAACTACAAAAATAAAAGTAAAGATTATGACATACGGCCAAAATTATGAGAAAATAAGTTGTTACATGACATAAAATCAAAATTATGAGACTAAAAATAAATTTATCAGTTAATCAATCATTACTATGTCATTGTGTCTCAAAAGTTTTTCTTAGTGCCTCATAAATATGACCAACTTTCTAGTATTTTTTACTTTTTACCTCATAGTTTTGACTTTTTATTTTTAAACCTGGACTGTTTACCTCAAAATTATGAGACAAAAAGTCAAAATTGCAAAACTAAAAGTAAAAATTATGACATACAGCCAAAATGATGAGAAAAAAAAGTCACAATTATAAGACAAAACTTAAAAATTATGAGATTCAAAGATGTTAAGTGATAAACGTTAAAATTACGAGACTACAAATCAAAACCCACGGAGGAAGAATTTAAAACTATGTCAAATTATGAGACAATATATTTATTAGATAATCAATTAAAACAATGTCTTTGTATCTTAAAGTTTGTCTTAGTGCCAAATTAATATGACCATCTATTAATTTTTTTTTACTTTTTACCTCATAATTTTGACTTTTTTTATCTTCAAACTTTTTTCATCTCAAAACTCTTTTTCTTTGTGTTTGTAAAATTGACTTTTAGCCCAAAATCATGACTTTGACCCCTCAGTTATTGTCACTGTCTTATCATCACGACTAAACAATCAGCCTTCTTTTATTCTACTGACTGAAATGAGCTGAAATTTCTCTGACTGAAAAATGAGAGTTTGGTTTTTTCTTACATCGAGCGCCATCAGCAGTATATCAGTGATACAGAGGGGGTTGCGTACCTGTTGCAAACCTCTTCTTGTTGAGTGAAAGTCTGTATCCTGCCCCCTGCAGCTCCATGTCCACTCCTGACAGAGTGCTCCCGTCGTTCATAAACTGCACCGCCAGGGTGGAGGGGTTCGACGGGCCGTTCGACAACTCAAATTTGGCCCTTAGAGAACCAGCGCCTGGGGTCCAAAACAGAAATGAACTCAGCGATCTCATCTTTACTGAAAAAGTTTTCTACGAGAAGTTTAAACTAAAGCTGTATGCGTGTGTAATTCAAGATATATATTTCCATAATGAAAGTAGCCATTCATTATTTTCTTTTCCTTCATTTGCAGCCAAAATCAGACATAAAGATGGATAAAAGATCTACCGTCATTTTCGGACTTCTCTGAGATGTCAGTCAGCTTCCACAGACACTTGTTCTGCTCCGCGTTCCTAAAACAAGAAAGAAAACTTTTAACCCACTGTGGTGTTTTCATGTTTTCATGCTGGTATAATAAGAGGCACGTCCTACCAGAGCGAGTTGGGCAGAGACTGCATGCTGGTGACTCCTCCGTCGACAGGCACTAAGATCTGGACGTTGGTGAGTGGACCCGGGGTCGCCATGGAATCTGGGTTGTATCGGTAATCCACCCGCAGGTCCGACGTGCTCGGTGTGCACTTCCAGTAAACGGCAAGGTTGAGAGGAGTTGAGTGGATCCCATCGGAGAGCACCTGAACTCAGGGGGGACAGAGAGCGAATGAGAAAACTGAAAAAAAAGCAGCATTGATTTTGAAGAACCACAGTTTTGTATTTGAAGGAAACTCTGAGACGAACAAATTCAAACGGGATTCAAGAAGCTTGAAATTTCCTGGCTGGCCGTGGGCTGACTGACCTGGTATTTGAGGATGTCCACGTTGTAGTACGAAGCTGAGGGATTCTGTTCGGAGGCTTTTCTGAGGTAGGACGTCAGTGCTTGCATGTTGAACCAGAAGTCCTTGGAATTTGAGTCGCTTTGGGAGGGATCACTGGAAATAAAAAAAAACAACAGGTTACACATACGAGGACTCAATCAGACTCTTTATTCTGTCTCCTTTTTTATAAATGTGTGTGAAACTAGTTAATTTGAAGACGTGACCTTGTTTTGCATCAATTTAGACATTGTCTCTAATTCAGTAGGACATGTGTTGTAGTATTTGGGTAACCAAGAGGGACTGGATAATTACATGTTGAAAAAAAAGAGCAGGATGTAATTTTACTGTAAATATTTTAGGAAAAGCTCCAAGGCAAAATTAGACACAGATTTAGGTCAGTATTGTTCAATTGTACTGTACAGTAAAATGAAAACAAACTGAGTTAATCGAGTGTCTTCACACTTTGGTATAAATCATAAATGACTGATAAAACCTTCACTCAGCAGAGGAGGAGTTGTTTTCTTCTCTTCTTAAAGGCAGACCTGACAAATCCTGCATTTTTACTTCATAATAATCTAATTTAAACCAAGTTTAGATCCATTAAATTCAGCTCTGCAGTCGCCAAACTTACTTTTTACAGTGAATCTGAGACCCAAAGAGGACAGATGGAGGAGAATCTCAGATCTTTGTTTCTATCAGAAATTCTTCTCCAGAGATCTTCATTTATCAAAAAGAAGGCGTTTATTTACCCGGCTTATCTGAAAGGGGAAGCTTTTGATAATTTTTTTTTTTTATCTTAGCAGTTTAGCTCCACTAATCTCATATGTTAGCCTTCATTTTTTTTCAGCAAGACATCCAACATTAAATCTTACACACTTGCTGAATGTTTTAATACTATAGCAGTCTTTATAAATGGTGTAATTCACCTTTAATATAGGATATCATACGATATCATTATATTCCCAAATGTAATCAATAACTAATAGGTATTGACTGATTTGAAAAATTTTTTTGTAAATACACCACAAAAAAAGATGCTTCTTTAACACATTCCTGCCTAACCCACCTTTAATTTAATGAGTTTTAAAATCAAACATAAATCTGAATACTTAAAGTGAAGAACTGAAGCCGCATTAACAGTTACAGAGATTTTTGTCAATAAATAAGAAAGAGAGACAGGTAAACAGTTTGTTTTTCGTGCATCCTTCTACATCAAAAAGTGCAGATACTGGACTGAAAAATTAAGATGGGGTCATCAAGGCCGAATTTCTAAAGGCAGCCTCCTGCACGTCATGGGATACTGACTCTGTGACTGCATGTGAGGTAGAATCTGTTTTAAAGCCCTCTGACTGAGACTGAAGAGGTGAGAGGGATGCATGTATTTTAAATGAAGCAGCTGTTTTATGAAGTCGGCTGTGGGCGTGAAGTATTTCAGAAGAAGAGACACGGGCTGCTGAGAAGCCGGCTGGTGGAAAATAGTTCCCTGACAGCGTAATGATAGCTTTATATCAGATTACTAATTGAATTTCCTCTCACTGACGCAGGCGACACTTCCTCAAGTCTCCCAGTCCAAACCACGACTCCGACATCGAATCTGCTCATCAGCAGAGGCGCAGGCTTTCACTTTCATGACTGTGTTTTTTCGTGGTGATGTCTTTGAGATGACTCACCTGAACAGTAGCTGCTGGTTGGGGAGGATCTGCTCCAACCTGCTGGTGTTCTTCAGTTTGAAGGTGAGCACGGCGGGGGAGGGGTTGGTGGTGAACACCTTGATGATGCCCATGGGGAAGGACAGCGTCATGTCTCCTGTGATCTTCACGATGCATCTGTGGAAAAAAAAAAGACAATTAACAAAACTGTTCATTTGTTGACAGTCTCCTGAGAAGAGACTTGACATCCCCCCTCACTTTACAAACTTGTTGGAGTAGAATCATGGATCTCAGATGACTATTCTCTGATTGGCTCATTCAAATAGTCCCTCAAGCTGGTACTAGACTCAGTAACTCATGAAATACACTCCAACAAACTCTAAAGATCATATCCTTCAACTCTCTTTCAATTCAGGACTTTGAATTCTAACCTTGCCTCTCAAACTGTGTCTGTTTAACTCCATTCAGTTACTTTTATGATTGATAAAAGCTAATCGATATGCCAGTTATGAATTACTCAACTGTAAAAGCAAGTAGCTGAGCGTGAATCACACCTTAAAAAGCTTAAAGAGATTATTCTTGCAGAACAAAATGATCTTGATCGCTATAAAGACTCCAAGTACCCCTCATTCAGAGGAGGATCTAAAACCTGCTCTTACAGGGTAAGATGGATCTCAGACAACTTGAGCATGAGCAGACAGCTTTTAGATTTGAGGTCATCTTTGTATTTTTTTTTATAATGTGTTTGGATTAAATCTTTCCGTCTGTTATTCAACAGTTTTTAACATTAAAGTCAACTTCCTGTTAAGTTTAAACAAAATGAAAGAGTTAAGTGACGTCGAAGTTAGCGTATTCAAAAAGTCTAAACAATCCACATAACCCCCGAGTTGACATTTTAAGATGGTGGCGCCAGTTGTAAACAGCAAGCAGAAGCTCCTGTAATGAGAAAAAATAGGCTGCCTTCTACGCCTATGTGTTTCTTCCTTATCCACTGTGTTTGCAGGTTGCAGAAGGACCGCATATTTTTAAAGAAGTTGTTTAGGTTTGGACAAGGCATCCACATCATCTCCTGAACTGTGGACCAGCATCTGTCGTCTACACTCTGATATTGGTTTTGGAGAAGATATTCGCCCACACCATCCAAGATTTAACTCGTCTTCATCTTCTTTTCCTCATCTATGTCTATGCGTTTCTACGCTCTCATATAAATCCTGTATTTGAAAGCTTTCTGGATTTAGGGGGAGTCTTCCTTCTCTTGTGGTGGGACTCAGCAGCGGTGGCCAACAGCAGGTCTCCACCTCGCACCGTGTCTCCGCTGCATTGCTTCTGAAATGTTCCATTTGCTAATCCCTGCGAAAATAAGCCTTTTGCACAGCAGCAATTTAGCAGCAGTTAACCAATAAAAGGCTGTATGTTTTCTCTGCCCCAGACTATAATCGGCCTCATGGAGGTTATCCACTCTGAAAGAATGGTGTCAGACTAACGCAAAACATTCCACACATGCAGAGCGAGAGGCGGTAACACTCCACTCAGAAGCCCTCTGCTGCTGCGTTTGGCAGGATGCACACTGAGCGGAGGACCATGGGGTGCAGATCCATGTACTCTTATGCTTTAAGGTCAAATATGGACAAAAATGCGTATGCGTGCAGGTCTGAGTCCGGGCCTTTGAGCAGCAAGAGGTCATGTGAGACTCACTTAGTGGGATCAGCTCCTTTGAAGTAAGCATTAACCGATTCTGTGAAGGCCACGGCAATGGGCAAAGCATCTTGGGATGCCAGGGTCACAGGGCTGGGACCGCGAGACGTCCCTGAGAATGAGAGAGAGAAAGATTTGAGGTCTGAGAGACAGGTGCAGGTCAGACATTTCAAATCTGGCATCTGGATTTGAGACTCGGATCATGCAAAGATGCAGAACATTATCCAGAATATTTGTATTATTGCATTTCAGTCAGTCATTAATGCATTACAAGTCAGTACAGTCGGTTATTTGTGCAAAAAGGACAAATTACGACAAATTACTTTCAAACATTTGTAACTTCTCAGTTTATAGCGGTTAAATATGGATGTAACGGTACCTCATGAAAATCTGTGTACAAACTACTAAAATCAGCAAAATAAACATAAACTACTGTGTCCTAGACGAACAGCAGAGGGCGTTATTTAAATAGAGGCTCTAAAATAATGCAGAATTTTGATGTGTAATCGTTTTGACTGCTCTCGTTCGTCTTTAATGACTTAAACTGAACAGAGATGGAGCAGCAGCAGGTGAAGTTTATGCAGTGTAAGATGCGCCGACAGTGTTTCCCATACATAGACGATAGCTGGTCGACCACTGAGGTACAACAGCTGAGTATAGTTAGTGTTTTTCTTCCTTTTTAAAAAAAAAAACAGATTTATTTCTGGGCTTTATGGCCTCCATTCAGTGTGGTTAGGGCCACCTTGGAGATTACATCTGCTTTTGATTTTACAAGCTGATGACCATTTTTTTCGACTAGTTATTATTTAAATACTTTTTAATGTTTTTTAATATTTTAGCTATTTCATTTACTCATAACTACAGGATGCAGCAGAAGTACCTTTTTACATCATTTCAAAATAAAAGCGCATTCATTTATTTATTTGAACCTGAAACAAACTGACCTACTGGTTAAAAAAAGGCAAACATAAAATATATAAAATAAAACCCAAAGAAAAAAATATATATATTCACGAGACAAAAAAACAAAACAAACAAACAAAAAAAGTACTTTCCAGAGTAATCGCTTTTAATTTAAAAGGCTTCAATCAACCTCTAAAATAAAAAAAAAACAAAGGTACTCCTTGTAAATTTGCTTTTGTTTTGAAAGGCTTTTAACAACTTCTGGTCCGTTCAGTGGAGGTCTGCAGCCAGACTGCTCTCGATATTTTCACTATCAATCGTACATTACATAATATCAGATGATATAGTACCATATTATATCATACCAAATTGTTTTGTATAGAACTGTAGCTTATTGTATAATATTCTATTATATTATGTTACACTGTTTCGTATTGTACCAAATCAAATACAACTATATTATTGCATCATATTGAACTGTATCATATCATATTGTATCCTCATGTATCATATTAAACTTTATTATATATGTATTGTATCCTAATGTATCATGTTGAACTGTATCATATTGTATCCTACTGTACTGTATCATGTCCTGTACAGTGTTATTTTGTATTTTGTCCTATTGTATGTTCCAGGTATCGTTACATCCCGACTTTAAAACCTTCAAAAGTTAGAAAAAAGGTCAAAACTTGATCATTACATCATGACATCTTTACAATGTTAGAAGTGGATGCTGTTGACATAAAACAACATGTGAGAAAAAGGTGATTATGAGCGGCATACAAGACTCAAAAATGCAATCACAGCTAATTAAGAAATCCTGTTATCCATCCAGCTTCCTCCGGGACACGGATGTTGGTTAGTTTTTGTTAAATTCAGAGGATATCTCTCTCGTGAACTTTTATCATACCTGCTGGTGTTTCACTTCGCTTCTCAAAGGTTGGCAGCTTGGCTATGAACACATCATCCTCTTTACACCGAATTAAAGGTGTAAAGAAGGAAAAAAAGAGAGAGATAAACAAACCCAGAGAATGTGAGGAGAGACGATGCTGACAGTGACATAAATGTGTGATGTTTGCAGGCTGAGATGATGAGCAAAGAGCTAACAGGCGCTAATGATGACGCTCCTAAAATCAGTGAAATGGATGAAGATGAGACACGATGATGGAAAGGATCGTCTTTTAGGGAAGTAAGAGCTCGGAGAGGAAGACTCACTTTGGCTTAGGAGGAAAAAAGGAGAGAGGGAGAGCAGCTCTGGCTCTGGGGAGGAGAGGGGGAGAGCAGAGGTGTGCTCGGCTCCTGTGAGGAGAGGAGGTGAGGAAAGGAGGGAAGGAAGCAGAGGAAAACAGAAGGTTGTTTTGCACAGAAAAGGGTCAGTGAGCAGTGGGAGAAAAGGAGAAAATACAGTCCAAGAAAAGGGAGGTAGAAAGAGGAAGCGGATGCTCACCGACGGTGGGGGTGTTGGCAGCGCTGAGCGAGGCGTTCGAGGACAAGGAGGAGGAGCTCTCTGCTCTGGCGAGTGGTGCTGACGGAGGAGGGCTGGCGTTGGAGGTTTTAGGAGGGCTAAATGGCCGTACCTGATAGAAGGAAGGACAATCAAACAGGTAAGATTCTGTGAAAGATTAGAAAACTTGATTTCAACAGTAAAACACAACAAAGATGGTGTTTCTCTCACAATTTCATTGATTCCTGTGAGTTTCCCGGTGGACAGTTTGGGCCTGGAGGACGGTCGGGGTGGAGGCACCAGGGCGCCAGCTGTCAGCGGGGTTGTGGGCCGGTTTGGCGCTGGTACTACATGAAGAAAAACAGTGAAGTTTTACTGGTTTGTGACAGATAAGCAGCACTGGAATCAGGTTTGAACTAAAGCCTGACAGATCTATTTGTAGGCCGATATTAACAGGCCGATTTCTGCTCGGTTTGGGCCATGGGGATCACATGATTATCGGTAATCCGCTCATATTGGCTCTCCGTAGAGACAAAAACAGTGATAGCAAATCAGGTGAGTCATAAATATCGGCCTTCAAAAAATCCCATATCGGGCTTTGGTGCAAAATAAAGTATTTACTAGTCACAAGAGCACTTCTTTCAAGTTAATGCACGAAACAATCATGCATTTTTACAACTTTTATAAAGGAAAACAAATAAAAGAAAACTTTTGTCAGACATAAAAGTAAAAAATTGAAATATTTCAAACACATTTCAAACCAAATAACACGAAACTCAAAAACAAACGTTGCAAACCAGGCAGTAAGTAAAACCAAAAACCACAAAGAATCAAAAACAACAAAATACAGTCAAGCTTTAGAAACAAAACAAATGCACCTTAAAAGAACATAAATTTATGATCAAATAAAAAGTCAAAGTAAAGCTCCAAACCTCAGGCATACAGCACAGTCTCTAATAATGTTACCATTGAATGTTTTGCCTGATGTAGCTGCAGCCATCGCCCTATCTGTGATCCCTGAGAAGACATCTGAGAAACCCAGGGTGGCGTCCTCTCTGCTGCCTCCAGCTCTGCAGTACGCCTCAGCAGACTCATCCGAGAGGAAGCGACTCGACCTGCCGAACCCAGACTGCGGCCTTTGGATCTCCTTCACTGTCGGCCCCGAGCCCTGACGGCGAGGTGGAGCAAGATTATCACTGAAGGCGATCCACTGGCTCTGGGACCAGGACACAGAGGAGAAGGTGTCCACGCTCTTTGGAGGGCTGGAAGCCACCTGGTTTTTGATGGGGTCGATTGGCTCGGTAGGCAGGGTGATGGGGGCGCTCTGCGCCCTTGCTGGTGCGGGCTTGAGTGCTTGGAAAGGGTTTTCAGGTGAGTCCCAGGGAGAGGATGCCGGTGAGGAGAAAGAGGAGACATCTTTGGACTGTTGGCTCTCTGCTAGGGGGGGAGAGCGCTCGGGTTGGAGCGCCGTCTCAGCTGGAGGAGTGGTGTGATCGACAGACGCCATTAACATTACAAATACCACGTATTCAGTTTGAACTGATCAGGCTTTAAGTCACATGACCACAGAAAAATCCCTGCTCATCAGTTAGAAAATCAACCATCACAAGATAACTGTCTCAGAAACATGAGAAAGTTTAATTTCTGAGTGATGGCTGCAGTTATAACTCACAAGTGTTCAGTCTTGTAATCCTCACCTAACTGTGCCTTTAGTCTTTACAAAGAAGGTCAGGTTTGCTTCTCTAGTTGATAAGGAAGTACAAATACTAATTTAACTCTGATTTAATGTCTTGTTTTTACATAAATACCCATGCATAATGACCATACATGCACCAATCCTTCTCAGTATTAAGTGGGCAGAGAAATAACCCTGTTGAAGAATATTACCATTTACAGACAGGTCGCTCTGACATAAATATGTTCACATGCATTTGAAGGAGTTATACATTAAAATTCAAACATAAACAAACATGCAGAAAACTCTGGATGAACATTTCTAGTTAGGGTCATAAGTTTTCCTTTAAGGCAAAGTCACATTAACTCTGGGTTTCACACATTTTACCTGAAGCCTCTGGAAGAAAGACGTCATCCATCAGTAAAGATGGAGATGAAGGGATTGAAAGGAAGACAGAGGCAAGGTCTAACGAGAAATGTGCAAAATCAAAATAAATACACAAATAAACTCAGAAGGCGTCGTTAAAACAAAATGAAATTCAGTGAACAGAAAATAAATAAAATATATAACACAACATGGATAACTCAAACTCCTCTGTTTCCTTCACTGCAGGTGTAATCTTTTTCAAACTCAGACACTTGACTTGTTGAATGTGTCATGTGTGTGTGTTAGGAGCTGCTAAAGCCGCCTCACTGTACACAGAGAGATTTAACAGGCTCTAAGCCGGCCCTTAAATCCCTCCACCTATCCTAATCAGGGCACCGTGCGATGCTCTTTTGACTTCTAAGCCGAGACCTTTGACAGTAACGAGACACTGTTTGACAACATACGTGCCAGTGGGCTTTATAGCCGACCCGCTGACCTCAACTAGGTGCCAATTAACTGTGGATTACGCTTAACCTAGGCAATGGGTCAGCGCTAATGTCACTCTGTTTAAACACTGGTGTCGAGAACTAAAGCCATGAGAATCACACCCGTTGAGCGGTGTGTTTTAAAACACCGAGACACAAAGAGAAACCGACGGTTTGTGACGGTAGTTTCTTCAAAATCTATCAGCCCAAAGAAAATGTTTAGGGCTTGAATGTGAAATAAAACGGTGCAAATATTTATGAATGAAAAGATCTAATAAAGCAAAGACAAACTAGAAAACTAGAAGAAAGCAACCCCAGACCAAAAATTAAAACCTGTAGTCCCAAAAATTTAAGCTGGGAGGTTCAGTCTAGTAAGAGATAAGTAAACTGACAGTAGAGGTCTGATGATACACTCAATTCAATACAATACTATACAAAACGCTTTGATACGTTATGATAGGACGCAATGCGATGCAGTGTGCCGCAGTACTAGCAGTATGATACACAGTTTGGGTTGATGAGACCGGATAAGACAAGAAGATAAAAAAAGATACGATACGACACAACACGTAATGTTATGATACGATACAACACAACCCGATGTTTTACGATACACGTGTTGTTATGATACGATACGATACAGAGTACGGTTCAATTTGATTCACTACCATACAATATGAGATACAAGACAATATGATATGAAACGCTAAAATATGCTAGGTAGGTAGGAAACACAAATTTATAGTGATGTGACGGGACAAGACAAGAAGATACAATACTATCTGACACCCCTGGATAAAACATGATACGATACGATGCAATGCAATATGATAGGATAGGATAAGGTGATGAGATGGGTCAAGATGAGAAGATACAATACGATATGACACGACATGACACAACCCAATATTTTACAATACGATACAATACGATAGAAAACGGTTCAATTTGATTCGATACCATGACACAATACCATATGATACGCTAAACTATGCTATGACAAAATATCGTACCACACAATATACTATCATGAGACAGGATACACAAACTTATAGTGATGTGATGGGACAAGACGAGATTTGATACTATTTGATACGATATGACATGACATAACCCAATATTGCAGGATACGATACACAAATTGATGAGATAAGACAAGAGGTTACAATACGATACCACAGAATATGGTTCAATTTGATTTGATACCATACGATATAAGATACGACACGATATGATATGATACGCTACATTATGCTATGATGCAAAATGATATGATACGATACAATATTATGGGATATGATGCACAAGTTTAGGGTGATGAGATGGGACAAAACATTACAAGATAAGAAGATACCATACTGATACCATTAGATAACACATAATACGATACGGTACGATATGATATAATATGATACACAGATTTGAGAAGATGAGATGGGTCAAGGCTCATCAAGAACGTATGCTTCGATATCATATGACATGATACGATAACTGTAGATAAGATGTGATACAAAACTATTCCAAAGTCTGGGGTCATGAGGTGAGACGAGACAAATTTTTGATATGATATTTATGAGAAAACTTCTATTCTGAAGTATTTGACTGTTCAAATAGTCTTTAAATGAAACACGTCACTCAATGCTTAATAATGCAGGTCAATTTCAAAGTATGATTACTAGTCATCATGTTGTGACTTCAGTTATACTTCCTGATAATGAACAAGCCATTGTAGTATAAGACATGAACATAGATCTATGCATCATTAGATTCAAACATAACAGGGGCATTTCTGGCTGCTTATCAGCTAGATGTGGACCATTGTCATGCTTAAGCAGGACAAGATTTCATGACACGAGATCTAATCACACCTCTACCTTTTTCTGCTAGTTTTTGGCCCAAAAAGAACGTTAAAATTTTCATTTGTCTGCAGGAGTCAAGATCAAACTGAGCTGCAGGGATTACCTGTTGATGAGGACGCGGACAGACTCGAGCTTCCTGCAAGAGTTGGACTAAAGGGATCCAGAGAGAGGAGGTCATTGTTGGCCAGACTGCAGGAGGAGAGCAGAGACAAGTCAAACTTTGTTGCATTTCAAGATAAAAGCACATCGATTCGCTTCAGAATAAGAAAACAAAGCGTTTCAAAAGCATGAAATGGTGATTAAAACGATGACAGCCGTGCACATTTCCATACTCACTCGTATGTTGTTGGCACTCTGGGTTTCGCCAGCTCATCGCCTGCAGCGAAATGAAAAACAAACAGAAAATTAAAACCCGCAGACTTCCACGGAGTGATGACAGCTAAAACACTTTCACACCAACCGAGAAATGAAACAAAAACCCAACACAAGAGTTTTCATGGGCCCGTATTCAAATTCATTCTCCAAAAGTCATGTTCAATCTTCATCACACCTTAGACCAGGAATATAAACTGAGGTTTGGACTCACACAAGTGAGAACAACCGTCTGCCATGAGAAATCACAGAAGTATATTTGCAGTAAGATTTGGGCTGGATTCAATATTTTCCTTTTTCTACCTCACACAGTGAAAAAAAACTTGATATCAGACCCAAATCCTGCAAAAAAAAGTTCACTTTGAATGTGTTTTTAATGTGATGGTAACACTTCACAACAGGGGATACAGTGATTGTGCAACTGAGAATGAAATAAGGCATTGTTTTCCCCTTTCTAAAGTGTTACCAAACATTACAAAGAACCAGATAAGCAACCTAAAGCAGCACGTAAGCACCAGAGAGACAAAAAAAATAGCCCCAAATGAAACCGTTAATCTTTGTAAACTCTGGAAAAATAAACTGCAGTGAGAGGACACAGTGTCAGTGGTGTTAGCTGGTGTCAGCTGGCTGCAGCGGCCGTGTGAAAGGCTCCGATAAGGGGACAGAGATGAGAGCTGTGGCAGATATTTGGAGAGGGAAGAGGAGGAGGAGGAGGGGTGAAGGAGGAGGCGGGGTTACAGGCTAACTGCTGGAGGGAAAACATACTCACCGGGACCCTTAGCCTTAGAGCTTAATGTAGGTACTGTCTTGACCCCTGAGCGTATGTAGAGTATACATCTATCAGTGAGTGTGTAAATAAATGATCTGAGCTCTACACGCTGCAGGAGGGGAGCATTCAAACCATTCAGAGACACGTTACATCAGACACACACAAGAAGAAATTCATAGAAAACATCCCAGACTTCGCATGATGAGTCAATATTTCATTCTCTTTTTGGACTTTACTGCATAACTCTGCAGCTCTGTATTACATGTTTGATGCATCCTCCTAATTTATCATTTATTTTTTGTTTAATTTACTTTATTCATCATCGTTTAAAGTCCTTTTGCACCAAAAACACTAAATTCTTTGTGGACCTTTTTGGTCATAAATCTGATTCTGATTAAGAAGAATTCTGTTTCTTTAAAACTTTGAATTTGTTTTCCTACATTTTTTGAGTCTAAATGAAAACTCGGCTCAGCAAAATGTTTTATAATTGCTGCGGTAGATTGCTTCATTTCGCAGCAGAGAACAGGCTGTGATTTCTGCAGAGCAATGCTTGTAGGCAACTTTGAAAATACAATTAAAAAACAAAAACTTTGGCCTCCCAGATGTACAGGAGTATCAAGGCAAAATTTGTTTGAGATTTCAATTACAGTGAGTAAATTTGTTTAAAATTAAGTTATAATTTTGGACAATGGAAGCTTATATGTCATACAGAGGGAACATCAGAGGAGCAGCCAGCTCTTATAATAAGATAATGAGGATAAAATCTTATCAGTTAATGAATAAAATCAGAGTTTAACATAAATTTACACAAATAAAGCAGTTATTTTATTCAAATAGAGTGATGTTTAAATTGAAAAATTGAAATTGAAAAAAAAAAAAGGCCTAGGACTCACAGACTGTAACCAATAATAAATATACCTTCATTCCTCTTTCAACTTTAAGTCCAGTAAAATAACAACTTAATTTTGGTAAAACATCAGCTTCAAATATCTTTTTTTGAGAGTCAAAAATCTGATTTTATTCTTGACTTGTAATTATTCTGTTTTGTTCTTCATCAATGTGACCCTTGACCTCTATTGTAAAAAAAAAAAAAAAAACACACCAGTCATGATTTAATGGAATTTCTTCTCCTGCTCTCGTTCGTTTCTGACATTTAAACCACTTGGTGTTCGTGTTTCGGAGTTAACAATGGAACAAATCTGTCTTATTTACTAAAACACAGAAACAAAATCGTCTAATTCTGTATATCCTTTTTTTTTTTTTTAAAGAATGACTGATGAAGTCGGCTGGAAGTGTCTTGTTTTTGCCCGAGCAGGACCTGATTGTTATTCAAATACCAGTATTTTGTAGAGGATCCCTTTAATGATAATAATAACAATAGTAAAGTTGTTCATTAGTCTGTTGAAAGCCATTAAATTCTATTAAAATAAAAATGATTGTTCTACTTCTCAGCGTGTGGGAGATGCTGGTCTACAGCTTCCTCGTGGTTTAGAGTTTAGTGGGATTTAAACCTCCTGAACTTTACAAAAAACTGAACTGAAAACCAGGTAAAGAGGGTTATCTACAGGATTAAACAAATTATAAAAGTCCAGACAAAAGATAATTTTTATATGGTGATCATTTGTGGGAAAGGTTTCTTGAAAACAATCAATAACTTCCTCATTTGCTAACGTGTCCAAAATGCCATTATTCCACACTATGATGTGTTATTAGTGGATTTGCATGGATGTTTTATTTTTGCATGCTTTGCCATGTGTGTGTCGAAGGTTTAAGAGACTCTTGTGAGAGCTGTGATGTGATACTTTAGAGTTTTTAGTCTTATGTATTTAAAAAAAGATGATGTGCATGGACCACGCTGCACAGATCACTCTTCTTTAAACACTTAAAATCAAACTGAGCCTGTCAGAGGAAAAAAACAAACACTTAAACAGCCTTTCATCGATCAGGTCCATTTGTCCTAATAAGTATTTAACAGCTTTCAGTGCCTGTTTCACAGCTGCAGACTGAAGCAAACTACTAGATCAGAACCAAACCTTTCTGTGTCTGTTATGTATTCAGAACCTCCAAAGATGTTGAATATTAATAGATTTCACAGACTGTTCTGAGGATGATACACTCCATCAAAATGCTCTTTTTTTAGGCGTTTCTTGGAGACACAACAAACACAAACAAAACATCCTTTTTTTTTGTTTTTTTAAACAAAGTGCAAGTTTTCAGATGGAAAAGATCATTTCTGACATGTCCAAACATAAACAGCTAATTCAGAAATTTATCTTATTTGTACCACAGGAGGGAAATATCCTTCGAGCTCACATTTACAGAGGAGAACGGTTATTTACTTTTTCTCGGGGACGTGTTGGTTTTGGCCAAGCTCTCTGGATTTTCCCTCTTTAAAGACAACCTCTTTAAAAACAACTCGTGCCAAGAAAAATGGAGCTGAGAAGCTGTACGGTTGACCCCCCCCTTCTTCATACAGGCATATAGAGCACACAGATAGAGAGAGGTCAGGGAGGGAAAATACTTACTGGACTGGTTCCTCCGCATCTGTCCCTGAAAACAAAAACAGACCTTTATTAATCAAAGATGTACGCTAACCGACGGGCTGAACATTTCTGATTTACGAGGGAAAAGCACAAATAAGTCTACAACCTCAATTTCATGCTGCGTAAAGTGTTGATAAAAACAGAAATTCATGGCCTGGAAATGACTGAAAGCCAATGTTTTACTAAAAAGAGTGCTGTGTTTGCAGGCAGTGGTTTTTGAACCCATGCGGCGACTTCCACTGCAGAGTCATGTCTGTTTTTAATGCGGTGCTGCCAGAGGGCCCATCAGTTATTCGCCTTGTTCGTTTTTCTAGAGATTTCTCCAGATTCTCTGAATTTAGATGACTGAAAAAAAAAACTAAATTTGAATCTTCTTAAATAGTTGATTTGTTCACGCAGTCTCTCACAAAGTGTTGAACATGCCGTCTTTACTCCTGAGAGATTCAGCCTCTCTAAAATGCCCTTTCTTTACCAAGTCATGTTACTTACTTGTGTTTCTACAAGTGACTTTTTTTTGAGTGTGAATACAATGCAACATCTGCACATGAGCTGCACTTTCAGAAAGTTTTTACACTTTAAGTTTTGTTGACATGGTCACAGAGGTGATAAATGTACTTTAAAGTTATTATTAAAGATGTAAAAGGTGGTTTTGGTGTCTTCCTTACATTTTTCTTACTTCATTAAGGCTCCTGTGATGAGTTTTTTTTTTTTTGTCGTTTGTTAAATAGCTCAACATACAAAAGCCAAAACGACCGTTAACGATAAGATTGACAATTTTTACAGCAATAATCCTGTTAAAATGGCAGCTGAAGAAACAGCCCTGTTTTTAAAATTCCTACATACATGTCAGGAAACACTCTTCAAGCATGTAGATGAAATATGTGCAAAGACTGTTTAGTCCACAGGGGGCGCCAAAATTGACACAATTCCTCACAGGAGTTTAAACCAACATGAGGGACGGAAGATGCTTCAAACACTTGAATATAAGCGTCTCTTGTCAACCGCCACAACCTCAACAATGTTTCAACAAAAGCTGAAAACATACAGATTATATTAAAGTGTCATTGTTGTTTTGGGTTGCATGAAGTGATCATAATGTTGAGGCTGGTTTGTAAATATTTCTTAGAAGACTAATCAAAAATCTGGCAAATCAATTTAAGAAATAAACACAGGATATTTAATCCCTTTTTATTTACAAAACTCCCTTATAAAGTTATGATAGATATCCAGAAATGTTTCATCCAATAATGACATCACAAACATTCATGCATGTTCTTCTTTAGTTTGACAACACAGGTTGTTTAATGCTGTGGCTGACATATTTTCAGAAATAAAACATCAAAAAAAATGTTGAAACTTAGATTTTAACTTTTTTTTTTTTTTAGGTTTTTAATGATTTTATTGGCATCAAATTTTGTTTTATCAACATTTTCTGTTATAGAAATAGGTTTGTAATATGATACAACACAAATGTTTATACGCCCTAAAAAAACAGCTTTTACAAAGTCAAATTAAGTATTTTTAGAGTTATTCTTTGTCACCACATGTGTTTTTTTTGCCAGTTCAAACTTATTCAGTCCTTTTTTTAAAAACGTAACCATCTGAAACATCCTTTGATAGTGTTTATCCAGCAATATATACTATTTCAAGTGTGGAAACCACAATAAAAATAGAGGAAAAACTCATGGGTTGAAAACTATATAATGAATTATTCCCAGTGGCCGTGGAAATTTTCCACTTCTGAGTTAAAGACAGTAAATCACAGGACTGCTCTCCGCTCACACATACCAGACGTTAAATTTAGGGTGAAAAATTCAGCAGCTCAAAACCGTGAATTGAACTCCAAACACTGATCAGTGAGGGACGTTCAAGAGCGCGCCCCTAACACTTCACCTATTTCCTTTTACAGAAACTTTCCTTTTTTCCCCCCCGGACGTAAATCTGCCGTGTCACGCTGCGCAACACAAGATATGAAAGATAAACTCTTGAGGGTCAGCAACCCAGTGGAAACTGAGAGCATCAATTTCAATAAAGAATTTATTTTCACAAGGAGGAAAGTGTGGGGGGGGTCGTCGAAGAGGGGGAGAAAAGAAACAAAACGGGTTTAAGGAACACGGCAAAAGCGTTTAACCACCGTAGAGCTGTGAGGCCAGGGTTTAGTCCCACAGGCGCTAAGCGGCAAATGGGTTCAATTACGGCTCTTGCCGGCCACACACACACGACTTCCATTGCTGTTTCAATAAAAGGAACACCGCAGAGAGAGAGAGGGAGAGAGAACCGAACAGGAGGAGAAATGAAAAAGACAGAAAAATGAGCACTGAGATGGAGGAGGGGAAAAAAAGAGGAGAAATCTCAGAGTAATTCGCACCAGATGATGCAACGTTTGTCACCACCTTGGATGTGTGTTTTAACTTTAATCCAAAACTTTTCTGTGAGTATAAAACAAAACAGAAAGAAAAAAAAGTGCAATCACTATCTAATGGCTACTCTGGTTTTTTGATGTGAAACACACAAGCAGCGGTCGCTGTTTTCCTCCACTTTCAGGAGCAGAAAGTATTTGTGGGTTTGAGTCTCAACAGCAAGTCAAACCAAACTACAGCAAAGAAAGTCAAACATTTAAAACAGAACATCTCTCCTCTTCCTTCTTAAATTTAAAAAAAAAAAAAACCTACTCTTCTGACTTTTAACTTATCTTTATCATCAACTCTTAAGGGGGAGAAAAAGAAAACATTTGTGAAAAAAAACAGGCAACTAGCCCCGTAAAGTATCCATAAATAACCACATTAAAAAAAAGTCCTGCCCAGAAGAAGTGGGCTCCAATAAAACCAGAGGAGTGAAAGCAAACAAAGAGAGGAGGGAAAAATACCAAACAGAGCGAGGTAGAAGACAAACAAGGGGCGAGGAGAGACGGGGAAGTAGATGCCGTGACACTGCAGCCTGAGAGAGCGGCGGGTGAAACCCACTAGACCCCCTCCGCGACACAGAGCGTGCCCTCTCGGCTGCTCTGCAACAACAACACACACACAAGGTGCACGGTGAATGTTTGCACACAAGCAGTAGTGGGTTTTAATTTTTAATGGCAGCGGCTATTTTCACTGAGAAGGAGGAGGAGGAGGAGGAGGAAGAGAGTGATTCAGAGATTAAGTGATGGTGAGAGACAGGAGGGCTGAATGAACGGCTCCATGACTGAGGTCACGGACCGGACTGTGTCCTGCGTGTTTATGTGTGTGTTTTTTTTTAAGTGTGTGTGTGTGTGTGTGTGTGTTTCTTGCTGCAGGGCGTTCCCTTAAGTGCTTACGAGGAGGGCAAGCTTGCATGTGAGTGAGACTGCAGAAAAGGCCAACAGCATCAGGAACTGTATCTGAAGTTTTTGATATTTTTCTTTCAAGAATCTCACGGTTGTTTTGCGTGAATTTGAGGTCATTAAAAAGTCTGAAAACTTACAAAAAAGAAGAAAATTTGGTGTATGGAATAAATAGATAAACAAAAAAACACCTTTCCAGGGTAAATAGAAGAAGTTGCACGACTAATAGAGCAAAGGGGAAGTGTTCAAACCAGCAGAGGTTTGGTATTCTCCTGTTGCCCTCTAGTGTTGCACGAGTAGACCACACTCCTGCTGCAGCAACAGGTTTCTAATCTCTGTCCGCATACTCTGTCGCCTGTTTTTAGTTTTGTATTTAAAGTCGTACCGAGGTGGAAGGTGAGAGTATGATGTTCCCGATGGAGGCTTTCAGCTCGTCGATGGTGGCTCGGTTCTGATGCGTGCCGTTGTTCGGCTGCACGGGTTTGATCTCAACGTGGAACCGTTTGGGCTCGTCCTCGTCCTCCGAGTCGCTGGACGAGTAGAAGGAGTTCTCTTTGGCATGTGAGGGCGAGAAAAGTTAAGGAGGCAACAAAAACAACAACATGATAAAAACAAAATAGAGAGAGAAAAAAAAAAACATGATAATAAGGGAAAGGATATCGTTTTCGTTGACTTCTGGTCGGATGCAGAAGCCCTCTGCATCCACCTGGGGAACATTCTGCACAGAAAAAAGTGAAAATCAAACTTTGTGGAACTTTTAAAACAAACAAGAAATGCAAGTTTAGAACCAGGACTTTTCTCCTACAGAGACATGCTGTTCTAATATGTGCATCTTACTAGAATATGTGATGTCTTCCTAAAAAAAAAAGGCCATCTTCTGGATACAAAGAGGACACAGTGTCTGGGGGTGTCCCGATACAACTTTTACGATACAACGATACAGTACCAATATTGTAGCCTTCAGTATTGATACCGATATTGATCTGATATTGGCACAAACTTGTGCATAACAAGTTTTTCACTCAGCTGCAACGTCTTTATCGGACTTAAACAAAAAATACTGCCACAGGCCCGACATCACTCCTACTCCTTGGTTCTTTGTTAGTACCTCTTTGTTAGTATCTTAGTACAGATACAGATACAGATAGAGGTGCTGGGGTCGAGTCTGGAATGGACTGCTTGTATTGGCTGATATCAGAGATTTTATATGCAGGCCAACATAATCCCATTTTTTTGCTGATATCGGACTAATGTCCAATATCAATATCGTATTGGGACAGCCCTAGCAGTGTCCAACCTACGATTAATGAGATCACGGCACGGTTTTCTTCTTCACCTCAGTCCATCTTAAACGGCTCACAGAGGAAGTTTCTGGGTCATGTCTAACCTGGATTTATAGATGCAGCAACCCGCTGTGTTTATAGAGACAATTCTGAGCCCATGCGGTGATTTCCACTACAGAGTCATGTCTAGTTATAATGCAGCACTGCCTGACCCGGCCTTGTCCCTCTTGTACAAAGATTTCTCCAGACTGTCTAAAATTATGAAGTTATTTTGACAATCAACATCTTCAGACATGTCGGGTTAACATGATTATTATTAGTTTTTTTTGTTTGTTTAGATTATTGTTATTGTTGTTTTGAATATTCTCATTTTGTGGTTTTGTTTGTTTGTTCTCAGTTTGCTTTCTTGTGTTGCACGCACATGTTCGAAAAAAATATATAAATAAAAAAAATAACAATAACAATAAATAAAACTGAATCGTAAACCTCTTCTTATCTTTACTCCTGAAAGACCTATCCTCTCTGAAATGCTCCTTTATGCTCAGTTATGTTACCAACTTGTTATTTCATGAAGTCAAAGTGTTTTTAAAGAATTGCTCAACTTTTTCTGAGTTTTTTTCAAAAATATGTTTTTCAATGCCAACTTTTTGAATTCAGGGCTTCATATAGACTTTTTTCTGTTGTACTTTGTCTCAGATTACCACAAATGTGAGTATAAAAGACTAATCCATCATCTTTAGATCATCATTATACATTATTGAAGTAATTTGCTTGTTGTGATTCAGTGTTCACTCCGTGTGTTTGTGTGTCGCTGGCTCGCTCACAGCGTTCTGGATGTCGATGGCGCCGTAGTATCCGGGGGGAGCGCCATTGGCAGTGTTCTACAAGCACAAACAGACAGAGATGAATGAATGAATGAATGAACGAGCAGATCTACAAAACAAACAAGAGGGAGCAGAGACGCTGAGAGGGGATGAGGATGAGTCACGTGTTTAAGCAGAACGAAAAGGGAAAAAAAGAAAAATACTCACAGCAGCTTCGACTTCTGTCGACTCCCTGGAAGACAAAGTTTAAAAATCGTGACATGAGGATAGAGCTACGTCACATAGATTGTGCTGCTGAGGCAAAGACAGAGGGGTGTACACTCACGTGGAGTCTGTGTCCTTGTCTTTCCTGCGACCTGGGATGCCGAATGGTTTTCTCTTTCTGGGTTTAGCACCTAAAACACAAATAAAGTTATTGTAATGAATGAGTGGGTTTTAACTTGATTTACACTCTGAATTCCTGACTTTGGATAAATGCAGCTTTCCTGTTTTAGGCGTTTCAAACTTCACTTTCATAATGTGAAATCTATGTGGTCCGTATTTGGGATCATAGAGGACATAACTGTGAAACTCAACAGCTGCAAAATGAGCAGGAGAATAAACAAGAGGGACACAGAGCGGTCTGAAGCGAACTTTACAGATGTTCAACGACTTCTTAATCTTTAACCGTCTTTCTTGATGGTCTGAAAAGCAGTGCAGTCTGTTTTTGCTATCAGAGAAGATTAAACTAAAAAACTTGATAGTTTGTACAACAAGCCAGAGACCGTCTGGTTTCTCTTTTTGGGTTTGGCCGCTTCAAAGTAAAATAAAGTTGTTTTTTAACTCGGTTTCAATAACATGAACACTTTTATTTGCTTTAGATTTTCATCTCAAATCAGCAGAAATCAAACGGTATCAGAGAGTTTTTCCGCAGAGGGAAAAAAAACAGGATCTCAGAGGAACATTTGATCAGCAGACATGGACTGGGGTTTTCAGATAGCAGAGTTGTGAACGATGCAAGGAAAACAGAAATCCAATTTTTTTTAATTACGCTCTTTTTTGCAGCAAAAGTTTGCTTTGTTTTAGACCACCTATAAAACTCATAGACCCATAGAGTGGAGGAATGATGGCGTCCTAGAAACTGAACATCATGACAAAGCCTAAACAGATGCATGCATGTTCTTCTTGAGTTTCACATAGCTGCTAGTTTTCTGAAATACCTGAGGAAACTTGATGCATCCTTTGAGGAACATTTGCTTCCTTCATTTTGTTCCTTTTTACTGAGAAATATATAGTTTCAAAGAGTTTGTATTTGTATTACTTCTCCTAAAAAGTCACTAAAGGTAAGAAGGTACAACAAAGGGTCAGGGTGAACAGATTTCCTGACTGAGTTTGTAAATTTAGAAGGAATAAATCATAAATTTAGGAGATGAAGTTGTGAACTCTCAAGAATCAAACTGTAATTTAGTGAGAAAAAAACAGGATTTATCTAAAGGTCGGCTAAAACCATAAGAGGATATCACAAGGAACATGGATCATCTTTTTAAGTTAAACTCAAAACCCGAGGACTGTGTTTGCCGAAGACCACATTTTTGGACCCTTGCTGTTTTTGACAGCACTATCCGTCTATCACCAAGTACTGCGGTTAAGCGTCGAGATGGACAAGTTAGGAAGGATAATTGACCGTGACCCCAACTGTCACAACAACACAAGGGTCCAGAAGTAAGGTCCTGAAACTGCAGCCTCAGGCGCTCCAGTCCACAGATGAACATTTAGACATTTTCCCCTCATGAAGTCTTTAACCTTTAACTTTAATCTAGTATATTGTCGGTTTCACATTTTTACCACCTTAACCTCATTAATCTACACATTTTTTTGACATTTCTAATAGATGAATGTCACTTCACTAAGTTTTCTTACATAAATTAATATATTTGTAATACTTTATCTTTAATCTTGTTCATTTCAAGTATATTCTTGTTAATCTGAGACTTTATTTCGTCGTTTACAAGTTCCTCCTCGGCTTAAATCTAATAAATATACAAGTTTGTTACTGTGAGTTTAAATTTATGAATATATACTTATTTTACAACTTCAATGTTGCACATTTACAGGTTTATTTCTGTAAATTTATTACTTTATTTCTTTTATATCCCTTTTTTTCTTGTAGATTTATGTCTTTTTCATTGTTAATTCACAACTTTAATCCTGAAATCCTGAATCTAGATTTTTCTCCATCAATTTACTTCTTCTTAAGATATGACATTTTTATTTCCAACTTCATTCTCATTAATTTATGACTTTATTCCTTTGTATATCCCGTCTTTTTTCTTGTAAATTTATGATTTTTACATTGTTAATTTACAACTTATTTCTTGTTTATTTACAACTATAATCTTGTAAATATATCTAGATTTTTCTCCATCAATTCACTACTTCTTATTAAGATATTACATTTTTATTTCCAACTTTATTCTCATTAATTTACGACTTTATTCCTTTGTATATCCTGTCTTATTTCTTGTAAATTTAAGATTTTTTTATTGTCAATTTACAACTTATTTCTTGTTCATTTACAACTTTTATCTTGTAAATTCATCGTATATTTCCTGTTCAATTCACTACCTCTCCTTGAAATACGATATTTTTATTTCCAACTTTATTCTTATTAATTTTAATGCTTCGAGTCCAACCAAGTCCGATGCTTCTGGACTTCAAAAATGATAAAAATTTGCTTCTTGCTTTATTTGCCTGCATATCTGTTGTTACATCATTGCTATAATGTGTGTATTACATAAATACAACACTAAATTCTTGATGCAGTGTGTCGATCCCTGATGTGATAGTGAGTCTTACCTTCAGTTGCAATAGCTGCATTGCACTCCTCAAACTCAATGGGCCCTAATGAGACAACAAAAATTCATTTAGGTTCATTTGGCAGAGAAAGGGTCAATGACCCACTGCTGTGAGTGCTGTGAATGTACATCACGCAATAATCACACACACATACACACACCGGCGAACACACAACATGCAGTCTGGCGTGCCATACCGAGTGTGTATACAAACAGGGCAGGGCTGCTCCCACAGGGCAGACAGGGTCAATAGCAGAGTCAACTGTGTGTCTGGTGGCCCTCACAGAGATGTGACACTCCCTCCTGGGAACGCAAAGCGCTACACAACAGCGCGGAAACGTCCTAACAGAGACGCACGAATCAACACGATCATATAAAGCCGTGCCTGATCGATGCAGGAGGCTTTGGCGTTCCCAGCCACCAGCAGGTAACGAGACTAAACCGAGCTGAAACTAAACCTCCCCGCACGGGACACGCAAATACACTAACCCTATTACAATAAGACAAACAAGGCCAAGATTACATGCAGTGAAGTGTTTAAAGCCACATGAACAAATCTGCTCTCGGGCTTAAGAGATGCCCTCTCCCCTCTCCGTGTCGCATGCCAGAAAAAACAGAGCCTACGTAAAACAAACAAACATAATCAAGCCTGCACGAAGACTCAACGCCACGCAGATAATCGTGTAAAACCTCGATTAATAGATTGAACTAACAAATTGTCACATCGGATCCAAACGGCAGTTTTCATTCCAGCTAGAACGCAACATTGCTTTTGGATAGAAAAGGGGGGAAAAACAACAAAGTTTACACTTAATTGAATGCTCATCAATTATACACATTCACCTCCCAGGCTCCTCCTGTGCACCCTGGGACTGTCACGCTTCAGATGTGCCTCCGGAAACATTAATAGAGGGCTTTTCTTTCTTTCTTTTTTTTAAAGGGGGGACTGCGGCTTTAACGTACACATGCTCACACTGACACACAGACTAAGAGGAAGCTGGAGGAAAAACAGAGGCATGACATGCAATGAGGGTGCGTGTCAATCAGGGGAATCTGGGAGGCTGGGCTGTTGGTGTCTGTGAGACGTTATTATTGTCTATTAGAGAGAGTGACAACTGTGCTGAAACAAACTTCATCTAATTTCTCATTTAATTCCCAACAAATAAGAAAACATTTTTAAGTGTCAAGGCTCAATCCAGCGAATCTTAAGGCATATGGGTGGTTTTTTTATGACGTGCATGAGTAAAAACGACATATAGTGTGCTAAGTATCAAAAGCAGATAACTAGAAAGCTTAATAGCATGCGAGATGAGCACGAGAGGCAAAGGAGAGAGGGAGATGGAGCAGCAGCCTCTGGCAATATTTCCGATATGCCAACATGCCTTGACCTGAAAACAACAAAGCTAATGATATTTTAACTCAAAAACGCATACAGTAGCGGAGAGGCCCCCGACGCGCTCTCTTTCCCCAGAGGATGCCGGTCGCGAGCAGAATTGACGCATTGTTTGGCGTGTGCGATGCCGAGCGAAAGCGCAGGGAAGCGGCGAGTCACGAGAGGCACGCATCACGCCAAGTGAAGTGGATAAAGTACACCAATGACCGATCTACTCTACTGTGCAATATCAGGGCCTCTTCACCGCCGGGCGAGTACACAGCGACGGCACGAATGAGTGTTACAGTGTGTGAGTGAGTGAGTGTGTGTATGTATATATGTGTGTGTGGGGGGGGGGGGTTTATGCCAATCAAAACAAAATTGGCATGCTCGTTCCAGGACTCATGGGAGGAAGTGAGAGGGGTCAGAGCGCTGACATAAACCAGGTGAGAATGTTTGAACACGACGGCGCCTCTTTTGCTGCTTTAATGCGACAAATAAGTCACTTTTACCCAACTTTTTTAACACGGCACAAAAGGAGAGGGAGGAAATTACTGGAAAATTACAAATCCTGTTCTTTATTCAAGCTCTGGGATGTTTTCTAAATGCTAAAGGATCTACGTAAGGCCCAGGCAGAGCAGGAACTCTTCCCCCGCCGGCGTCCCGCGATTGCATCTGACAATATTTATGCACACCAACTGCAAAAAAAGTCCAAACACCAGACAGATGAATATTACCCAAATCTGGACGGACATTAGGAACTGTTTAAACATCTCCTAAACAGACAGACGACTTTGTTTATACAGGGGAAGATGTTTCTTTTCTCTCTCTCTCCTCTCCTCTCTGTGAGGAAAGCATGCAGTCACGCATGACTGGAGGATGGTTTTTTAAATTGCATATGCTTCACATGGCACTGGGAGTGGGAGTAGTACAGAGAGGAGGAGGAGGAGGCTAAGAGGAGGGGGTTTGCGTGTCTGGCCCACCGCCAGTTGACAGCTCAGCTGGATATCGTTGAACACTCCGAACCCCCCTGCCTCGCAGCGTGTCACTTTGGGATTGTTTCCGCAATAGAAAGTTTATTCAACCTCTCTCTCTCTAAAGGCACCGGACCGGCCATCCGTTCAGCTATTTAATCAGGGGACAGACAGGTTATTTTTCTGACAGGGCCGGGGCTGCTGCGCGATCCCTAATGAACAGCTTGATACAAGAGGAATTTTCTGACCGTTTTTTTAGCCTCAATTAATTCTGCTGTCCAAACAAATGAGAGCCACCACTCCTCGGGCACAGCGTCTGGACACAGGGGTCGCCGTTTGTGTACACACAAACACAGCGGAGGTGAACTTTTTGTGCCTGTGACCTCACGTAATGTAGTACAAGTACAGGGACTGGTGGAGTTATTGGAGTTTTACTTCCCTGACTCCAACAGAGCCAAACTGTTGAGTATAATGTATAAAAAAAAATACATAATCTGATGGTTTCTTTTAAAACCCATTTATAATAAAAAATAAGGCAAAGACAACATGTCAGACCTTGACTCTGAAACAGGGGTGTCCCGATACAACTTTTTGACTTCCGATACAATATCTATATTGTAGCCTGCAATATTGACCTATACCGATATTGATCTGATATTGGCACAAAATTGTGCATGACAAGTTTTCCACTCAGCTGCAAAGTCTTATTCGGACTTTAGCGAAAAAATACTGCCACAAGGCTAAACTCACTCCTACTCCTTGCTACTTTGTTTGTACCTCAGTACACACTGTTGTTGTGATCATGTGGGCTCTACATGCTGGATCCGGGCACTGCAAGACTGAAGTGCAGGAGCGGAGTCTGGAATGGACTGCTTGTTTCGGAGTGCTGATATCGGAGGCCTATATAATCCGATATTCATTTTTTTGCTGATATTGGACCGATATCTGATATCAATATCGTATTAGGACACCCCAGTCTGAAAATTAAAAAAAAAATTTAATATGATGCCAGTAACATGTTTTAAAAAAAGACGTCAAAAACGCTGAAAAAATCTGCCTTATCAGAATAATGTTCCTTCATGTAAACTTGTCAAGAGTTTGAGGATTTCATCATCTACGGCACAAAATGTCATTCAAAGCTCTAGAAAATCTGGAGAACTCTCTGCACAAAATCTCTGGATTGCTGGGATTTTGGAGCCCTTTAGATGGCAGTGTGTTAAAAACAGATACGACTCTGGAGTGGAAGTCCCTGCATTGACTCAAAATCACCTCCAAAAACATATTCAGTGAGTATACTTTGTTACTGCAACCGGAAACTAGATAAAACCGTACGATGCGAACAGAGAACCACATTTGAGCGTTATCCAGAAACACCTGTGAGGACTGTCGGACTGGTCGGATGAGTTTAATTTTAACACTCACTGTGGAAATCAGGGAAGCTACAGTGTCTTCTTTAAATACAAGATGGACAGATGAAGAGGAAAACTATTAGGAAATTTGTTTTGTAAATCATGGACGCAGCATCCTCTTCTCTAAGTGTAAAAATTTGGTCCTCTTGGACAAAATTGACACTGCTGCTCTGAAAGGGGAAGGACTATTCAGCTTGTTTGCAGCACATAGTTTAAAGGGGAACATACATATCTGTTGGGAGTGCATAAATGTAATAACATGGGTAGCCTACACATCCATAAAGGCACCATTAATCCCAAACACATAAACATCACATTTAAGTGGATCGCAAATAGGGCTGGGCGATTGACCAAAAATTTGCCACAATAACCTATGTCATTTTGCCCATATCAGTCTATTCAGTGTCAAAAAATTAATGAATAAAAGTTGGTTCTGGATGTGTGTAGGTAGGCTATTGTTGAATGTCCCTTTAAGACGCTGTCCTACATAAGAGACGTGACTCCACCCCATCCAGTCTGTAACAAAGAGGGAAAGACAGGTGAGGAGATGGAGGACGGTTTAAAAGTTGTAGCGGCTGGAGTGGCGGCTGAAGTAGACAAAGTTAATGTGGGAGGGGGTGAGCAGCTTGTGGAGTAGTTATCATCCATTTATTATTATCAAGGTGAACTGCTCAAAATATAGTGATATTGATTTGAGGCCATATTGCACAGCCCTAATCGCAAAACTTCAAATTCTATTTGACTTCTTTGGAAATGGGGTTGTCCAAACTGATTTTATCCGACTGAGTTTTCAGAGTAATTTCAGCAAGAATGTAACATTAACACAGTGGTTCTCAAATCCAGTCCTCGAGCCCCCCCTGTCCTGCATGTTTTGGATGTTTCCCTGCTCCAACACACCTGATTCAAATGATCAGCTCGTTATTAAGCCATTTCAGAGCTTGATAACGAGCTGATCATTTGAATCAGGTGTGTTGGAGCAGGGAAACATCCAAAACATGCAGGACAGGGAGGGGGGGCTCGAGGACTGGACTGAGAACCACTGCATTAACAGATCTGAAAATCAAACTAAAAATCAATGACAAGTCTGTGTGTGTGTACGTGTGTGAATAAGATGAAGGTGAGAGGCGGGGTTAGTATCTGAGGAGTATTTCTTTGACTACTGTGGCATGGAGAAGTTTACACAAGAGTCATTGTTGAGCTCTGACCTCCTGAATCGGTTGGTTCTGGCTGCTTAGTCTGCGCACACAGCAAAGCCCCCCGTGTGTCACATGCTTACTGGAATGCCGAGCCTGCCTACCTTTACAACAGATTACTATGATTGACTCTGATGGCCCTCTCCGACGTCTAATTGCCCCTCTCTATACAGCCCTGGCCCTCCCTCCCAAAGCAGGACCAGAAAGCTTCCTCTCCATGACCGCTAATGTACTTACACACAACACACACACACACACACACACACACACACACACACACACACACACACACACACACACACACAGACACACACACACACACACTGACAAACACACTTACCTGGCCTCTCCTTGCCCGTTCCTTTGCTCTCAGCCAGCTTCTGTATTAAACTTTCCACTGAGGTGTTCTCGATGTTCCTCACAAACTCTTTGTGGACCTTAAAAAAAAGACAAACAAACAACACTTATTTCGAACTCAAGCACAAAAAAGCATCAGAATTTCATCTAAAATCCGCTCCTGCTGCCAGATTTCAGATCGATTTGTTGTTGTGGTTGGGAAATTCACAAAGCTAACACATGATTGATTAATTCAACGCTGACATTCACAGCGATCAATCGGTGTAAAAAGTTTATTGGGTCACTTATTGTGGTCTAATTCTTTTGCAGGGAATGCGGTGGACACACGATGAAGAGGATTTCAGTCACTTCTACTTTTCAGCTGCATGAAGTTATGAATTGCTTTACCAGACTGTCGGTGATTGAATCAGTTCTGGGTAAAGTACAGCCGCTCAAAGTTTGGATTTTGCTGCTGCCGCTCGGACACCGACACCCACAGACAAAATCAGCAGCTTATTCATCACTGCCTCAACTACTAGATTACTTATTTAGTTCCTCATTGAGTTTAAATGTACATTTATCACAGTGTGCCTATAAAGTATTTGATTAAAGATGTTTTAACAGAGTCAAATGTTGACACTCTTTTTGGAAATCATGGGTGTCTCTGATCTTAAGACAGGAAAAACTCCCCGTCGTCCGAAGATACATTTCTATTTTTCAGACGCCTAATCATCACATTGCTGCTCTTAATGAAGATTTAGAGATATGACGTTCAAGAACAAGTCAGTCATTTGAACGGCTCTTTTAAGTGAACGATGTAAACAGGTTCACAGTGGCAAGCTGTTTGTTTGCGAGCCATTCTCATATCTCATAGGCATCTCATGTTTTTATCATGTCTTAATTTTTATCAGTTATCTGTCGCCTACATATTTTTATTGTGCCACAATAAAGTTTTAAAATAGTGATCTCACTGTAAAAAGCACAGAGATATGGCACCCCCTTATGGAATGTTTACAATGAAAACGCAAGACAAATGAAAATCAATATTTCTAAATAATTCCCACCCATGTGAACTCCAAGTTGACCTCTAAAAATAAATAAATATAACAACGAGCCAGTCTTTTGAGCGGCTCTTAAAGATCTGGCTCCCTTCAAAGAGCCATAAAACCCATTTCTTTTAAGTATTACACAGTGAATCTGCAAATAAAGTCTGAATATGCATAATTACACACACATCCTTTTCTAAAACAACTCATTTCCAAACAGTCTGAACAGCGATTTCAATACTGAATGGTCAAAATGTCATGGACTGAGTTGGTAGAGTCAGCGTCACCAGCCCCCAGAGCTCCTCATGAATTACCGCCAACATGCCTGTGCTTGGAGTGCATTGCTTGGTAGAGTGGTTCCTATTTAGTTGAAGTCTACACACATTTATCCCCGTAAATATTCAAAAAATTGCACCAAACTACAAAATACCATTTGTCATTTGTACTTGTTTACATCAGGATAGTATACAAAGCTGTGATATATTGTGCAGTCCTACGCTTTAAAAGGGAGTTACATTAACGCTCCTGTGAGAGACGTCCTGGTATTGTAGATTTGATAGAACTTGCTCTGTTCACTGAAACTGAAACTGAAACTTTAGTTTGGACTCCTACCCTGCAGCAGGGGTAACAGGCACATCAAACTTACCATATAAATATAAAACCATGAATGTGTTTGAGGGTCTAGTCCGCTTTTGTGGCCCATAAGGAGTCATAAATATTAATTTCAACCTGTTTCATAACCAGTTGAAAATTCCTCACATGAGCTTTAAGGTCTGACGTGTCACTACTGTGTCAGACTGATTAAATGAGACCAATGAAAGGCGTTCACCAGCTGATGTCCGTGATTGTGAGGCTGGTAAAAAATAAATAAATAAATAAACAAATAAAAAATAAACAGATGGCTCAACGGGAATCCAGTCAACCATCAAGGAAAATCTAAATAATAAAAACATCTGTTCAACTTAAGAAACTTCCATCAACTCCATCAACTTCCTCATTCCATCAAATACAAAAATAAAAGTGATATTGGCATCTTATTAATCCCTGTTAAAGATATCAGTCAGCCTCCTAAAGGGCCGTTTTTCAGTCGTCTTGTATTCATACCTGAAGAGGAACTCACATTAACTCAAACTGAGTCCAGGTAGCGCCCCTCTCTATCTCCTTCAGATGTGTTCGCAGCTTCCTCTGCACTTGAATGACATTTGCTTTATCACATATTTGCACGTCATAACTGATTAACTTCATTGTGTCGAGCGCTCAGGCAAGTCGGGAGGATTCCGGCGGGTCAGAGTTCAGTAGGACAACTTGATTGCTTCTGACCTTTATGCTTACAGTGGTGTCAAACTATGCCGGCTTCTCCAAGAACGAAGGAAAACACAGGATTAGCATCACGTGTGAGGTGTTAGGTGTGATTTGTTTCATGTTGAACAGGAAGGGAGACAAACTCGGTCTGCTGCGGCGAAATCTCCCCGTAACTCACGCTGATTTGCTTTAATCTGGTATTCATAATATTTATACTCATGACAGCCCCGTGGAGACAAACTGTACTTAACTGTCTTTCTTTTGTGTCAGGCTGAATCATTGTTGTTGGCCCTGTGCTCTGCCAGAGCCCTTTGGGCAGTATCGGAGGAAGGATAGTGTTTGTTTGCTTGTTTGTTTTGGATGTGCATGTGTGCTTGTGTGCTCACTGAGGGGGAAAGTGAAAGCGATGTATAGTTATGGGGATGAAGAGCAGCGGCTGACTGCCATCTCACCAGAACCATTTAGATGTGCGTGATACTGTAAGCGCAGAGTGGCTCCACTTTCAAACAAACACACACGCAGGCACACACACGTATGTGTCTGCCCCCTGGGCCCCTGTGGCGAGGTGGAGTGCATTAGCCCTCTGTGCCCTGGCAGGAGAGGATGTTGGAGGGGGGGGAGTTATGTGGGTGAGGAGGTGGGGGCGGCGGGGAGGTTGCCACGGTGAGGAAGTATGCTCAGCACAGCACACGCGATCTGTCAGGTGCTGCTGCCACGACGGAGGTCATCAACCTCTGATACACACACACATACACACACACATTCTGTCGACCACATGCTCGAAACATGCATCTGCCTTCAAGGGATCCTCTCCCTCTCACACACAGACACAAATGCTCACTTACAAAAACAAACACAACACGCAAGCTATGACACACCTGCCCTTATGTGAGTATAAAGCTCTCCTCCTCTGCATGCACTAATCATGTTTGAGCTGAATTCATCTATATAAGGTCTCATTTTCTTATCCTCAATGCCCACTGAGCTGTTACCACTGTCCGAAAATACCTGCAGGGCTGACGGGAACACTTCTTGATTTTTGTGACACCTGTGGTTGTGGGTACCTCTTTGCTTTGGTGTTCGTGCTCTGAGCATCTCCGCAAAAACTTGTTTCTGAGAGTTTAACACCCGCAAACTGACAGCAGATCCTGTGCTGGACTCAGTATGAATTTAAGATGAGAACAGCTGCTGATTTTGTAATAACCAGAAAAGTCAAAATCAGCTGCTGAACAGTATATAACCGTGTCATCAGCATAAAAGGGGAGCACAGACTCTGATACACATCTAACATCAGATGTGACAGCATCTGGGACAGCATCTTTTTTCTGGGACAATCCTTTCACAGTGATTCTGATGAGTCACTATATAGAGTATTTAGTAAGAAGCTCCATGTTCCTACAGGTGGATCCTCTTCTAAACACAGGCTTATTACTGCCTAAAACAACCATATTCTCTCATAAAATCAGGACTTACTACTTTTAATGTTACTACTTATCCTATCAAATTAGGACTTTTATTCTCATATTACAACCATATCCACCAAATCTCTCTCATTTTTATTAAAGTAACCCTTATACAGTTTTGAAAGAGTACTGGATAAATCAAACCTGATGCAGCAGGACTAGAAATATCCATTTTTGGAGCTTCATGTTCCTCAGACTGGTTTAATCCAGATGCATGTTTCTTAAAACTCTGCCTCCCACATTTTAATTGTAGATGCGTTTGTGTCATGCTAGCAGTGGCTTCTTTAGTCTGGAGTTGCTTATCTCAAGCACAGATTACAAGATTTGAAGCAATTCATCTCCCTGAGAATCCACAGCTAGTTTTTTTTTTTTTCCCAAGCTGTTGAACCCACTGACATTTCTCTCTTTTTCCCCTCAGACGGCTGTAGTAAGAGATTGCTGGCATGAATAAATAACAAACCACATGATAAATAAAGTGAGGAAAACAGGAAACAAGTTTTGAAACAAGTGCACATCACTCATTTAAAGCTCCTCTGAATAACTTTCAGTTTCTGTCAGCTTTGGCACCCCCTTGTGGACAAAGAGCTAACTGTTATTTCTTGCTTTGTACATATAAAAGTTGTATTTTAAAACATGAAACTCATCCTGCTTTTGTTCAACAGTCAAATTTATCACTAAATATGAGTAAACAAGATGAAAAAATAAAATAACTGCTGTCGATTAGCTCACAGCGGTTTTAGGTTTAAAAAATTACAGCTGAGAAATTTTTTTCAGGCTGTTTCTTCAAAAACTCTTCAATAGATGGTATAAGAGCAGGTTGTGCAATGAGATTGAATCAAAAATATCACTCATAGTTATTATATGTTAATTTAGATTGGCTGTTTGGCTTGTTACAAAGTCTGTCAACAAACATAAAAAAACATATCTAAATTTGCTTCATGACGGATGACGAAAAAGGGAGATTTGTGAGTAAATATAAGAAACTCTGACATAAAAGTGTGCCTAGATTTGCTCAATCGTCATATTTTCAAAATTAAACACATTTTCTATCATCATAGACAGCAAATTAAATCTATAACAGCCAATGGCTAGCATCCACTATTATAAATTCTTACTATAATGTGCATTTGTTTGTTTTATAAAATAACATTTTAATCAAAAATAAAATAAAACCAAAAAACCCGCGAGATATCGTCATTTTATATCGGCTTCTGAAAAACTGATATCAGTCAACCACTTTTGCTTGTTTCTTTTTGTGAATGTGACTCATTGGAAAAAGTGAGTTTGGGTGGGTGGAGCTTTTTCCTGAACTCTAATCTCTTAAAACTGCCAAACCACTTTTACTAAATACTTTGAAACAGATCCCTGTAACAGGAAAACTGAGTATAAACCATCATTAAATAAATACAGCTGCAGGAAGCAGGACTTTGGAGCTCCAAGCTCGACCCCTCCTTTCTCAAAGACTCAAGAACAGCAGCAGAAACATCAGGAAAATGACTCAGTGCGTACGTCTTAAGTGTGCGTTTTGTTGCTGTGTAAACATCTAACTAATTCAGCACTCACAGCTACTTATATTTTAAATGCAAGTGTATGCAAATGCACCGTTGTGTTTGTGTGATAGCTTGACAGCAGAGACGCCTGTGGGTTTGGTGACTAAGCATAACATTGCAACTGAGTCAAGAACCGGCTCCAGCGCCCCCCCCCCCCTCCCTCTTCCTGCCCCCTCTCCTCCTTACCTCACCCTGATGTGACAAAAATATGCCAAAAGTTCCCCTCAACCTGATTCAGAGCATTCATTACACATTTTTCTTGGACGGCTTGTGTTTCTCTGTTTTTGGAAAGGCTGGCTTGTCTTCAGGCTGTATTTTATTTCAGCAACAGGCAGCGGTCATGTCCATCTCCTGCTCCAAAGCAGGACCATGAGGCCTGGATAACCTGTGGTAGCTTGTCGCTACAAATTCTTTCCAATTTGCCGCACCAGCTGCTGCAGCTTGGACTTGGACTGGGGTGCTTTTGGTGGAGCTTGATCGCCCTCTGTGGCCATTGAGGGAACTGCAGCCGCAGCATCAGGACAGAGCAGCTGCGGATTAATGAGCGCAGAGCTGCAGATTGGAGTTATTCTGTGTGGCACTGCTGTAAGTGTGATTGCTGAATAAATAAATGAGGAGAAATCTCTGCTTAATGTTAAACGCTGATTAATTCAACTGTGAATGATGTTTGAAAGCTCCACAACTGATCGAGTTTGATGCCGTTACCTCAAATCTGAGCACACTCAGCCAAGTGAACCAGCCTGGGCAGGACTTTCCAATATCAGGCAGGGGATTTAGCAAGTGTTTGGACTAGTGGAGGTGTTTTAGATAGGCCGAGAGGGAGTTTTGATCAGTTTTTAATTGCTTGGCATAAAAGGCTGAATGAACCACTTCCTGGTTCTCAGTTAAACGATTAGCGAGATCAAAGTCGACACTAATTGATATGACACACAGTGAACCCAGTGAGCACAGCCGCAGGTCAACAAGACACCTACTCCACCCACAGGAATGTCTGAGAGGATGTATGCGCTCCCGTGTGAGTCTGTGCTCACCTCTCCTATCTGGACGTGCGTTTCGTCGATGGACTGCGAGTACGACTGGATGATCTCCTTCATGTGGAGGATGTGGTTTTCTTCTATGTCTTGGAATTTCTGCAACACAGACGAGAAACTGGTTACAGAGCGGCAATGCATCAAGTTATACAGCTCCTCAGAATCAGTATCATGGCTTCACTCTCTCAAGCATAAAAACAAACATGCAAAACCAAAGACTGCTTAAGACGTGGAGTTCATGTCTGCATTCTGTCTAATGATCAGCAGGGGGGCAACTCTCCTGGCTGCAGAAAAAGGCTGATTTTGATAAGAAATACTTATTTCACGAGACTTTATCAGCACAAATCAGTTACTTTACTGAAGCTTAACTTTAATATACATTCTGTTAATTTTGAAAATGATGGTCCCAATAAATCAGGGTCACTTTCTGGGTAAAAAACTACATTTTTTTGCTGTCTAAAAACCAGGGGCAGCTCCTGTGTCTTAATTGTGACACAGGAACATCTGTGCTCAGAGGAAGAGTGGGAGGTCTTCTAATCGATCGCTCAGCAGTTCAATAACTCGCCCCTGTGTTCAAGTGACCTTAAAGGAGAGACTGAACCCCTAATTTCTACTGTTAGTTAAGTCATGAGTGTGTGAATCTGTCACTTTCTTCCTTTCTTCCTTATGACTTTGGGGACAGTGAGTAGACCTGTCTCCGAGGACCTGACTGAGTCCCGGACTGAGCTAATGATAAAAAATTCTTTATACAAGGACACATATTTCTTTAATTGATGACACATTGTTGTGTTGTTGTTGTTGGGGTTTTTCTTTGTTTACCCTTCTTTTTCTTTTGTTTCCTTTTTTCCCCTCATGTTTTATCCTTTTCTTGTCATTTTCTACATTATTTGAATTAAACTGATATATGGTTCTATGTAAATTCTGAAAACATAAAATAAAATCTGATTATTAACAAAAAAAAGAAGTGGCCCCAGGATAGATCCTTGGGGAACACCACATATTATTTTCCTGCTTTAATTAATAAAAACTGACACAAAAAAGTCCCTGTCATGTTAATTCAATTTAGTACAATGGCAAAAAAGCCCCACCCATTTTTTTAGTCCATCCAATGTGGTCAGCTGTCTCAAAAGAAGCGAAAAAACAGCTTTTATTTTCTTCTACGGCAGAGATATTTTCTCAAATAACATAAACAAGTGTTGTTTGTTGACAAAAAGTACCTTCGTGTGTTCAGCACAAACTAGCACACTAATAAGAGGAATAATCCACAAGAGATACCACAATGGGAACAATTTAAGGTTTAAAATGCGAGCACTTGCAACATCTGAGCTTTTGAGGTAACCCAATGAGAATGATAATAATAAATCATGAGCCGGAAAATCACAAAACAGGCCCAGAATAAGAAGATTCAAACCACAAACATGGAGATAAAGGGACACTCACTCCTAAATCTAGACTAAAGAAATGCAAATAAGACTCATGTCACTCCGCCGAGATAACAGCTAGCATACGCTTGCAGACAAAGAGAACACATATGTAGGAGCGCCGGTGATGTCACAGCACATGTGTTCAGTGTTTACAGCTCACGTCCACATGTGCTGCGTTTGAGATGAGCCGTAGACTGTGAAACCGGGCGGGGGAAGCAGACGCTTTTTTGAGGGGGGAAAAACAAAAACGCTACGCTAACTCGAACCATTTCTGGTGGCGGTGGAAGGAGGATATGGAGATCAAATTCTGTTGATCTGATTTTAATTTGGAGTTTATCTAATCAGCCATTCAGATGGATCCAATCAGGGATTTCCACAGCGATTCCGTTACGAAGGAAAAAACACAATCTGGAGATGATACAAGGCTCTAAACGTGGAACACACACATACACACAGACACACACATGCAGGGGCTGAGAGATTACACAATACACAAAGTGTTGCATACCACAGAGACAAAATAAAAAAGGGTTTGTGAGGACATATTTCACGAAACAGAACAGTCAGTACAATACCTGTGCTGTTTCCGCCATCTTCTGTTCAAACTCGGACTTGGCTGTGGCATATTTCTCCACGTATGACTTGTAGGTCTCTGTGGCTTTTTTGGCTTTCACTCCAGCCTGGAGAATATAAACAGACACGCGAATGGCTATCATCAGTTTAGATGATACACACAATGGCCCTCTGTTTTTCCCAGATCGAGTGAAAAATCAGCGAGGAAACATCTGAAGGGAAGAGCCTTTTGGGCTTAAGGTTTCCACACTTCATCATGCCTTATTACCATAGCATGATTATGTGTGTGTCTGTGTGTGCGTGACCTCCCACCTTGTCCACATCTCTCTGGGTGGCCCCCTCTTTGCGTAGGCGCTCCTGCTCCACAGTTTTGGCGTTGTAGTTCTCCTTGGACTTCTGCAGGGCCTGGGAGGTGGTCTGGATGTTCTGCACGGCCTCCAGGGTGGACGCCACTTCCTCTTTTGTCTAAAGACACACAAACGTTTCGCATTGTAACTCCAATAAATCCAAGTGTTAGTTGGTGCTTGGGTTTGATTCATCATGGTCCTCATTAAGCTGCTTTACAACAAGAAACAGACTGTTTGCTTTAAAACAAGCTAGAATTAACACTGATGTCTTTTCATGACCAGGAAAAAGCAAAAAAAGACCATCAGCTGGAAGATCAGCTGTTTCTGTTTACCTCATTTTGATTCCTACTGTCATGTCAGACAAGACTTAAAACAGCACATGGATTAGAAGTGCCTAGATTTACATTTACCATGGCAGAAATAAACCCCTAACATAAAGCCAATGTGAATCGTAACCGACTGCAATGCCTGAGTTTTCTATTTAAAAAAATGACTATTCTTACAGCAGAAATTAACATGCTCACTGCGTGCTAAAAAACAAATTCAGACTAAACAGCTCACTTCTTCACACCAAACAACTCTATGATGTACCAGATAAGTTTTAAGCCACTATTTCCAATATAGTAACTGCTGCTCCATAACTCTTTTTTGAGAAAAATCTGTGACATTCAGAGAGTAATATATGGAATAAAATAACGATAGTATCATATAGTATAGTATAGCCGTGTAGTATAGTACGATGTAGCACAGTATAGTTAAGTATAGTGCAGTACGGTACCGTATTGTATAGTATAGTATAGTATAATGTACTATAGTGCAGTGCAGTACAGTGTAGTACAGAAGAATGTACTACAGTATAGTGTAGTATAGTATAGTGTAGTATAATGTACTATAGTAAGCATAGTACTGTTCAGTATAGTATAGTATTGTATAGTATTGTATAGTATAATGTACTATAGTATAGTATAATATCGTATAAAATATAGTATAATGTACAATAGCATAGTAAAGTATAGTGCACTACGGTGCCGTATAGTATAGTACAGTGTAGTATAGTTTAGTGTAGTGTAGTTTAGTAAAGTATAGAATGGTAGAGTATAGTATCATAAAGTATTGTGTAGTATAGTGTACTACAGTAAAGTATGTTACAGTACAATACAATGTAGCATAGTATATAATAGTACAGTACAGTATAGTATAGCACAGTATCGCATTCAATTACAAAGTATCACAGTATCGCAAAATACAGTATAGTACAGAAAAGTGTAGAATAGTACAGTATTTGGTAGGGTACAGTACAGTACAGTCGTGCAGTATAATCATAATATAGTATTACATTATTCTATTTAAGCAATAATATATTTCAGCTTTAAGTATTACACTAATAAAAAAAAAAACTCTCTGATAAAGGCCCTTGTCCACCAATGACATTGCTGCCCCTTTCTGCCGATATGAGCAGCCCATTTCAGGTCTTCTTGTCAGTTAATCTTCAGTAAGTTTGGTAAAAATCATCTGTATTTTGTGCGACTCGGATCTCTTTCTTTGCAGTGCTTTAAACAGAAGAACTGACTTTTTTCTTTCTTGGACTTTATTACAGTTTTTTCATGTCCAAATACATCAAGTACACAAAAAAATAACTCACAAACTGGACTGATTTATTTACTGATCGGCACCACCGGAGGAGGCTTGCATAATTTAGGATATGACTACTTTGTTTTCTTTTGCTCGGCTCAAGTTCGGTCCCATCATTTAAAAGCTCTTGAAGATCACTAATACCCTCTCATGACTAATTTGCAAGAGTTGTTTAATGACGTGACAAAACTCCAGCCCAAGCAAAATAGAAGAAACTGGTAAATCCTAAATTATGAACAAATTTGGACACCTGCTCCATGAAGAGTGTTTATTTTCTGTTATTCACGCTGCTTAACTGCGGCGTGCAAAGCTTGCTGTAGCTGCAAGTTAGCCAAGAATCACAGAGCGGAGAGAGAGAGAGAGAGAGGAAGGGGGGAGCGCCGGGAAGTGATGGAGAGAAAGTGTGACAGCCTTTTTGTCATGCTGAAAGCACAAACACAGCTCCACTAATTCTGAGCTCCTTTTTTAGTTTGTGTTCTGTGGCTTCATGCATGAGATATGAGCTGATGGTCTGACTCAGTGGGGAGGAGAGAGATAGAGGAGTGAGGTGTAATAAAAACTGCTGTGGAGAATAACACTGCACGCAATGTTTTTCCAGGATTAAATCAACTATTAACATCTTATATGTGCTCTCTGTTGCAGGGATGAGGGGTTTTGCATGTTTGCATGTTTAGACGGCAACATAAAGTTCTAAAAAAAGAGAAGTGTGTTTGTATTGGTGGCATTTTAACAGCAGTGGGGCTGCACGATTAATTAATTTTTTTAAACATAATCGGATTATTTAATTATGATGATGTTAAAAAATTATTAGTCAAATCAATTTTCCTCTCAATTATGTCTCATGCCTCCAGGCTACCATTGGCTACCCCTTCCTGCAGGAGGCGATATTTTTTTGTGTAGGACGGTATTGGCTCACCTATGATTGGCTAGAAAAGCTGGAAACGTCATCACACGCTTAAGCCAAACGCGGCCTGTCGGCTCTGTACATCGAACAGAACATTACAGTACATTATCGCACTTCTGTATCTCCTAACCCTGACCCTAATCCTAAAGGTCCTTACACACCGGGGCCGACACGAATATGGAAAGCGAAATTATGAAATATTTGGTGGAGAGTTTTAACGGGCCTGACTATACACAGAGATGAAAGAAAAACTTTTTTTTTTTAAGTGGAGTTTGGTGAGGTTGCCCCCGAATATAAAAAATCAAAATCGAAAATAGAGTTTTCAGTGGAAAAAAATTGGGTTTTTATTTTTGGCCCAAACTGTGCAGCCCTAAACAGCAGTACAGAAAAAACTCAATATCAAACTCAATATTCCTCCTCCATGTCCTTACCTTTTTGTGTGCTTTGGCCTGCTCCTCCACATACTTCTGAACCTCCTTAATAAGCTCCTGTAGTTTCCTCACCAGCTCCATGTGACAGCTGGCCAGCTTCTCCGTGGAGCTCTTGAACACATCCCACACCGGAGCGAAAGTGCTGGGATAAAAAGACGACACTTCAGGGGTGAGAAAGTGTCAAAAATGACTTTTAAAGAAAAAAATTTTCACAGTTTATTTAGAAAACGAGAAAACAGTTCACACTCACCCAAGTTGGGAAAAGTTTCCCGCTGATTTGGCGAGTTTGGTCATGGACCTGGCGTAGGCCTCTTCGATGGTACTCCTGGGACAGAACAAAGAGCACAAACACAGATTGATTAATAAATCTTCAAAAAGCACCAGAATGAACGCAGATTTGCTGTAATTCTCAGTGGTTCAGATCGGTCATGCCCTCTTCCTTTAGAAACATTTGACTCTGTGTGAGTTGATATATGTGGTCAGGCCTGACTTGAGTTCAAAAACCTCATGTTGCGGCTGACACACTGTGAAAGTGAGTGTTTGAATCCCCCCGTTTCCCTCAATTTCCTGTTTTTACTTCGTCATGTGCAGCAAAGCGACAGGAGCGCAAACAAGAAGAAAAAAAAAACTAAAATCTGAGGCAGTGTTATAGTGAGAGTCTGAATTATGCATGTTTCATTTAGCCGGCCTCTCTCTGCAGTTACTTCACAGGAAGAAGGTCAGCCAGGGGGAAACATGCACAAACACAACCAGTGTAAACACAAAAGCAGGTACACACACAGACAAAATCACAACAACAACAGCAGAGAGGACGGGGAGAGCTCCAAATGCATCACATTCTCACTTCCACGTCTCTGTCTGCGCCCAGAATAGAAGTTTATTTTTGTGCTTATCATTAAGTAAAAAACGTCAAAGTTAGAGGAGTTACGTCTGACTTTGAAAAGTCAAAGTGTTTTTTCTGGAGGCTGAGATTATGTTTCTGCCGAGGAGCACACGCACACCTTTTCGACTGATCAAATGTGGCTGTAGACGGGGATGATCGTATCATTCTGTGGGTTAAGATCTTTTGAATTCCCCCCTTGTTTGATAAAGACCTGAAAGATGACAGTCCGGGTCTTCTTCACTTAACCTCACTTAGTCTCAGCTGGGTCACATGCCCCTTATACTGAGGTTGTGCCACAATCCAAACAGCCCTAGTTGCTATTCGTTTTACCAGAACATTGTCATCAGTTAAATAAGTGGTGATAATTAAAGTTAGCTGTATGATCACTAGGGCTGGGCGATTAACCGAAAATTTACAGTTACCAAAATTTAGGCTATGGTCTCATGTCCCTTTAAGACGCTGTCCTACATTGGAGATGTGACTCCACCCCATCCAGTCCGTAACAAAGAGGGAAAGACAGGTGAGGAGATGAAGGACGGTTCAAGAGTTGTAGCGGCTGAAGTAGACTAGGTTAATGTGGGAGGGGGGGAGCAGCTTGTGGAGTAGTTATCATCCATTTATTGTTATTTAGGTGACCTGCTCAATATATCGTGATATTGATTAGAGGCCATATCGCCCAGCCCTAATGACCGCTCCACCAAAGTGATGCTAAACCAGCACAGACACGTGGGAATCAGCCTGCAAGGAGGACTGAAGGCTGGTGGTACAAATAAACCAATTTAATCACTCATACTAAAGAAACTGGACTCAATTTCAACTTCAAATTTCACGTTTTATAACCTTGAGTGTTTTATTGACTTCTTGGGAGTGTAGTCATGTTTTGAATCTGTACGTTGCAACATTTTAAACACTGTCAGAGTGTTTTAAATGTCCTTATTTTGAAGTGGCTGGAGAAAGAAAACATATTTTCTGTGGCTTGCTATTAATAGAAACTGTTCTCAACTCAATGCACAAAGATATGCATGAATAAAACCGCAGCAAACAGGTGGAAACATTTAAAAAAACTCTGTGGTTGCACATATTGTTTCATTTCCTTTTAGTCTAAATAGGCACAGCATTGTTGTTTTGCATACTAAAAGCTACAGCAGCACATCTACAGACTTTGCAGTTAAATCCTATCCTGCACAGTGTTAAAATATTTGGTGAGATAATAGAGAGAGATGCTGTTGAGTAAATCCAAATGAAACTAGAGTCTGCTTCATGAAAACAGGTTATTTTTATCACTTCTTCTAAATCCTCAGCTGCACAGACTAAAAGCAGAACTGAAAGCAGAGTGTGCGGCGATGCTTTTCTTCCTGAAACTCTGCAGCAAAACAACTGCGTGAGCCTCTTTCACTATTGTTTTGGTCACTGGGAAAATATTAACACAGTGCACTTAGAGTTATTCCCCACCAGAGGGCGCCATAGTGTCGTTTTTCTGAAGGGAGACTGACCTGAAAACACAAGACAACTTAAAAAGTGAATCTGAAGTTTTTTGATTTAATGATTCATTTGTAAAGAATTAACACTAACAATCCAGCAGACGGAAAAAGCTGTTAATATTTAATCAAAATGAGAAGCTAACGGGTGATTTATTACATCAAAACGAGTCTGGATGGTTTAAACAATGACCTTCAGCTGTGCAAGAGGTGTAAAGAAAACCGTAAGCAGGAGTCACTTCATGTAGGCCAGTGGTTCCCAAGTCTAGTCCTCGAGCTCCCCCGTCCTGCATGTTTTGGATGTTTCCCTGCTCCAACACACCTGATTCAAATGATCAGCTCGTTATTAAGCCATTACAGAGCTTGATAACGAGCTGATCATTTGAATCAGGTGTGTTGGAGCAGGGAAACAACCAAAACGTGCAGGACGCACGCTTGAGGAGTAGACTTGAGAACCACTGATGTAGGTGGAGTTAAGGTGTGCTTGGACCACTAAAGCTCAAAAGATCGTCCATTAGAGTCATAAAAAAAGAATTTAACTGTCTTAAAACCCTCCAAATATCTCTAAATCACTCAGTACCAAGCGGATCAAAACCCCCCACACACAAGAGTTTATATCAAACAGTCTGAGTGCATTCCTCTCCGTCAGGTGGATGCAGGAATCCGCTGTTGGACTCCAGCGGGAGAACATCTATCATGTGGCAGGTTATAAACACACACCTCTGACACACTGCAGCCAATCTGTACGGTGGGGTTAGGGAGAATTTAAGAAGAGGCTGTTATTATGGAGCTGAGGGTGAGCAACATAATACCAGGTTACAGGTGGACTAAGCTCCTTAACATGAAGGGATCAAGCTTACATTACATTCACTCTCATCAAAGTCTACATCTACTCTTAGTGGAATTAAGGAGACTGTTTGAAGAGCAAACTGTGTACTGGAGAAAAAAAAAACAAGATATATTGATGATAATGTTGGAGAAAACCAACCTGATCACTAATAGACAAACCCTGTGTGGATTTTAGCAGCTTATTATTCACTCCTTCATAATAGTATCCACCCAGTACAAACTCAAACAGGTAGATCAGGTGTAAGTGACAATGAGGCCAATCCAGGACCAACAAATTCAGGTAGTTTGCTTTTTTTTCTTTATCCAATCCAGTCTAATCTGCTTTATTTAAAAAAACACATTTTAAAAAAAACGTTCAAGGTTACCAAACTGCTGCATAGTAAAAATAAAGAACAATCACTGCAGAAAACATGAAGAGTAAAAAAATAAAAGCAGGTAAAAAAAAAAAAACCTTTAAAATGAAGTAAAAACACAAAAGCATGAAAGACATAAAAGGACAGAGGTCACGCAAATGTTATGCTGAAGTAAAAGCCAAAGGAATAAAAATGAGTTTTAAGAGGTGATTTAAAAGTAGAAAGAGTGGAGGATGTTTTAATCTCAAGTGGCAATTCGTTTCACAATTTGGGAGCCACAGGGACCGAGAAAGCTTGGTCGCCACGGGTTTTTAAACAAGTATTAGGGATGACAAGTTGGGGCTGATCAGCAGACCTTAAGGAACATGAGGGGGGTTTAAACATTTAAGGTCAGAGACATACTGTGGTGCTGATCCGTTTAAAGATCTAAAAAACAAACAATAAAATCTTAAAATGAATTCTAAAATTGACGGGAAGCCAATGGAACAACGCCAGAATTGGAGGGATGTGATCATGTTTTCGTTTACCTGTTAAGAGGCGAGCTTTGGCAAGTATCCTGAATATACAACAAGCAAAAGTCAAGTTCATTTTGAAGGGGGATATGTTCTGCCACTAAACCGATCCGCGACATATGTTGTCGAAAAACGAAGTTAAATATTTACATTTAGTAAGAGATTTAATGGTTTGCAGTCCAGTTAAAGTCTCTGTTTCATTCAGAACAGGGTAAAAAGTTTTATCATTTCAACTACTACATACTACTAACATGTTTAAAAAAGTAAGGACAGGGACAACAAAACTCTTAAAAGTTGTGTAATGCTCAAAAAAATACTTGATACTAATATCAGAGGGCATTCAAGTGAGGCTGAATTTCTCAAAAGTAAAGTAACAGATGACGTTCATCAGTTTAAGATTCAGATATTCTCAAGAAATCTCTACTAAATGGACAAAGCCAAACACCAGTAGTGGTTAGCCATGAAATTGGGGCCATACTGCAACTAAAACAGACATAACTCTGGAGTGGAAATCTCCAAATGGGCTCAAAATCACTTCAAAAAACATTTTCTGTGAATCTAGCTTTTTAGATTGTCTACAAATGTGGTTAAAACTGCATTACACAAAGAGGAAACCATCTAAAAATGAGGTTAACAAAGCTGTTTAAGTACCACAACAAACTCCTCTTCAGAAACAAATGAGTGACGTCAGTGAGACTACATCCATATTTTATAGAGTCTATGATAACAGCTGGTGGAAGGGAAGTCAGTGTGTGGTCATCACTTACAGTATCAAACCACTTTTCATCTGCGTCAGTGTGTGACTATGCTCAAGAGAGGCTGCTTCTGCATCACACAGATGGATCAACCTGAGTCCAGGTTCTGTCAGACATGCATGACACCTACACTTTCACTCAGATATAGATACACGCTGTAAATGAAAACCTATGAGGAAAAGGCCTCAAATTATCTGATGTGTGCACAGTACAAGGAACTGGACCTGCAAGTTCAAACTCCAAAATAGATTTAATTACCACTGAAAACCACAGGACAGGGAAGACATTCATTTCATAACCAGACACATGCAGCGTATGGACCATGTTGTTAGCAAAGAATCGAAGCAAAACACTCGAGTTTCAGTCTAAGGCGTCTTACCTTTCTCTGATGAAGTCTGTCAGCTCCTTGGATGATATCTGGCCATGCTTCATGTTATGGTAGAGCACGTCGAAGCCATTATTTTTTTCACCCTGTGTTGCAGAGACAAAAATAAAAAAATATGAAAGATCAGCATCCTGAACAAGCACTGATCAGGACAAACACAAAACCCCTCAGAGACCGATCGGACATCACCGTGAGGGCTTTTTCTACGAGCAGTGCTCTGACGGTCTGCATGGCTTCCAGGTGCGTTTGCAGCAGCTTCTGATCCACCATGCTCATCCTCGCCATGTTTGAAAGCGATGAAGGTTGATAATAGGTTGATAATGTTTACAAACGTGGCAGACCGGGGTTAAACTCGAGCATAAGTAAGAGTGAAGAGCGATTATACAAAGTGAGAGCCAGACGACTGTGCGTGTGTGTGTGTGTTGCTGTAACCATGACACCAGAAAACGGTGTCCTGTTGCACTAATGCTTTACAGACACTCTGAATTATTTATATGAATGAAAAAAATTGCGTTTTACTCGAGATCATCTTTGATAATCATGAATGACTCTGAGAAAAAAATAGCACTGTGCTATTTCTGGTTCTATGTGTATTTATAATTATCATAATAACTTTGTTACTGTTTATGTAATGACTCACTTAAGTTTACACACCAAACAGGTTTCATTAAAACTGGTGACACACCAACCCAGATTTTACAAAAGACAGTTTCACCTTAAACCAAGAGCTGGTTGTTCCCTTTTTATGGATTCTGAGTAGAGGTCGACTGCTATTGATTTTTCAGGGCCGAGACTGACTGATATAAAATATTCAGGAATGAATTACATTGACTGTAAAAAGTGGATGTAGACCAATTATGAGTCTCAGCCAATTTAAAAAGCTGATATTAGACTGTATCGGCTTTTTAACTCACAGATGGCCGATAAAGATGAGTAAAAAGTGCACTACTTTGGCTCCAGAGCTAGTGTGTCCTTCCCTCTGTCTTACTTAATGTCCCGCCCACAACACGACCTGATTGGCTGTAACTCATTAACTGTTAACTTTTCCATATGCTATCTATATTCTATCCTTCAACAAAAAAGGCTGCTGGGGTTCAGGTTTGCTTGCATCTGTGACTCACTTGAATGATCAGTCCGGTTTGAGTGTTCAAAAATGATTTATTGTTCAATAAAGGAAAGAAAACACGCTGATCTGGGTCCAAAACTTTTGCCTTCAACTGAAAAGGCGATATGATGAAATGAGGTTAAAACAGGATGAATGAATGAAGTGGTGAAAAAAAAAAAGAGAAACGGTCAAAAACGGTCAACAGACGATTATCAGGGCTTACCACAACCCACTGTCTGAGTACACCTGTGAGATTTAAATAACCCCCCAAACATCCCAAAACCACACCCTCAGTGACAATCCTGGAAGTGACGAAACTATAGAAATAAAACTTTCAACAAATATATTTTGGCTCCTACAATGGTGTTGAACATTAAATTTTTGATTAAAATTTTTAAAGGCATCAAATCGGATTTTGTTATATTCCTAATCCTAAATTTTGAAAGAATGATTTTCATTTTTAATGCCGAGTACTTCCCAGTTCCAAATATCACTTATCAGTCTCGTGAACTGATGATTATCGGCACTGGTATCGACTGTTAAAAACGAATATGAGTCGACTCCAAGTTCAAATGAGAACAGTAATTAATATTTGTCCCGTCACACTTGACTTGGCTTTGAAATTAAGTCACACAGTTGTATGACATCAAGCCAATCAGACAGCATTGTGGGCGGGGCATTAGGTGTGGCAGACCAGATAGTGAAAACAAACTCAGAGGGAAAACCAAACCAGCAACAGGGGAAAAGTAGTGAGTGTTTCACTTCATTTTATTGAATATCTGTCAAGTAAAACAAGATATAGCCAAATGTTGAATATCGGCCCAGATAATCAGGTCATTACTGGGCAGGATTTTGCCCACCAGTGACCAGAAAGGAGACACATCAGAGGGCAAGTGGCATGTCTGTGACAGAGCCATGATCTCAGAAATGTACCAAGACGATGATGAGTGCGTCATCTGGTATGAAATGACAGTCGAAGCCAACGAAACAAAGTCATGGTGCCGTATTCTTGTGAGCATGTGAAAGAGACTGAAAGTGCTTGATGTGACTACACCTGTATGGAGACTGGCACCCTCCCAGGTGTGGTGAAACCCCGCCCACCAGAGACAAACACAGAACCAGACAAGGGAAACAATTAGCAGGTCCTGAGTGAGTGAGAGGGCGGTCACCCTTTCTTAATCTTTATTCAATCTTTGTTCAAGCATTAACAGACATCTCTTAGGGTTTCTTTCTGTGATTAATAAAGTGGATTAATGTCACTGGAGACATGATCAGCGAATGAAAATATGAGTCCACAGTCTGCAGCCCTTTCTGCAGATAAATTTAGGCCAGTCAGTACCGAGAAACTGCAGAACAAAAATGTCACTTGGTTTGAGATAAGTCGAAACCGTGTCACCAGAGCGGTTTTAGCCCACATGAGCGCTCTGACGCGCTCTTATCTTTAACTGAAAATGTCATCCTTGGTATGTATTTGGGTCACATTATCAAGACCAAAACCAAAAAGAAAACAACTTCAAACAAGTCCAAAAACCATCTTAACACTGCTCGGTTTTCTATCCAGCTATTATTCAGGTTGATTTCTTTATTATTTATCAGCTGATAATTTGTTTTTATCTATTTTCATTTTTTAAAGCTACACAACAGGCCTTCACAAAACATTCAATAGATTCCATAGATTTTAATCTTGTACTAGTGGCGACCCTCCCACACAAGCCAACTGCACTTCATGAGTTTATGCCAAAAATTTTGACTCACTTTTTTACAATGATTTTGCAAAGGTGTGATATTTGTGTCCTTCTGTGCTGTTTCAGATGATTTTGGAAGCATGAGAGGTAAACATAATCGGGGCGGACTTCACACACACACAAATACACACAGCTGTTTAATCTGCATTTATGAATGGGCGACAACAACCTGTGATAACAAACATTGGTTTCTGGAGTGATTTTGAGCCCATGTGGTGATTTCCACCACAGAGTAATGTCAATTTTTAACGTAGTGCCACCAAAGGGCCTTGAAGGTCTTTAGCCAGTGCTAAGTATGAAGCACCGTATATCTCTCCTCCTTTTGCCAGCTCTCTCTCTCTCATACCAAGTCATGTGACTAACCTGTTGCTACTTAATACGTATGGAGATGTTCTAGGGCTGGGCGATAAACCACAAATTTACAGATACCAAAATTTACAACAATAACCAACGCCATTTTGCTCATGTCAATTTATTCGATGTAAAAAAAATGAACAAATAAAATTTGGTTTGTGTGTAGGTAGACTATAGTCTCATGTCTCTTTAAGATGCTGTGACTCCACTCCACGGTTCAAAAGTTGTAGTGGCTAAAGCAGCGGCTGAAAAAGGAGAAGTTTATGTGGTAGGGGTGAGCAGCTTGTAGAGTAGTTATCGTCCATTTATCATTATCAATATATCGTGATACTGATTTGAGGCAATATCGTCCAGCCCTACGATGTTCCTCCAGGCTTGTTTTTAGCATTGCACAACTTTTTCTGTGATTTTTGCCCAAGTACAAACATTTTTTTAAACATCCTGCTGGCATCAAAAAATGCCTGTGGAGAATTTCTTTAAGAGGAGCAAATGACTGTTTGTAATTTAGCAGGTACACACTTGTATGTGTTCATGTGAATATGTTCACATATATAGCCTATATGTATAGACATTTGGATTGAGTTCATTGATATAATTGTTGCTGCCTTTTCTTTTTTTATTTATTTATTTAAATGCTTTTCTTATTTTGTTTCTTTTTAATGTTCTTGTCTGATTCTGTACTCTTTATTTATTTATATATAGAGATATATTTATTTATTTGTATTATATCTGTTCTCTTTCTTCCTGTTCTGTATCCCTAGGGAATAATGGGGAGGGTAGGAAATTATGTGGTTATATCAATATGAAATAAAAAAAAGATGTTTTAATAAATGACTATATACTTTTTTCATATAATAAAATTGTTCTTACAGGAGTTTACAGAATTGAAAGGAATTTTATTAAGTGAAAAAGACAACTTCGCACTCAAGAGCTTCATTGATTACTGCCCTTCAACACAACTATCGCTCTCTTAACATTACAGTTGAAAGGTCAAGCTTATTGGTCATCTCAGCCACATATGTTTAGCAGTAATAAGATACCTACTCTCTACAATTGTCTAACACAGAGTTATTAAAAAACCTTCTACCTTAATGTCAATGAGGAGAGAAAAACACTCTACTTATCTCTATTATTTTACCATGTAACTACCGTCCAGTACATTATACAAACACTGGTTGGATCAGAGGTTTTTATTGTGTTTTTTAGTGGTATACCATAAAAAATTCTGCTAATCAGCATGTAAAGGAATGAAGCTCTGCAGACAAGTACTCAAAATGATGACAGCTACAGAAACTCAAACTCTGACTGAAGCAAAGACTAAAGTTCATCCTCGTTCTTGTCTAAATCTGTGCGACTCTGTTTCACCTCATCCAGAGGCTGTTGCAGATATTTCCTGGTTCCTGGGGCTATCCACAGTCAGCAGTTTGGTACACAGGGTTAGACGACATCAGTGAGTTTGGGCCTTGTTTTTCCACGCTGACCGAGATGAAAGGTCAGGAAGTTTGTGTCAAAATGAAGCTCACGGCTCACTCGAATGGCGCTTTATTTACAGAGCAAATAGACATTAATAAGGAAAACATCCTCCTCTAGATTGAGTGGAGCTCTGAGATGTCCCCCCCAGCTACGTGAAGACAACACGCAAAGACAAGGACCGTAACACCAGCCTTACATAACACTTTCTCTACTCTACATGTGCTGGAAGAAACATAAAGTGACAAAGACGATTGGCCAATCAACCGACAAAACAGGGAAGTGAGTAAAAAACGCTCAAAGCTCCACACAAAGCAGAACAGCAACAGGAAGAGAGTCAAACAACTGCGCTCATGTGGAATGTGATATTAATGAATACAAGAGAAAAAAATACAAACAAACACAGGAACAAGCGAGGGCGTTTTGAAGCTTTACAGCTTCACAGAGTCTGAAAGCAGAAACAGAGATTTCAAAGAGGATTATCCAAGCTCATAAATTAAAAATCATTTCAAACTAGTTTAATTACAACCACAATTACAAAATAGTTGGAATAGTCTGCAAAATGTTCATTAGTAGGGGAATTTTTTTAATTCCTTTAAAAATTCCATTAAATTTGAGCTCATGCTGTGATTTCCACTGCAGAGTCATGCCTGTTTTTAACCAGAAAACAACCAGAGGAGATCACAACCAAACACCAAAGATAACTCCAGATTTTCTCAATATTCAATAAAAAATATTTCAAATTAAAAACATTTCAACCTCGTTTAACTACAACCACAATTACAAAATAGTTGGAATAATCTGCAAAGTGCTTATTAAAGGCAGGATTTTTTTAATTCTTTTGAAAATAATGCAAAGGCAAAATATGAACGGTCAAAACTTAAAAGCTCTGAAATTTGATGCCAACAAGAATGGAACAACAAATCACCTAAAAAAATCATGGGATACAAGAAGAAAGGAAAAAAAACACCTGGAAAAACTAAGTTTTATCAAATATTCAGAGAATTTGGAGCGATCTTTGGTAGTCGGTCGTAATCTCCTCTGGTTGCATTCCTTTAAAAAAAAAAGGTTTTTGAGTTTATACATTAAAAACCATTTCAAACTAGTTTAACTACAACCACAATTACAAAATAGTTGGAATAATCTGCAAAATTGTCATTAAAGGCAGAATTTTTTTCTAATTCCTTCAAAAATTCCATTAAATTTGAGCTCATGCTGTGATTTCCACTGCAGAGTCATGCCTGTTTTTAAAGCAATGCAACTAGAGGAGATTATGACCGACCACCAAAGATAACTCCAGATTTTCTCAATATTTCATTAAAAATATTTAAAATTAAAAACCATTTCATATCCGTCACACTGTAAAATTGTTGAGTGTTATGTTGTAAGCTGCACGCCTTTCAATTTTGCACGTTTCGCTTGATATAAATCCACCCACATTATGACATAATTCAAGTTTCCCATATGAACGGATGTCCCATGTATTGCTGGGAACTTCAGATGCATTTGTTAAAGAGTGGTCCCTCCTCAGTATGTTCTTTGGTTCTGAGTGGCCAGTAGTAATAAGTACTGGTCCAAACAGGTCTCCCACTGATGTGTAGCTTCTAATCCTTTAACTCCTCAAACTTACTTACTTTTTCATTTTATTTTTATTAATGTGTGTGTATTTTGTATTATGTATGAGGTTATCTGCTTTGTTTTCGTTGTTTCAAAATGAATAATTAAAATGAAAGTAAAAAACATTTAAAAACAGTTGCAATAATCTGTAAAATATTCATTAAAAGAAGAAATTTTAAAATTCCTCTAAAAGTACATTAAATTCAAATAAATGCAAAGACAAAATATAAATGGTTAAAACTTAAAAGCTCCTAAATGTGATGCCAACAAGACAGAGACAACAAAACACCTCAAAAAAAAAAAAAAAAAAAAAAACCTGGAAGAACAAAATTTCATCAAATATTGAGAGAACCTGGAGTGATCTTTGGTGATCAGTCGTGGTCTCCTCTAGTTGTTTTGCCTTAAAAACAGGCAGTGTAAATCAAAGCATGAGCTCAAAATCTGTGTTTGCTGCTGCGTTCACAAGCACAGTTCAGAATTGCACCATGTTAAGAGGAAACCACCAGAAATGTCAAGAGGAAACCACAAATGCTTTAGAGATTACGCCGTCTTCTCTTTGCCCAAAACTGTTCGAGTTGGACTGAGATGAACTGAAAAACTGGTTTGTAGTCTGACTGCTGTTTTGGAAATCAGAGACACGATTTGTTGCTGCTCTGAAGAGGAGGTCAAAGTCAAAGAGGAAAACCACACATAAAACCACTTATCCCCCCAAAATGGCACAGGAAACCACATACTAACCAGAAATGATGGTGTGTCTACACCTGGCCTAAGTTTGTTTAAGGTGATGGACTTAGGCGAACTGCAAAACTGGATGATTTTTAATTTCACCTTACCCCACCCCAAAGGGAGGATAACGCACTGAGAGGTTAGCACAGATGTGTCAATCACAGTCTGTTCGCTGCAGAGAGAGCTCTCCGGCAGAGTTCAATGAGAGTGTGTAGGAGAGCAGAGGAGGTTGATCAATATTCACTGAGCCAGTCCCATCACTATGTCTACACTGCCCAGACTGCAGAGGGCTGGGCTAAAGAGGGGCTGAAATTAGTGTAGGTAACAGCCCTGCAACCAGACAGCTTACGTCATGGTTGAACGCGCTCCAACGCTTTTGCTGGGAAGAGTCGTTAACCTCAGCGGCGTGGAAAAAGGTACGCTTTGATGGGAAAAGCAGCAAATGGGATAACTTTTAAGCACAATTTCACATTAACAGTTAAAGTTATTCAATTGTTTTAACACTGACATGTCTATTCATTTGCAGAAACCTGTGGTAACACAACAGCCGAGCGTTTGTTGGACTTAAAAGCAAAGTATAACTCGAGGCAAAGGGCACATTATCATAAATAAATGGGTGATTACCTCTAAGCAGTCCATTAATTATTGATAATGGACAACATGATTGTGCTTGTATCCAAAGACACAAACAGAAAACCATTCATTCATGTTCTGAAGTGTTTGGAAATCAGAGTCTCGGTTTGTTCACGAGCCAAAACTCTCAAGGATGTGACTAATACTTGAAGCAATCATGACCATGCTGTTAGGTTCTTGTGCAACGGTCACTTTGTTCACTACTCTAGCACTAGAGTCCTATGGCCAAACTTAGCAAGAGAGCTAATGCTATGCTATGCTTGCAAGCTTCTGCAGCATTGTATTTACTCGGGGAAATGTACCTAAACCCCCCCAAAAAAGGCTTTAAAATACACACCTATACGATTTGTGGTAACTGGTGTTAAGGTTGCAAACAGCTGACGATTCTCCCCTCCCCCAAAAATGCAAAAGGTCCACCCTAGAGCCAGATTTTGGTGTGTCCCCTCTTGGCAAGTAGAATTTTGTTGGACGTTGCAAACTGTACCAGCTCCACAGGTATAAAAAGTTATAGTCTAGATTAAAATGGAAGAACTTATTCACATTTTATGCAATAAAACACAGATTAAAATAAGAAAAACATCTATAACATATTCCTTTAATAGCCGCACAGGAGGAAATTCCAAAATTACAGCAGCCAAAATACAGATAAAAAAGAGAAATTAAAGAATCAAGAAACTTAAGGTCATAACACTGGGAATGATGCAAATATACAACACGAAATTAAGAAATATTCAGAGGCGAATTTTGACGTGCCTGACTATACACATCAAGCGCGATGCGATTTTGCAACTTTTGAGGGGGGAAAAAGATGTGTCCCTGGTGGAAGCGAGAAGACTGACACAACAGCAGACTGACTGTTTTTCAGCTCTGATTAGACACTAGTGTTGAGATGACTGTCTGTCATGATAGCATGTACTGAGTCGGGGTCAGTACCAGATAAGCACATTAAACTATAATCCATAAACGTAAGTTAACAACCGAGACCTAATGGTGCTGTGACAGCAACGTGGTTGAGTTTGAGACAGTGAAAATACATATGGTATGTTGTATCTGAACAGGTTAGCTTACGAGCTAAAGTTACTTAGCTCAGATGAAAGTTGAAACAAAGATGTTTAGCAAACTGTTAAAGCACGAAAACCATCGTCATATGAGAAATCTGAAGCCATGATCCGCCACAAGTTGTCCTTCAGGTCGTTTTCTTTGTAATGTTTGTGTCTTTTATCAAAAAGCACTCTGTTCTCCGACACGTAAACAATCAGCCAGTCGGCCATGTGGGATATACTGGTGAATCTGACGCTGCAACAACACGGAATCTGATTGGTCAGAAGTGTACACACAGTATGCGAAACTTTAGAAAAATCGACCGTGAAACGAAGAAATAAATGCCGCAATGTCGCAGGATGAGAAAACATCGCTGATGTGAACGCTTGTATTGACAGGATACGGGTTAAAAAAAAATATTGACGTCCGAAATAATCGCACGAAAAAAAACGTTCCCGGTGTGTAAGGACCTTTAGAGTTAAAAAAAAGATATACGAGTCTTATTTACTATATGCGTACAGAATATACATATAATATGGTTCATTGCACACTGAGGTTTCTGTTTACTTTCTACAATGCTGTTTACTGCTTTAAATACTGTATGGCTTTGTTCTTAAAGCTCACAGATAACACTGCATTAAAAACAGGCCTAACTCTGTTGTGGAAATTGTCACACGGGCTTAAAATCACTTCAAAAACCACCATTTGTGAACACAGTTCAACACTGCATCCACAAATGCAGCTTAAATCTCAGACAGTCCTATTGTAACACAGGTAAATGCTGAGTTCAACAACAATTTAAGAGTTAAGACTGCACAGAACTTAACAAATCCTCAATCTGAAACACCATCTGAAAGAGCTGATAAAATCCTCCACAGCGCTCCAGTTATCATGTAACATCTGCCCGGCAGAAGAAGACAGGAATTCAGACCATCTCTGAGAATGCAACACCGGTTTCAATATCCTGCATGCAGGGAATCAAGTGTTTATTGCCTGACAGGCAGTAATGAAACCCATGACATGGAAGGAGAGCTGGCTAATATCTCTGAACAACATTACACTGACATTCTTCTTCGAACAATAAAAGACAAGCGGGATGATGATCTCAGCTGGAAAGACTCTAAACTTTTACTGATTTCAGGGCACTGAAACATTGTTTTTATTCACAAGGTAGTCTGAAGGAAATGGGGCAATTTAAGTATCTTTATTGTCCTGTTAGCTGCTCCTCAAGATTCTCAACTCCTCAATGATTCATTTTATCGCACTTTTACAGACCCTGAAAAAATGGAGTGTACTTGTATCCCTGTTTTTGAAGTGAAAACATTCAGAAATAAAGCGAAGCAACCACCTCTGTGATCGATTTGTGCTCCAGCTGCATTGTTAATCTGAATGGCAAAACTAGACAAAACACTGACTCCCCTGCTGATGCTTGCAGAGAGCAGGTTAAGCTCACACAGGTAATTTCTGGACATTTTCAGGAATTGTGTGCGTTTAAAGTCAAAACTTTGTCAAGATGTGCTCCTCTCACATGCAACGACCAAAAAAAAGGAGGTAGGGCTGGGTGATATGGGAAAAACTTTATCACGATATTTTTTTTCATATCGGTTGATATTGATATCACGATATGAAAAATGAAATTTAACAGTGCTTATAGATAGCATGTCTTTTGCAATACAATAAGCTACCGCATCTGTGAGGTCTTTGTGTCTCTTCGACGTTTTGTCGTAAGGTGTTGCGTCTGAGAAAGCGGACTGAATGGTTCGGCTGTTTCGGCTGCACAGGCGCCATGGGCTGCTTTGCACTTGCTCTGCCCGGGGTTTGTAACCTTCTGCGTGTGGCACTGCTCTATAATTCAACATAATTAGCAGTGCACATTACTCTGCTTCACGTCCGACCTCAAAAAGACAAAACACCTCCACACCACCGATATTTTCGTGCGGGTGTTGTCAATGATGTCATCATCTGTTGAGCCCCCATTTGCATTTCTGTTGGGGGTAGCACTCATTTTCTTTTTTTCTCACCGACATTGCTGTTGGCTACTACTCAATTGTTTGCTACTTGGTTCTAATTCAGCACGATTGGTTCGGCGCGAAGCGGACCCTGAGCAACTCCCCTTTTCATTGACTATTCGTATAGTCTACCAAAACATGGCAGAATGCCGACAATCGAAAAAGGATATTGACCATATTTTATTTTGATATTGAGGGAAATTAATTTTCAATATATATCATTATCGTTTTGTCGCCCAGCCCTACAAGGAGGAAAGAGGACTGGACTTTGTTTGTCCACCAAAATCGGTGCAAATTGTTGTGCAGACAAAGTAAACCACCTCTTTTAAACTGGAGGCACCAAGAAGATCAGCTTTTCCATGGCTGCTTAAGTCAGTGTGGTAAACTGTGTGTGTACTCATCATTTAAGAGCATCAAATGAATTATAGATTGTTTAAAAAGGGGCTTAATAATTTCCACAAGCATTAGAGAAAATAGGAAAAATCCCCATGGGGAAATTTAAAGCTGACATGACGCTTTACAAAAGGTGCAGTGGAAAAAAGTGCGTCTGTACTCACTGAGGAATTCAGGATCATCCAAACACTGCTTTCTCCCCCCACCCACCAAAACAGACTGTACAGAGCCTCCAGCAGACAGCAGTGTGACATCAGAGCGTCTGCCCCTCGGTCATGTGACCAGAGCGGCCTGGGAGCGGTGCACTGAGCTGTCACATCACACAACAACACCAACACAAACCCAACCGGTGTGCTGCGTGGTGAGCACACACAGGTTGGGCTTTGTTTGCAGTATCAACATTCACAACAGCGGACTTGACCATCACTGAACGGTGAGAGGTGTGACATCGAGGTAACTCCCTTTGCATAAACTCAAAAACTGGTTAGCTTAGCAGAAGCTATGCTAGCTCTAAAACCCCTGCTTACACAGAGGAGTGAATGAGTTTAACGCCCAAGTGATAAAAGCTAAAGACAACAACCACTATGGGGCTGGATTTTTGTTTCAAGTGGAGCAAAAGTCAATGTTTACCAAAACCTCTTGACCCCTGGAGGAATATTAAAGACATTTCACAGATTCTCACGGCGCTTTGGAGCCTCACAGGCAGCTCCGCTTTGCAAAAACTTTCCCTGAAAAACAGAATTTTGCTGCTTTACTGCAACGTTTTAAGTCTTAAAGTAACTTGAGGGAGTGTGTCTTAAAAACGTGAATTCAGTATGAGTGAATCTAGCAGACCACACACACTTAAACACACACAGATTCACCGCAGCAGGGAGCAGAATGGCATCCTGGGGCTGTTGGCTGTATCAACACTGTGTGCTTATCACACTGCTATCTTCCCATGACATGCTGGAGGCCAACAGACTCCACATTAAACGTATAAACTTAGCATACTCTGGATGTGGAGACAAATGTGGATCACTAGACCATGTCCTTATGTGAATCTAGACTACTGGTATAACATATATCCAGTATAATCACAACATTAGGGGGCTGATACCATAAATATTGAAAGTATTGATTTTTATTCTTGTAATCTTTGAGAAATTTCGGATTATTGTCTGAGCCATTGGAAAACTTAAAGCTCCTGTAAGGAACGTTTCTGTTGTTTGCTTTTGAATGTCATGAAAAGGCATTAAAAGTTATTTCAGTGTATTTCGTAAAAAGCCAAAAACTCCTTGCAGGAGCTTTAAGTTACACTCTTTGTTGAGTCTTTTGGCTGATATAGCAGTACCGTAACAGGGCTCGACATGTGACCGTTTCACTAGCATTTGCAACTAAAAATAGATGAGTGCGAAAAGAAAAAATGTATTTAGGGGCACATGTGTGCAAAAAAAGAAAAATCAGCTGAGGGCAACAAATGTTTTTCATGTAGATACCGCGGCAAAGTTAGTTTTAGGTTGGATATTCAACGGTCATTCACTGTGGATCTACTGGTGTCTTCTCACTCTCCATAACCTGGAATAACAACAGCAGCGCGGTTAAATCTGCTCAACATCCTCGCTGCCAACGTTGGGTGTTAAATAAGGGACCATCAATAAATTACCGGTTGATGTTCTCAAAAAAGGCTCTTTTCCTTCAATAAATTCCATGTCATGTGACCAATTGACCAAAAATTGATTTCAAATAAAAGTACTAAGGTCGGACGACAAGACACACCTCTATAATTCCCTAATTTGTCCTCTGAAAATAAAACTTGTGTTGAATTTAAAGGCAAATTTTGAACATTTTCTTCAATAGTTTCCATTACACATGACTAATTGACCTAAAATTGATTTCAAATAATAGTACTTATGTCGACCAATAAGACACACATTATTTGATCAATTTTCATTATGCCACTTAAGTTCTTTTTGTGCTCCTTACTTTGTGAAAAAAGTTAGTGTCCAGCCCTGTGTAGTATGTAGAAAAGTGGCACCCACTGAAAGAGAAATGCTCCATCAAAACTGCATAAACCTGCAGGGTGAGACTTGAAGGCATCTGATTGGTTCTTTACACGCAGAGCAATTGCCATGATTGGTCAAAGTTTTTCTAGTCCTGCGGTTGCCACAGATCTTGGATTCTTTTCGTTTCTCTTTCTGAATACGTAATGAATTGACTACTTTCAAGGTGGAAGGACCGTTTCATCCACCATAACAAAAAGCGTCTCTGAACATCATCACCAACTATGCCTTTAATACAAAGTCCACACAAAATACCGATAAATGATTTATTTAATATTTCATTTAATTTATTTTTCCTATTCCAACATTTTTTACTTATTATTCTTAGTCACGCATTTATGATATACGACTTCTTGGTCAGTGCCCAGTGTGCCAATTAAGGTCTGATTGAGGTTCACGCATGTCACAGAAAGGATCCGCAATCATATAATCAGCTCGGTGCTATTTCAGACAGGCAAAGGCCTGTTTTCTTAGTAGTATTTCATTTAACAGATCAGGAAAGGCTGCTTTGTTCACGGGGGCACAAAAATTGAAACAAGTTAAAAACTCCTCACAGGACCTTCGATTTTAACAACTTTTTTCACCTTAATTCAGGGGTTTTGTCATCAATAAGGTCATGCTTGAAAATATAAACATCCTCACAGCTGATACACCAGGTCAATATTTCTTTTTTTTGTCAGTTTTTCACCTGAAGGCCACAGTAAACTGACTGACTCATGCACAAACACAGAAAAAAGGGGAAATGGCCATTTCAGATGTGCAAGTAAAGCGTGTGAGCGGAAATGTTGAAGTCGCAGTGCATTCAAAGGCGACAGCTTTCACTGAAGAAACAACAAAAAACACTGATGTATCACGTCTGGCTCCTAATTCCTCAGGAACTTGTTTACTGAGCTGAGGGGAACGTGTTGTCTTCATGAGAGATTCAAACCCAGATTACGTACAAGGAAAGAGATTTAACTTAAATTCTTTTTCAGACTAGAGAGTGAAACAGTTAAGGAATGAATGACAGATTGGTGTATGATATGAGAGCTTATGATCTGTGCATGTGTGTCCCTGAGGTGATGATTTGCAGTCGGCTCAAAGAGAAATGGATGCATCCCCTAATGCCAAGACTGCATGTGTGAGTGTGTCCTGCATGTTAAACGCACAGCTGATCTTTGCCATCACTGGATTCTCTTGTGGCCCGCTGAGGGGCACAAAGGCCAGATTGAAGAATCAGAAGTGTCTCTGCTCTCCTCTCTCCCATTTAGTTAATGATGAAGTCTCCTTCAGAAGGAGGCTTTATAGATGGACAGTACTGTATTTCTTAACTACTCAGTGACTTTTCCCTGACTAGAGTCATTTTGTGGCTCCAATACCCTTCACCACCTGGACTTGAGGTCAAACGAGGCCAGACAGAAGAGCTGTTTTCCCATGTTAGAGTAAACAGAGAAGTGGTTGAGAAATATGGTGAAATACTGCATCAGGATAAATGCTCTAAGCAGACAATCAGCAACACCTTTTATGTAGTCTGTTTTACCATAATAATGCTAATTACTCAACATCAGATGACAATCAGAGTTGCAAAAGCGTAAAACATTCACAAGCACTGCCGCCGATTCATTGACAAAAGTGTCAGCCTCCACTATGCCAGCTGATGTCACACACCAAAACAATCAACAAACAACTTGACAAGAAGCTACCTGGTCATACGTCTATGTACTGCTTATAAATATAATTTTTCTCTATTTATTTTACTTATTATTCTTAGTCGTGCATTTACGCTATACGACTTCTTGGTCAGTGCCCAAGTCTACGCATGTCACAGAGAATAGATCCTCAATCAAATAATCAGCTCGGTGCTATTTCAGGCAGGCTTACTCGTATTTCAAAAATCCAGTTTCAGTTGACAAACTGGGTGACCAGTGTAGTTAAGTGTTTTATTAGTTGACAGAAAATTAAAACAGTCATCATTAGATGACAAGCAAGACAATATCAACCCCCAATCATATAATCTGGGCAGGTTAGATAACCTTTGAGACAGTCAGTTTGGTGCTATTTCAGACAGGCTAACTCGTATTTTCAAAATCCAGTTTCAGTTGACATACTGGGAGACCAGTGTAGTTTAGTGTTTTATTAGTTGACAGAAAATTTAACGGTCATCATAAGAAAACTAGGAAGACAAAATCAACCCCCAGTCGTATAATCTAGGCAGGTAAGATCAACTTTAAAACATTCAGCTCGGTGCTATTTCAGACAGGCTCATGTGTTAACATGAAATTTCAGCAAAAAATTGATTTCTTTCAACCTAATGTAGACAAACTTATTGCTTTGTCGTCTTAATTGCCAGAAAATTATACAATCATGACAAAACAACGTTTCATTATAGCATATGATATTCTGCTGCAGAGTCCAGACTTACAACTTTTTTATTTACTTTGTTGTGTTGATGTGCTTTTTTATTGATTTCACTGTTCTATTGATGCCTTTTAATTGCCCTGTAAGGTATTGTGCCTGAAAGGTGCTCACAAATAAAATGTATCATTATTCTTATTATTACCTCAAAATAAGATGGATAAGTCAAGATCTTAGGAAAGTAATCAAAGTTTGCTTTTTATTGCATGAAACAAGCACTGATTTACTAAGATGCAAAAATAAATAAATAAATACATTTTTTAAAAAAAGAAAAAAGGGGGAAAATGGTGGACACGGACTCAATAAAATGTATTAGTGTATGGCAACTTTAGGCTTCCGTACAATCCAAAATAAATAATTGAAAACACCCAATAGCCTACTTGACATATATCACTGTATGTATTGGCACTGTAAAACGTAAACAAAGCTCTAAATTTTCAGAGTTTTATGTATATTTATTGATAAGATTTTAAAGCAAAGAAACACCTCATTTATCAGCGTGTGTATGAAGTTTTAAACGATTCAAAATACAACCAGAAGAAACCCCAAAACATGACCTCCTCTTCTCTTACTGTAGTGGTTACAGCTCGATACATGATTTAGCTTGGCTTCTTACAACTATGGCGGGAGTTTCCCCTTTACTGACACTGTCAATTTGCTTTATTTATGCAAGAGACATAAAAGTCTGACCGTAGTAAAACCTGCGGTTGGCACTATCAGCAAAAAAGACAACCTGCTGTAAGTGAGCCACGTCGAATCAGAGGAGAATTGACCTTTAAGCTTCAGCTCCGGAACAATGTGAGGAGTTACGGTTCAGATGTCTGTCTAAGTATCTGACCTGACTGTTTGTCTCGGTATGAACACGGTTTTCGTGTTTTTAAAGCTCTATTCTAACTTACTCAACATCTGGCCTCTCACTGAAACTTCATGACGGTACAGAATGACGCGGCCGGCCAACGGCTGTGATTGACAGCCGAGTCGCCCAATAGCATTCAAAGAAGTGACCATAAACATTCCGAGCCAGCGCGACACGGCCAATTACCGGGAGCGTGGGTGGGTCCATTGAGATTTCAAGTTAGTTCGGTTTCCAGAGGCCCAAACCCCGGGGTGGCAAAATAATAATCGCCGAGGAAATTAAACCATAGCTGGGGGGCTGTTGACCAGTTAGTCTGGAAGCACCGGACACCCGTGCTTAAGAGACAACCTACGAGGCGGCTGATAATGTCCCCTCAGTAAGGCTTGACATGAAGGTGATGTGGAGGGAGCGCAGCAGCAGAATAACACGGTACAGCACCGGTATAAACACCGTGAACAAAAAGCACCACTCACCCAGAAATTCTCCAGGAAGTACGGCGTTATCATCTTGTTTAATTCCTCTCCGCCGCAGCTCTTCAATTTGTTTTACTGCAACTTTTAAAGCGTAAATAATCCACTGTCCTCCCCCCGATTCTGTTGTATCTGCCTTTCCCCGTTTTCCTCCTCTCCCCTTTCTTCTCCCTCCCCACCTTCAGACTCCACCTCCACTCCGCCGTGCCGAGTCTCTTCTCTCTGAGTGTTGTATCGTTCGCGAACGATTCATTCATAACAACCGGATCTTTTAAGTGAACGTACTGAACCGAATCACTTCCTCGAGTGATTCGGTCGTTTCTCACCAGTTGAGCTGAAGTGCGAAACAGCTTTGCCAGGCCAACGAGGGACCCCATGCACCGACGCCTGAATCACTTGGTGAACGAATCACCTATTGAACTACACTCTTGAATCATTTTTGTCGGACAAAACTATCTTTTTTTTTTTTCACTGCTAAATTGCCACCACAACAACTTGCAAACAATAGGACACAGCATGTAAAAATTAATGCATTAAACCTGCAGCGTCCTATCATTGCAGCGGTTTGCAAGGGAACGGCGCATGTTCAATGTGAATTCTTCTAAACGTTGAGTGAACGAATCACTCACTGAGCCCAATTTACAGAGCAGATCTGGTAAATAGCATACCATAGGACAGTACACTTACAACATCATGACTTATAAACAAGTTCATTTTACAAACCTGTTTAACAAAGCAAAACACTCTCGTCTCCCGGTCCCAGAAGCTATGAATTGAACTGAATCCTGAAACGTTCAGCTGTGCATCAGTTCAGGAGGTTTCAGTGATTTGGTGAACGAATCTTTTTAGTGAACTGATTCTAGTGATTCAGTACATCTAAAAGAACTGCTCTGCCCATCACTTTTCTCTCTGGTTTCTATCCGCAGACATAAGCCGGACAGAACAGCGCTCCCAACGGTGGAGGGTGAAACCAGTGCAGACGACGGGGCCGTCGCTGGGTAAAATGCTGCGTTCAGGTGCACCACGAGAAGCCCTGTACTCAGAGACTGAAGTTTCCAGAGAGGCAAATAAAACATGTTTTATGTTCAAGTCTACTGAATACATCAATGAAAAACCAGAGGATAAAGACAAGCTTGTCAGCCAACTGTAATACACAAAATATTCATACATGTGGTCAAATTATATTAACATTTGGGCTTTGAATGTGATTTAGGATGCCACCTAGCCTGCTAATCCCTTTATACAGTCGCCTACTTTTGCAGTGACTAAAAACAATACAAAATAATACAACTGCTGTGAGAAAAGTTTAATATTTGTTATCAGTTGCTCCAAAAAACATTTATTGCCTAAAGAAATCTTAACTAAATATTTTCATTAATTTTCCTTGTAATGTTTCTCTTTTTTTCTTTTAATTTTGACAACTATTTTAAAGCTAAAACAGCTAAAATACAAAAAAATATTTAAAAAATATTAAGAAATAAGTCAACGATATTTTACGGCGCTCTTTGCTTTCATCTGCTGACAAGACTCTCAAGCCTCTGGACTCTGCACCTGCCTGCAATGCCAAATTTTTACTCTAATGCACCTGTAATTGTGTTTTATTCATGTAGATGGGTGTTTCTACTGCCTTTATTATCATACCTATGAAATCTCACTTTAACTGAAAAATCTGGTAAATTAGGGCAGCCTTAATTTTGTCCTTCAGATATGTATATGCTTTAGAGCTTGTATAAATGCTGTATCTTGTCCTTCATGCCTTTTGACGTCATATAATTTGGATGTGGTACATTGAGGAAAATAACTAAAATGTAGTGACTTCTACCAATTGTCCAAAAAATTAGGAACATTTAAGGAAATTAATCAGATTAGCTTTCCTCCCTGAAAAATAAACTTTTATACAAACATGCACCCCCTTTAACAGAGTAATTGAGTATAACCACTCATCAGATTTACACTTTTGTCTTAATATTGGCATTTATGAAGAGAAAAATGCAAAAACAACAGCTTTCACAAATGTTTTCCTGCATGGTAATATTGTGAAAAACACAAAAAGTCAAATACTCGGAGAAAACTCAAGACAAAGAGCAGTACTAATGTAAACAATTTATTGGAACAATGTACAGATTCAAGCAATGGTAACCAGTCACATCCACTATATCATCTTACAAATATTACAAAATTACTACAGTACAATATAGATTCTTTGCATGATCCAAAATATTTGGTGGCCCCAAAAGTATTACTTTTTTAAAATTCAGCAGCTTATTAAAAAAAAAAAGAAAATCAAACCATGTCTATCAAAATGATGTTTTTGCTTCTCTTAGCAAAAAAGATGAAGGCAGATCGTCTAATCAAGATTGAAGGCTAAATGAGAATACAGGAGTTCATTGACTAGACATTCCTTAATATTGGTGGGTGCTTTATAAAATACAAATTTTTCAATAAAGCTTCATAGAAAGTCAAAGTGATATTTGCAAACATTATGTTTGGTAACAATGTTTTTACGTTTTCAACCTACTTCTTTGCATTTAAATTAGGTGTTTCTTTAGATACAGAATACTGTATATCTATTGCAAAACGCCAACAAAGTATTTGCTCTCAAGGCATTATGTGCACTAAATATTAACCATAGTCTTATAACAATCACTTTTGACAATAAAAGCACATAGACTATGTGCAAGTTACCATGTTATACTCCCCCTGCCTTGCAGTTGTAATCAGCTAGCAGTGCTGCACACATAAGGACACTAATTAACACCCATGGTTATCCGTTTCTACTATGATGGGCAAGACTTCAACTAATCTTTAGTTTGTTGAGAGGAGATGCAGAAAAAGGCATACACATTGGGGGGAAATGATAAAACAAATAACACTGAACACAGACAACCTGAGGTCAACACATAGGAAACACATATTCAAGTAGTGAAACACAACTACAATGTATAGCAGCAGTCGAGTCAGAAATACAGCACAGTAATGGTGGGGATAGTTGTGCGTGTTTTGTCGACCTTTAACGGGACTTCTTGCGCACACACATACACACACCCCAACAAGCTGTAATTGCTCTGTTTTTTGCATGCCAAACAGCTGGAATGTGACAAGACAAAATCACTTCAAAACACAAAATGATGTGGCACATACAAGTATTTGCCTCTGTATTCCATGATGCATTATGTAAATCCTGTATTACTACTTTTAATGTTAAATCTAACACACCAGTTATTTCGTATACTCCACATTGTGACTATTTGTCTAAGACACTAAACTGCTTGACAGTCTCTTAACCTCATTTTTATTGCATTAGTTAAATACATTTTTAGCAGCAATTCCTTAATCTGTGAAAACTAAGCTCATATTCGAGGGTTTGGCTACATTGTTTATTTAATGCACTTGCTATTTAAATCTTAAGTGCATTTATAATGTGCATCACAAAGGGTTTAAATACTGCAGTTGTTACTCTGTCCAGCAGAGAAAAAAATTACTGGCTGGGCATAAAAATAAACAAAACAATCCGACAAACTAAATCCTCCCATCGCTCCAACCCATCATGGAATACATTCAGGCCGTTTGTAACTCAAACACTTACACACTTTATAAAATAGAACAGCGCAAACACAACCAGAGACGAGAACATTGTTGTAGTTTCACAGTATTTAAAAACTATACATCCAGCTATGGGGGTAAAATTTTAGGGAGGAGACTCCAGCGACGAAATGTGACGTTATAAAAGCCCCAGTGTTGTAATACATTAATGGTTAATATGTGGTTTTTTAATTGAAGCACCCCTCCCTCCCGGTTTTTCCCCGTTCACACTATGTGTTGGGGTGTGAGGGGCCACCAACATGCAAGAGATGAAAGCATCCAAGTACCCCACGAAAACACAACCACCCAAAACATTATACAGTCATCCCCAGATCATGCTTTTAGCACAAGAAGCCAAACACCCAAGAAAAAAAAAAAAAAAAAAACATTTAGAAAGAAACACATCGGACATTCATTCGATGGACAGCAAGGTTCTCACAGCCGAAAAAAATCACAAAAACCACTAAGACGGGATTTGTGTCGTCATGGTGCTTCTCCTTCATTTCTCGTCCTCACAAATAGAAAGGATTGTAAAGCAGTTAAAGCTCCTGCAATGCCTGCTGATGAACGACCAGGACACGTACACGCCACAAAACCGAACCTCAACGTCACATCACAGCCAAGATTTTCCTAAAATTTCCGCGTGTGTAAACCCCAGTCATGCTACACTACAGCTAAACTGCTGTAATACTCTGGTAAAAAGGAAATGAAAAAAGAAGTGTAAATAGAGAAAGTACAAGGTTAAAGAAGAACCTTATCACAGGGCTGACGACGGCTCTCAAACGCAACACACATCACTAATGTTCCACAGCTTATCACAATGATACAAGCATGCTACAAACTCCCAGAGAAGCTGCTCTTAAAAGAAACTCTTGTGCTCTTTAGTGACACGGTTAACAGCCTTTGCCCTGCTAAAGAATAAGATCACTGAAATTAATCTGAAAACCTATTAATGATAACTTACTCTTGTTGATATGCAGCATTTTTAAAACTAAATCCTTCAGGTTACATCTTCCAATATGATGTTTCCAAGCTTTAGCTGCTAGGTTTAAGCTATCTAGAGAAAGTGTCTCTTGATGAACCTCTAACTTAACTCCACTGGTAGAATTCAGACCTAACAGGAATAAAGTGCCAATAACCTGGCTTATATTACCATGAATCCGCTCCTAGAAACTGTTTCTGCTCCTCTCTTAACCATAAATCAAAGAGCAAATGCTTTACAGAGTTTTGCAACTTTCATTCCATATCTGCTCCCATGTCTTTTCAGTAGCTCAGGTAACAGGAAATAAGATGCTTGTGGGATAAATGGAGAGAAAAAAAGGTAATAAAGTTCATTGTTTCTGACAGAGATGTGATAAGATGAATTTTCCTCCCATGATAAGGTTGTTCTGCCAGTCCCTCCCTCCCCGCCACCTTGCCTGTGCATGGGGGAACTGAGCACTGCAGCTACCACCTCCCTCCCACCCCCGTACGTCAGGTCGGGGAGGGGTCAGCACCCCTTCCCTCCCCCTCAGCAGGCAGACCCTTCCCCCCGATAAAGGGTAACGTGTTCCCTGGGTAAAAGAGGTTCCCTATGTTGTCTCCCATGGCGGATGACCTGGGGAAACAGAGAGAAAGTCATCCTAAGGGACTGTGTCGACACAAATAAACCCCACAGTGTTTCATGAAACTGAACAAAATCCTCAACCTTTTCAGAGATAGTGTCGTACTGAAAAATGAGTTATTCTACACAAGGACAAATTTAAGAAAATCCTAATGAAAGCAGAACATGGAGGTATATTGCTTTAATCTATGTGCAGTACATTTCTACATGTATGTCTGACCAATAACAGCCTAATCATGGTTAAAAAATCTTCATATCAAGCTCCAAAACAAGTTAATTTTGACTTTTAGCTGTGATTTCTTTGGGATATGGTTAATTTACATGAAGCTGTGTCAGTTTTCTAACATTAGGGCCTGTGTCCATTACTTTTTTTCTTTTTTTTTTTAAAGATAGTATTGGTTAAAAAAAATCTTCACATCAGGCTCCAAAATAACTTAATTTCAACCTTTAACTGTGATTTTTTTTACGGATATGGTTAATTTACATGAAGCTGTGTCAGTTTCCTAACATTAGGGCCTGTGTCCATTACTTTTTTTTTTTTAAAGATAGTATTGGTTAAAAAAATCTTCATATAAGGCTCCAAAACAACTTAATTTCAACCTTTAACTGTGATTTTTCTTTTGCGGATATGGGAATTTACATGAAGCTGTGATAGTTTCCTAACATTAGGGCCTGTGTCTATTTTTTAACACTTGCGGTGCTTATTTTTAGCTGATAGTTAATTTAAAAAAAATCTACCTATCAGGCTCCAAAAAGTTTTAATGTCTACTTTGACCTTGCATTTTATGCATATAGTTTACTTTCATGCTGACAGGGTAGAAAGCAGATGTCAGTGGACACAGGCCCTAAATTTTGAAGTTGCAATGTATCCTCTGGCTGATTGTAAAGCAGTACAAATAACATAATTACAAAGCATCATATATAAACTGATTTATAACTTTCTTAGTGCAACATATCATTTCACTGTATCTATGCCCATAACTAGTTTTCTGTAAGGATTTCATGCAATTCCTCAGGGACACTTCTTTACTGTAAACAGCACATTTTATAGAAAAACATAGATATCAATATAGACACTGACCCCAGTAATGAGGCACACTGCTGTGGGAACAGTTACACCCCGTAAAAGGTTGCCAGCCGTTCCTTCAGCGGCAAAGGGAACTGATCTGAGAAGCGCCTCCAGTTTTCCTCGCCCACCTGGTTCTTAAACCCGTGGAGGATCTGAAACCAGACACCGAGAGAGGTTCATACCAAGTTATCCGAGAGAGCTGCCTTTCAAAATAGATCCTGTGCCTGGCAAATGTGTTAACTGTAGATACTGCAGGTCTTCCATTTGGCCACTAGGGGGCATACTGGTTTACTGCATGAGCAAATACAATCACTGTTCAGTTTATTTCACTAAGTTTGATGCTCCTGTGTTTTGAAGTGTTCATTTCCAGCCTTTACCTTGTAGAACATGTCTCTGAGATCTTCTTTTGGATTTACCCAGGAGGCCACTGCATCACAAAAGAATATAAAGTCCTGTTCAAGGAGAAGAAAACATTTTGTTTTGTTGAGCCTCTCAAAACACAGTCATGATACTCTGTCGTTTAGGTGAGTCTCACCTGCACAACACCTCCTGGATTTACACTGATCATAGTGCAAATTCCTCTGAATGCAGAGTCTTTCTCTTCGTTGTCTCTTATATTTCGCAGAGAAGAGCACCTGACGAGAGTGACGAGCAAATTTAATATCAGGGATATAAAACAAAACAAAAGAAAAAAACTCATAAAGCAAGAAATTCATACACATACTCAAACCTAACGATAAGCTATGATTAAATCTGTGAAAATCCTCGGTACAAATGTATGTTTGAGTTAGGGCTGCACAATTATAACCAAGATGATCATCATTAACACGCCAATGCTCATTTACACTATGACCTCTGTTGTACTGACACACGCACGCACGCACGCACGCATGCACGCACGCACGCACGCTAAAGAGAAGCAGGATTTGGTGTTATTGAGGTAATTTATGCTCGACTCCTAACCAGCTCCACAACTGGTTAAATTCGCCTATTGACCAAGCAGTGTGCTCGATCATGAAGCTCTGTGAGCTTGTCCAGAAGGAAAGAGGTCTGAAGTCCTAATCTACACATTCACTGCAGAAGCTCTTGTCTTATCTGACACGTTTTTCTTAATTTTGCAAACACTGCTGTGTTGGTTTTGATCCGGATTTTGTATTACAATTAATTACATTTAATTTCCATGATTGTGTTTGGTCTTGTGTATTTAAAGCTCCTCTGACGATCCTTTGTTTATGTCAATTTGGGCTCCACTTATGGACAAATTAGTCTTTGCTTGTCTTGTCCTCTACATGCTTAAGTACTGTCCTTTCACAAACAGTTCCCAATATTTAATAGTATATATATTTTTTTTGTGAGTTAAATGTGGAAAACTGACACCTACCCGCTTGCACCCCACCTGTTTTAGGTACTACAGAAATAAAAATGTCAGTCTCAACACTGATTGTCTTATTTGCTTCTGGATATTTTAAAAAGACACTGATAGGAGTTTTTGTCTATTTTTAAGGAGTTTAAAAACTCCTGACAGGAGCTTTAACACCCCTGTTCATGTGACCTGGCTCACAGTAACTTTGACTGACTAATAAGGTGGTTAACTTGCTGACCTTCTTTGTCACGGTTTGTGAAGCCAAACAAGATACTGAAGATATTCTGACCTCAGGCCCCTTCTCGCCCTCAATCTGCTTTGCTTTAGTCAATAATCGCGTCAATCCCGTTACAAAGCCAAATTTGCCATCGCAATCAAAATCGGATTAATTGTGCAGCCCTAGATTAAGTGTCTTAATTTCTTTCTCATGAGTTCAGACTTTATGTTTTCATCCATGTGAGGAGAAAAAAATGTGTCTATAATGTCCTGAGCTACAACCACAACAAGTCAAGCATGCACACAAAACAGGTTCAAATAAAACAAACATTTTCACTTTAAACAAAGCTACTTTGACTTCTCCTACGTTCACTTTGGTCTATGAGCAGTGTGTTCAGCAAAAGCTCATCTATAGCACCTTGAATATAACATTACGTCTTTAAAAGGATTGACTAGTGGTTTGGGGTCATTTTTTTTTTGGGACAGGCACATGCAGCTGGGTGACTACTGAACGAGAAAGGGATTTAGGAAATGCTTTCTTTTTTTTTGTTTTTGTTTTTGCAGCAAAAGACTGCACCCTTTCTCTGTTGTTGAACCAGCAAGGCATGTGACAAATCTGATCCCATGCATCTTTTAGGTTAGCGACAATTAACAATGACGAAAAAACTAGAAATTAAACAAATTAATGTATAATACATGAAGGTGCTACTGAGGCAAAGAAAAACAAATCACAGGTAGGACCTAAAAGAGGACAGGGTTAGTCACATGGTTGGCAATGATTACAAACTGATAAGAAACGAAAAGAAAGAACTGAAAAGACTTTTTCTGAGAGGAAAGTGAGGAGAGGAGAGCAACAGGGGGAGAGAAAAGGAGCAACAGGAGACAGACGACAGAGGAGATCAGAAGAAAGCAGAGAGAAGATGAATTAAATAAAAGATTGAATAATACACACCAGGGTCTTATAAACTGCTGTAGCATGGGTGCCACCTCTTGAGGACAAACGTAACCAAGACGACCAATTGTTATTGCTAAGGTAACGCAATCACGGTTACACACCACCAAACGCCAACCAAGACATGAGCAATGAGGAGGGGGGAGGAGAAAAAATAAAGAAAAAACAAACAACTCAGAGACATAAATCAACAGAATCTGTGTATGATAATAATAATAATAAAGAGAAGATTTCACTAGTGTTGATTATTACTGCCCCCGTCTGTCAGGAGGGGAGGAATGTAAAATATGACACTCTAAAAAAAACATACAACACGTTTAAGGGAGAACACATTGACAGGACATTCATAGAAAAAAGGCAAACAATGGCATCTGCTTTCACAAATCATACGGGTCAAAGTCTTTGATTCAGAGGCATTAGCTTGATTGGAAATGGTTCACAGGCTAACCAGAGATTTCTCCCTTAAACTCACAAAAATGTTAATTTTTCAGAAGAAACAGAAATGTGTTTTTTTTTTTTTTTTTTTGTTCTTTTCAAAAAAAGGAAATGACAAGATTACTCCAAGCCAACTACATGGAGGGAGACTAGTATCCAGCACAGCAGGTTCTTATGAGGCAGAGGAGGAGGGAGGACCTAAGTTTAAGAGACACAAAACTATGCAACATTCTCATTAACAAACAGGCATTTATGAACAGTCCAATGACACATGCAGAAAGCAGATGGTATGCTCATTAGAATACAGTTCAGTGCAGGATAGATCAATCAGAGACAAACCTTTGAGATTATTTCACTCTTACATGACCGGCCAATTCAAATTTGGCACCAGTGATCATCTGGTTCTTATAGAAATCTCTATGACAGACCTGATTGACACATTTGAACTTCAGTGAATCAGTTTTTTTTAGCTGGTTAGGGCTGGGTATCAACTTTGACTGCCTCTATTATCTTGATTCCCATTCATTGTTAGAATTAGACTCGAGGTGTGAAGTGATTTGATTTATAGCCATTCTTGGAGTATGAAGTATGTTAATGAGGCTGTAGAGACAAATGTCGATGTATGCAAAGGTTGCAACAGCCTCGGTTAAATCTTAGGTGTGCAGAGAGCTGGATTGTAACTTAAATATAAAAACTTTCTCCAGTGGGGTCTGTATCACATCTTATGTTTTTGCAAAATGCATGTGTGGGTGATGCCTTGCTGACTGGTTTAGAAAGTCTGCAGTATCTCCACAGTATTTCACTATCATCTTGCACTAAGGCTGGGCGATATGGCCTCAAATCAATATCACGATAAATGACAGTTCACCTCAATAACGATGAATGGACGATAACTACTTCACAAGCTGCTCACCCCCTCCCACATTAACTTCGTCTACTTCAGCTGCTACAACTTTTGATCTGTCCTCCATCTCCTCACCTGCCTTTCCCTCTTTGTTACAGACTACAGCGTCTTAAAGGGGCACGAGACCATAGCCTACCTACACACATCCAAACACAACTTTTATTTAATTATTTTTTTGACACCAAATGTACCGATATGGGCAAAATGACGTTGGTTATTGTCGTAAATTTTGGTATCTGTAAATTTTCCGTTAATCGCCAAGCCCTATGTCGCACGTCTTGCATACGGCTCTGTTTCATCTTTAAAAGTTTTTCTAGTGTCAGATTTTAAGAGATCAGTTTTATAGAATTATTTTTTTTTTTTACCCAGCCCTACCTCTGGTTTTCAATCGCTACATTGAAATCAAGCGAAAAAGTAGAGACGGTTTAGTGATCTGGAAGAAACATCAATCAAACAAAGCCCAAATAGCATCACAGTTGTAATTCTCATGTATCCTGCATCAAACGTTGGCCATTCTTAACAACATTTAACATCTATTGGCAGATATGCATCCACATTTAAAGAACAGTAAATAAAAGCAACAAATAAACTGACAGCAAACAAACAGGAACACATCTACAGAGTCCCTAGGTTCATTAGATTTTAGCTGGTTACACCTGGCCCTTGAATGCTTTCCTTTTTAGGATATTTGACTCTTACTTTCTCCAATTGGACTGCAATAACAAGAGCGAGAGTGTAACCTTTTATTAAAATGTTCTAGTCTGGGTCTCCTACATTTAGTCAGTTTAGGTGCTCTGTCAATCATTCATGAGTGATTATTCTTTAAGTGTTAGAAGCTAACTGTGTGAATTCTCCTTTCCGTCTCTCTCTCTCTGCTCTACGTTGTTCTGCTTCAGTTATCTGGTGCAGGGTCAGTCCACATTAGTGAATCCCAAGTCTGGGCACTTACACGTCTCGCTTTAATTCGAGACTGTCGGGAATTTCACACCCAGGCGAGTCCGGGGTTTCATTTTCTTTCATCTTTATTTACACGGCCACTTTGCGAATCGACAGCAGAAATATTTCACGTGCTCTGGTGAAAGCAGCGAAACCTGTAAGGCTCAAGACTTGGGAAGGGTTTTCTTTGGGTAGAGATTAAACAGGGGGGGGGGGCAGGACAGGCACCCTGATGAATGTGGTGGATCCTGACTGAATGGGCCTGAGTGTGTGAGCACCTCCCTGTGTGTGGCAGGCGAGCTGGCTGGCTGGCTCAGCACTGCCACCGAGTGGTACCTGTGTTCTCCAGGAGAGTCTTTGGGGTGTTTGGCCTGTTTATGATCTCCACCAGCTGGTGCAGCACCATGGCGATGTACGGCTGCATTTCAGGCCCTGAGGAGGTCGAAAATAGTGAGAAAAATCTGTGGACTTAAATTAGTTTCTAAATCTGGAGCATAAACTAGAGATGTTCCAATACTCTGATACCGTTTTCAACACCCCTGTTTTTAAAACGTGGCTGACCCCGGTTAATAAATCGTTTTTAAATAGCATGAATCTGAGCTGTTCTGGTGTAGTTCGAGTAGCATTAACCAATCAGAAATAAGGAGGCTCTGCAGCTGACACAGATTGACGCCTTATATTGGTTATAATCTGCTGACTCTATAAACAGAAATCTGTCTGTAAGTGCAGTTAACAATCTGTTTCTTATCAAAAGTTTGAAAGCCGTTTCCCATTCAGATTTTCCTATTCCATTGAATGCACCAAACATAATCAATCTGACTTCTCTTACACATACAAGAAATTCAAAGTTATTTCTTCTCAGGGTTCCTACACAAGTATGGAAAGTACGGAAAAGTATGGAAATAAATTTGATCATTTTCCAGGTCTTAAAACGTCTGAAAAATGAAAAATCAAGTATGGAAAAATATTTATGTTTCCAGACTATTACCATAGTTCTGAAAGACTGTTTTCAAAAATAGAAAAGTCGGTATTTCCAAAAATAATTCTAAAAATTAGGGCACGGAAAAGTATGGAAATTCTAACTGTGTAGGAACCCTGTTTTCTCCTCTTGAGGACAAAGCAAAGTCAGATTTTAAGCGTCAAAATGAAGATTAGTTGGATGCAAGAAAATCTAAATAAAACTATCCCTGCATTCAGGTTCATATCAGTTAGGTAAGCCATGAAGGCTCTGGGTAATCAACTTTATAAAGAGACGTTAACATTCTCCAAGACGACACTTCAGAGACGAAAAAAACTAACTCGTCTGGGACTGAATTGAGCTCTGAATGGAGAAGACTTGTCTTACTTTCACTGAAAAACATTAGTAAAAAATAATTTTTGTTGTTAAACTGCTAAACTCTGCATGTTGACTGATTATAACTTCAAAATCAAGGTCAATACTGGAATAAGCGCTACAGCTTGCTGTTTAAGATCAGAGATTCATTCTGCAGAAGATGGATGCATAGAGTGGTTTATTTGCCAAAAGTCTGATTAGGCATGTTGACACTTTTGATTCTGGTATTGGAATATCTTTAGTTTGAGCAGAGATATAATGTTAAAATCAGAGAAAAAGAAAGAAATAAACTCACCCATTTGTATAGAAATCTCTCCGATTGCCCATGTTGCATTGTTGCACACTGATATTAACTCTGGGTTTAAATTTGTACCCAGTATGGGCATAAAATCAGCTGCAAGAAGGAGAGCAAGTTAACTCAGAATGTGTCTCACAGCATATTCAGAAACTGTTCAGATTTCGGTTGACGCCACATACCAATGCACGGTTTGACGTGTTGGAAACAAGCTTTAGTCAGATCCCCCAGCAGAGCGAAGGAACTCTGACGCACTTCTGGCATTTTATCCTGAACGGTGACAGATGAAAGAAAAGGTAAACCACAGCAGAGACTGAATCAGTGCATCAGGAAATGTCAGGTTTTTACTGCTGCTCACCTGCATACACTGGTACATCAGAGTGAGGATGTTACTGCGAGCAACGAGCTGCTCGATAGTTCCTCCTAAACCCTCGGCCAGTCCGCTGAGTAGATCCAAAGCCACGATCATGAAGTCTTTGTCAGGAGCCTCATACTGGTCTGGCTGGGACTGATGTAGCTGGAAGAAATAAGGGCGGCAGGTAAAAAAGAAAAAGTTGATTTGCTTATCTATCAGGATCCCCGGAGGACTCGTTTTTCAGTCGGGACCACTTCTCCCAAGAGATCTAATTATTCGCGCATGATAAGATGTATCTCGCGGTTCTGAGAGCTCCCTGATCTACACCGAGTGCCGCCGCCGCATGTGTTACCAGCTGATAAAACTGGTGTTAGGATCAGCTGATGTACTGTCAAAGGATTCTCGACTTACCATGGCTTGAGCAAGAGTCTTCTGAACCAGGTTGACACATCGCTGGTACACTGGTTCACAATATGGCAGGAAACCGCTCTGCAGGGCAGTGGCTACAGACGACAGACACTGAGGAGGGCAGACAGACACACAGGGGGTCAGATACAGTCAGCAGCCTCTTTAATTGAGAACTTGGACTGACAGAAGCGTACATGAGGGACTCACCTCTAATAGAGGGAAGAGATCTTTGTCCTCATCCTTTAACTGATTCCATTTCTGGATCAGCGGGGGCATCAACATCTGGATGTACTCCTATAAAAACACACATTAATGTAGCCTCTATAAAGACACAGTATGCAACTAATGAGTGAGTGGTAATTATAGGCATTAATGCAAACACTTCTGGGTATTATCTTTTATTACTACAGCATTAAAAAGTTCACTTGCCTCTACCACAACAACAAAAAAGTTAAATGTGAAACATCAACTCTTGTAATTCCCATAAAAATATGCATGATTGTGTTCTACATACTGGTTTGTTGAGATGGTGCCCCACTGAGTCAGCAAGCGTCCCTATGGCATCGTACAGGATGAGCAGGTTTTTGTGCTGGTACTTGCTAAAAGCGAACACGAGTGTGTCCAGGATGAAGGCCAGGTAGGGTACCAGCTCTGTGCACGCCTCCTCCTCCAAAGTGGCAAAGGCACTGAGAGTCAAAGGAGAGGAAACGGAGTGTGCAACGTCAAGACATCTGAGTGTGTGCAGAAAACGTCAAAACACAGTGAAATTTAAGAGTCCGTGCTCACCTGCAAGCAGCCTCCTGCACGCGCTTGTTGCTGTCCAGGATACGTTTGAGCAGCTCCGTCATCAGAGGCTTCAGGTAAGTATCTGGGGGCTGGCTGACGACCCAGTGTGCATAGCGGCTGAGCGTCCAGCAGGTGATGGAGCGCACCAGAGCCTTCTTATCAGACAGACACTGGACGAGATGAGGGATGAGCTCTGGCAGGTATGGGATCATGCCCTGCATACAGCCTGGAGATAGAGGCAGGAACAGCGTCATGCCTTCATTTGTTACCAATCAGAGCTGCACAGTTTTAGAAGGAAACAATCATTTCATCCAGGCCCAGCATTTTACCTTCAGCGATAGCCCCCAGCACGAGTATGCCGGACTCCTTCACCACCCACTCTGGATGGAAGAGCAGCTCTTTGAGGAGCGGCAGAATGTGCAGCAACAGATCATCTCTGAACACGTTTGCCAGGACGTCTAATGCTGCAGCCGAACACTTCCCTGTTTGGTAAAAGAAAAAAGACACACAAACACACACAGAAGGATGCGGACAGACATCATACAGACATGACGAGTACAGCACACAGAAACACGTGAAGGTTATTAAAACATCTTGAGACAGGGAAGTCAGGAAGAAAAGGGACATTTCAAAGTGAAACAGAGGCAGGGAGGAAATCTAGACATCTCCTCCGACACATGCACTGAACTCACGCAGGTTCCAATCTGAGATAGTATCATCATCATCGTCCAGCTCATCATCCTCGTCTTCATCCTCCTCGATGCCATCGCCCTCATGCTGCTGGGCGACAGTGCGGGAGCGATGGAAGCGCGGTCTGATGTCTTGCTCGTTGTCAGGAATGGCTTCATCTTCCTCGATATCACCCTGACGACAAACAACAATTTAAAAGGATAACATGTTGAAAAGGGGAAATCATTCAAACATGAAAAAATCAACTGAGACTGACTTTTGTTGTTGCTGTAGACTCTACAAACAAGTGGAGGCCATGAGGAAATAATTCAGAATTTCTCTTTATACGAAATATGAGCCGCACTGACTCCAGCTCTTTATAGAAATCTTACTTCAAGATATCGAACGAACAATAAGGACTCTAGTGACTGAAATGGGTAAAAATGTCTGCCACAGGGTTTCAACACACTTGGAATTTCCGTACTTTTCCATACCCTCATTTTCAGAATTATTTTTGAAACTACCAACTTTTCTATTCACAAGTGTGGAAAAGTTTAGAAGTAATTTGATCAATTTCCAAGCCTTCAAAAGTATGCTAAATGAAGAATGAAAAAATATTTAGGTTTCCAGACTATTACCACGTTAAAAAAAAAAATACAAAATACTGTTTTCTAAAATAGAAAAGTAGGTATTTCCAAAAATAATTCTAAAAAGTATGGAAGTTCCAACTGTGCAGGGACCCTGCATTTAGAAAACAGTCTTTCAGAACTATGGTCATCATCTGGAAACAAATATTTGTCTATACTTTTGAAGACCTGGAAATTTATAAATTTTTTTCCATATTTGAGTGGGAACCCTGCTGCCAGGGCAGTATGTGATCATTTCCCAATCTTGTAAAAAGTATTACTTCTGGTTTTAAGATATTTTAATAAAAAGATATCTGGAATTGTCAGGTCAATGTGGCCTAAACTGAGATATTTGAGATATTGGACTAGTTATGAGACAAAAACAAAACCAATATGGTGTGATTTGCAAAGCACAAACAACTGCTCAATTGTTGTAAAAAATGCTAATTTAAATAAAATGTCAAAAAATTTACAAAAAGCTCACTATAATTTGGTTTAAGATTGACACTTATTTTAAATACGTTTTAAATCCATTTCAGTTTGAAGCTATTGTGACTATCAGTATTCCACCGTCTTTAAAAATGAGACATTCACATGAATCTTACTCCAAAACAGAGACATAAACAACTTAATTGAACCACATGTCATCCTGAGTCATGAGGCAATGTGTCATCTCGCCCACAAGTCCAAGTATTAAGCTATATAAACTGACCTTGAGCAGGATAATGTCAATCTCAGAGTACTTCATCCCGTTGACAAGCACCGGAGTGAGCCTAGAGAGGAAGCCAGAGGAAGAATGATGAGAACAAAGGGCAAGGAGAGGTCGAAGCCCAGCAGCCATCACTCACACGTGACTCCTGCTGTGGGCACAGTGTAATGTGACAGTGTGGTGACAGATGTTACAGCTGAGGTCAACGGCCAGGGTTCTTAATCAGACGTCCTGAGGTGAGGGAGAAAAATATCATCCTCAAGTACAAGGTCCTCAACAACTATCGGCCAAGGTTGCTATGAATCAACAGCTTGTAATAGAAGTAGCGGGTTCACCATTGTATACACTTGTATGTGTATGTGTATGTGTGTGTGTGTGTGTGTGTGTGTGTTCTTACTGGGAAAGGTGTCCACACAGCACCTCCTTACACACGGGCTGCTCTGCCAGAGTGAGCCAGAACTCACAGGCCTCCAAGGCCACGTTCTCATCCTGGTCCTGAGTCCTCTGCAGCATGTACTGAGATGACATGAAGAAAAAAAATCACCTTAAAAACTTTAAATGACTAAAAATACAGTAAATAGTTCTGCTAAACATTGTAGTTTCTGTATGTAAAATCTTTTGCTTCCTGTTTTATTGAGAGATATTTCACACACTGTTTTACTATTAAGTTAGTTTTATTCTGAGTGCGTTTGATGTTTAAGTTTATGCATTTTTAAGGCCCATTTAGGGATTAAACTAGCAAATGAGCTGAAGCTATAAACTCTGTAGGATATGCCACTGTTTATTTGCTTTGTACTCGTCCCTGCAGAGATAAATATTAAATGAATAAATGTGGATGCAATTGAATTTCCGTACAATCAGTGCTGCACAGCAGCTCTCTGAAAAAGCATTAAAGACTGTGCGTTTGTGTCTTTGTTGCTCTCAGTTGCAGATTGGAAGGAAGTCTTCAAGGCACAATAATGTTTAAGATAACTGAAATGGATCCATGTGACACAGAGGTTTTTAGAAGTTTCTGAACACGGCAAAAAGGTCAGCAGTGAAGACCAAACTTAATCAGGCTTCAGAATAATGAAGGATAAATTTATTATCGAAGGGAAAAAGGAGGAAATAGAAGAAGAAGAATTGAAAGAAAAGGACCAAAAAGGGTAAATTAATTGAGACTTTGTTTTTGTCATTTTTTGTTTATTTGATTAGGACAATGCACATTAATTGACGTGTCAGCAAAAGCATTAATGTAAATATGCTGGACTTAGCATAAATGCTAATTTTAGATGTTTAAAAACATAGAAACAATACATTATACACACAATACACTACAACAAACAGATAAGACATGCAAAATGTTACATACAGAGTTAGTTCCTATTCACGTAGAAAACATGAGATGATTGTTTGTTATTAACCACTGCTTAAGGGCCTTTTTAAAAGGTGGTGTAGTCGTGACAGCTTTTGACGGGAACTGGCAGTAAGTTCCAGGACTGTGTTCCTCTAATGGACACCACCATATGGCCAAATTTAGTTCTGCGCCGTTGTACACGACTTCTCCTGCTATATTTAGCTGAAATAACACCAGAATGTTCGTTAAGAGTTTGTCACTCACCTCTATGATGTTATGCATGTGTGGCAGCAGACGGTCCAGACGAACTTCCAGCAGCATGACCAGAGCTCTGCACACGTTCTTCCTTACCTCCGGCTCCTCGTCTGTCGCCAGTGCAAACAGATTCTGCAGAGGAGAGAACGACAGAGTCAAACGTGCAAATCATGACTATAATAACTTGTGTAAACCTAAATAAAGCGCTGTAATGTGTGGTTCAAATGAATACTTGAGACAGACATGGACATTTAGAGCTACGGTGGATAAAAAAAGTCTATGCACCCCTGTTCAACTGCCAGGTTTTTGTGATTTAAGGAAAATGATAGCAAGATAAATATTTCTACAACTTTCACCTTTAATGTGACCTATAACCTGTACAATGCAACTGAAAAACAAACTGAAACCTTTAAGGGGAAAAATGAAAAAAAAGAAAAGTTAAAATAACCTGGTTGCATAAATATGCACACCCTTAAACTAATACTTTGTTGCAGCACCTCTGACTTTGAATACAGCACTCAGTATTTTGGAAAGGAGTCTATCAGCGTGGCACACCTTGATGTGGAAATATTTGGAGATCAGGAGATGCCCTCGCAATCTATCAGATCACCCCACAAATGTGTGATGGGATTCAGGTCGGGGCTCTGGCTGGGCCATTCCAAAGTCTCAATCTTATTCTGGTAAAGCCATTCTTTTGTTGGTTTAGATGTGTGCTTTGGGTCATTGTCATGCTGAAAGATAAAGTTCCTCTTCATCTTCAGTTTTCTAGCAGAAGGCCGAAGGTTTTGTGCAAACACTGACTGGTATTTGGAACTGTTCATAATTCCCTCCACCCTGACGAAAGCACCAGTTCCAGCTGAAGAAAAACAGCCCCAAAGCATGATGCTGCCACCACCATGCTTCACTGTGGGTATGGTGTTCTTTTGGTGATGAGCAGTGTTGATTTTGCACCAAATATACCTTTTGCAATGATGCCCAAAAAGTTCAACTTTGGTTTCATCAGACCAAAACACAGTTTCCCACATGCATTTGGGAGATTTCAGATGTCTTTTTGCAAAATTAAGCCGGGCTTTGATGTTTTTCTTTGTAAGATAAGGCTTCCATCTTGCCACCCTACCCTATAGCCCACACATATGAAGACAGCAGGAGATTGTTGTCTCATGTACTACACAGCCAGTACTTGCCAGAAATTCCTGCAGCTCCTTCAGTGTTGCTGTCGGCCTCTTGGTAGCCTCCCTGACCAGTTTTCTTCTTGTCTTATCATCAATTTTGGACGGACGTCCTGTTCTTGGTAATGTCACCGTTGTGCCATATTTCTCCCACTTGATGATGACGGTCTTTACTGTGTTCCATGGTATATTTAATTCCTTAGAAATTCTTTTGTAGCCCTCACATGACTTATATCTTTGAATAATGAGATCCCTCTGATGCTTTGGGAGCTCTCTGCGGACCATGGCTTGTGCTGGAAGATGTGGCTACAAAAATGTCAGGAAAAACCTACTAGAACAGCTGAACTTTATTTGGGGTTGATCAGAGGCACTTTAATTAGTGACAGGTGTGTGCTGACTCCAATTTAACCTGAGTTTGAATCTTAATGGTTAAATCTGAACACAGCCACATCCCCAGTTATTAAAGGGTGTGCACATTATGCAACCACATGATCTTAGTTGTTTGTTTTTACTTCACCTCCCTGAGAGATTTCTATTTGTTTTTCAGTTGTGTTGTACAGGTTATAGGTCACATTAAAGGTGGAAGAAGTTGTGAAATCATTTATCGTGATTTAACTTTTTTTACATGACAAAAACCTGGCAGTTGAACAGGGGTGTGTAGACTTTTTATATCCACTGTACACGAAGTAGAGCTCAGAGGTAAACCATTAACAAACTGTCAGTGCGTTAACTCACTTTAGCCAGGTGAGAGATAATGACCTGAGGAGGGTTTTTCTTAATGGGGATGGACAGTTTGCCCCCTGATGGCACATGCATCAGTGTTCTGTGTGTCGTTTGGAGTTGAACAGAGTGCAGACTAACCTCGATGAAAGGGTCGATGTGCAGCATGAGGGCCTGAGTCCTGCTGATGATGAACTGATTGACACAGGCGATGGCGTGAGACCTGGAAAACACAGACACCAACACTTAAAGAGCCTAACACAAACACACACGCACATTTCCTTCTGCACCACTAGAAAAACATATATAAATGAACAATTATATAAAGATCACAATCTGAACATATTGTGTAAATTCATAAATGAACTATGCGTGTAGTGCATACAACATACTCACTGGGACGTGATTTATTTATGACTTAAGATATGTTCCAGATAGAGGCGTTAATAATAGAAGAGAGGGGGAGGGGCTTTATGTATATGGCCTACTTTAAGGTATAAGATTGATGGATTGTAATTTCCAACAAAACTATGATAAATAATAGAGCTTTAAGGGGATTCAGACTTGCAGCCATACAGATATATAAAACAAAACTTGATCATTATATAAACATGTAAAATGTGCAACGTGGAACCAGATTTACTTGATTTATTCCCTCTCAAATTAGATTCAGAGCGTATTATTTTTAACTTATACTTAATTGGAGGTGAATGCGTTACCTGATCTTAGGACTGCTGTGCTTGAAGAACTGTAAGAATTTTGGGATCATGATGTTGAGAGGTCGGTCCAGCATATCGCTGTCCAGGATCTCTGCAGAGTCCTCACAGATCTTCTGCAGGGCTCCGAACGCTCCCTGAGGGACACAAGAAAGAAACACAGCAGAGGAAAGATTTACAACCCTGTTATCATCTCAGGTTGGAAGAAGAGAGAGGGATGCTTCTGTTCAATTACAACATGATGAAACATTTCTTCACTTTTCAAAACAGTCCATCTCAAATGAGTAATTGATTTATACGCTGGAGTGTTTAACCAACAGTACAATACATAAACAGTTAAAATATTCAGCACTGAGTGGTGATCTCAGCGCTCTGATTGATTCAAGGCAGGGCAAAATTCAAGGAGGAATACGCATTAAAAGCAACGTTGAAATATCCTCTGGCTGCTCATCGCTGGATTAAGCCTGTCTAGACGCAGAGACAGCTTCGAGTAAGCCATCCTACCCCTGGAGGTGATGCACTTAGATTTGTCTAGACAGCTTTTTGTCTGGAAATATCCCCAAAGAAGGCAAGTCCACTCCCAGAAAATCATAAAGATGCAAAGACACAGAAAAAGAGAGATTTGTCTGTGTACAACATTGCCAGTATAATGATAATTTTACACCCTTTATTTAGTTCTGTAAAAATCAAGTTCTTGCCTTTCATCCTAATGATTATTTTCTTAATTTATGTCATATATTTCCTTTTCCACATATCTCAAGATTTGAGTCTTGACTCTCTGGATTTAAAGCTGGTTATAACAATAACCTGTATAAAATCATGCTTCCCAAAAGTGAAACCAAAACACGTGGGCCCTTCCTCACTGAATGGCAGCAGTATAGGTCATAAAGTCCACCTTTATGATAATAGATACTGCTTTGTTATCAAAATGCACATCGGATTTATTTTCCCTTTAACACAGATTGTGTTGTTAGATTTTCTATGTCATGCCGATTTTTGTAAAATTGTATATTTCATGCAGATTTTTTCACTGTTTTATACGGTGCCTTTAGGGAGCATAACGATTGGCAGTGCAAGCATTCATTGCACGGCCCCTCAAACGATCTCTACTGTCCAGATACATTTTTTCTACCTCATCTTGTACAACTAGAGGTGGTTGAGGCGTGTCATCCATCTTTATACATTCAATGTTTAAAATCAGACTGCAGGTTAAGCAAAAGCAATAAATCAGAACAACAGGGATGTTTACGTTAATACTATTTTTTTTCTGTCTCTTCTTTCTCTCACTATATTTTGAGGCAAATCAGTAATGAGGATGAGCAGGAGGAATAAATCTTAAGGATATTTATTTTGTCACTTTTTTTCCCCAATGATGTGTATTGTCTTAATTGTTGTTGTCTTAATTAATGTTTCATGTTATCCTGTTTTGTATGGACCCTGAGAGCAAGAGTTACTACTTCAGTAATGGCTAATGGGGGATCCTAGAACAAAACACATATGCATCCGTGCTTACATTCTCATAACACATCTCTATGAATCATGTGCACAAATATAAACTATAAAAATTGGCTATATTTGCTTTTGCAGATCAATATTAATTTAATCAATGATGAAAAAAAAACAAAAAAATTGCTAATAAATGATGACTAATTAACTGAGGAAGCTTTCTTAGAGGATCTTAGTCTAGTTTTGTGTGAGCAACAAAAATGTGTTCATCCATAATCTACAATGGGATTCATTCGCTTCTGCTCCAATAACCTTCAAAACAGTCAGCAAGCAGTCTGACAGACCCCCCCCCCCCCCCCCCCCCACACACACACACACACACACACACACACACACACACACACACACACACTCTCTCTGTGTGTCTTAACACTGGCTGCTCGACGGATGGTTAGTATGCATGTTCACAATACGCTGCAGACTTCAGTGTCTCTCTCGCTAAAACGCAGTCTGAGAGGCAGATTACAACGGCGCAGCACCGGCACCGACGAAATGTCTGAAACGGGTTGCCATGGAAACCAATCCAGTGTCGGCATTCCTTTGAGATGACAGATACAGAACAGTCTCGGAAAAAAAAAAAAAAAAATGTGGGAGCCGGAGGGGGGGCAAAGTAAGATGAGGAAGAGGGAGAGGGAGAGGGATGAGACTGAGTCAAGGTCATAAACAGGAAAAGACAAAGAGTCGCCAAGGTGAATTAAGTCATTTCCTCTTATTAGTACACAGAAAAGTCTGATTGTCTTAAAGAGGAGTGAAAAAGGAGCAAAAAAGGTGATGGAGGAGAACATTTTAATGCTCTAAAAAAAGACTACAAAAAACTCTATAAGTAAGCCATCGTATAAGCCATCTTTGTTTTATAGATTTTATTGCTGTTGTCCAGAGTTCTTTGTTTTGAACCTCTACTGCATCCTCAGCTGTTTCGCTTTCCTTTTCCACATCATGGAGTGGACTTCTTCTGGCAGATTCAGATTTGGAGTCTATGATTGGGGTCGTGTCCATGGCAACAGTAAACTGTCGAGAAATAACACACTGTTCCTGACTGTGGGGTGTGAGCCAATCAGAACCAAGATTTTGTAATCTAGAAACACTATCTGACTCTGACATGCGCCTCCAATGACTTGAGACTCGATGGTCACATAAAGTCCAAAATATATCAACCATTGCAGCAGCTCCATACGGTATAAGGACACAACTTAAACATGCCTACAATTAAAAATCACATATGAACTGCCAAACACAGGATCCAAGGTCACTCAGTGTACTCCAGATCTGGGATTGAGCTTCAGATTTAATTACTAGTGAGAGTTCTGCAGTTTGACCTCATTAAAACCTGTAGACCTAAATTCCAGTTTTGATTCTACTGTTTCATATTCACTGTTCAGGGGCTGGTTGAGGCTGATCCTTCACATGCTTTCATTCACAGAGTCTCTGAAGTGGTTGGCCCGCGATTTCTCAAACTGATTTTTATTAGCAGGAGCATTTAGAGTGGAGCCACTTCTACAATCTGGTTTTATGAGGAAAAAAAGATGTGTCCACTTGTATCAAAAGATCAAAGTCAGCTGAGGTAACAGGTCAGGATACACCTGCACATTTATAAGAAGATACCTTCTAACCTGTCTGAAGGAAGAGTGTCTAGAACAGGACAAGCTCCCACTGTGGAGAGTCCATGTGTGAACAGAGAAGGGTACAGCAATGGGAGTGGCCTCCTAACATTCCTGCGATGCTAAAGCATCTAAAGTGTAATCCTCCCTTCAAGTCGTGCTCTGGAAGATCATTAAACTTGAGAATGTGAGTCATGTGGACGACGGCGAGCCAAGGAGAAGAGGGAGAGAGAGGAGGGTGAATTTCTCCAGCTGAGCCGACTCCTGTCGGGGAACTTTAAATAATGTTTCTACACGAAAGAGCACCGAGGATGACAAAGCGTTTCAAAACATGATTGTTTGACCCGAACTTGACCCTCACAAGCACTTTCCAACTGTCATTTATCTGAACAGTAAAACTGCTCTCAGGCAAAATCTATATAAAGCTAACCACTAATGTTGTACTTGGCATCCAAAACACCTGCTCGTGTCTTTTTATAGAGTGTGTGGAGAGGGGTACAGCGTGGTGCATAGGGGAATCTTTCTACTACTGCTACTGCTGCAAATCCTGATGTTAGCAAGGCGGTGAACTGATGTAGACTTTCCTTTCTTTGTCTTAGAAATGTTCTCTGGATGTACACAGAAATAGTTCATATAGTGACAGAGAGCAGACAGCTTTTAAAATGATCTAATCAGTGAGATTAAAATCATGCTTCTCCAGAGTGTCTTGTCCAAAACAGACAGCAACACAAATTCTTCTTAAATAGCAGATTGATACCTGCAGGATTTTGTGAGGTTTTTTTTCTGTGATTTTGCAGTCTTGAAATAACTGAATGCTGCAGCTTAAAAAAAATGACATAAAAGTTGCAGTGTTTAAAACTTTTAGTGACTGAGACCAATGCGCTAATAAAAACAAAAGATCTCTGCTGTCAGGGAGCTTTTGAGAAGAGAAAGAGTCAACCAAGACTATAAGGGCCTGTGTCCACTTACAGGCTTTTTTTTTTGTTTGTTGGTTTTGATTTTTTTTCTCCACAGCAGGCGCCTGTTTACAACATTTTCAACATTCAGTGTCATAATCAAACATTCAAACACGGTTAACATCAGCTGTTATTTGTTGTCTGGTACACTGTGCACACTCTCGTTTGAAAATAGTTTAACAATAGGACCACCACTGCACTCATCAACAACCAATCAAAATCCAGAAGGGGTGGGACCATTTGTCCACAACAATGGTGGTTTGTCTGAAGGACAAATTTCTCACACTTGATTATTCAAGGGTACAGTTAAGACCTGCAGCTGATCCGTCTATCGCTTGTTTGAATGTTTTCTTTGTAAAATGCCCTTAAATAAAACCAAATATCAAAAAGCATACTTTCTGCAAAAAGACTTAACAGTCATTGTAGATAGAGGTGGAAGTGCGCTGAACACTTTTATAACCTCACTATAGTAAGGTGAGAGGCACTCTAAAGTTGAGGTTTTAAGCTCTGTCAGCATAAACAATGTTGTTAGTGGACACAGGCCCTTAGTCCCAAGAGATTTGTGACCCTGTAAACAATATCCCCTGATGTGTACACAACATAGCAGATCTAAGGAGATCAATAGACTATTTGCTGAAGAAACTAATTTGTTTGCATACATTTTTATGCCCGTGAGATTAATGGGTTGGTTAATTGGCTGCAGAGGTTGGTCAGACTTTAAAAATTGAGAAGAAAAGGGACCAGAGTTAGTTGAATTTGTGTGAATTCTCTAAATCCGTTGTTGCAGCTCCCTAAAAGGACAGGCGTATTTTTGACAGCTACCAGCTTTCAATCACGGTTCTGTCAACCCTCTTCACTGCCTGGCATCTGCAGACATTTATTCTGTTGGAGACAGATAGGCATGACATGACTTTGCAAATCTGTTAAGTCAGTGCATGACACAGGAGACACTCAGACTGATCAAATGGCCTCTCGGCGTGTAATCATATGAGCGTAACTGCTTTAAATACACGGCGCATTCAGCTCTGTAACCTTACACGAGCGAGCACAACCTGAAAAAGATATCAAAGTACGAGTGGTGATGTTGGATTTTGTTATTCAAAAGGTTTCTATGACAACGCTCAAAACCTTTGGCACGACACTGATGCTCGATGTCTCAGTTTCATTCACACTGTCTGCTGTAAAGATGGGACATCACGTCAAGGCTTAAGACACCTGCAGAAACTGACAGTCGGTCTTATTTTCCTGGATTAGCATTTCAAGGGGATCATTCATACTTTTTACAAATTACATTATTTTTAGCCTCAAGCTGCATTTATTATGAGTACTTACTTTTTTTCAGACACAAACACAAGACCTCTCTGTAAACATTTCAGACTATATCAGACATAAGAGTATAAAAAGGCTGGAACTTTTAAAAGCATAAAATTGGCGATAATTTATTTATGGGTAGCTGACAGCCAACTCATCTCCAGCTTCATCTAACTGTCAAAATTGTGCAAAATCAGTCATTTTACTGAGGCTTCTATTAATGGCCATAATAATTTTGGAATAATCACAAAAAAGGGATCAGTTGCGCCACATTAAACTTGTTCATGTTTTTTTAATGTAGAATACTGCTTGAAATAATCAAGTCAGTCACTGTTCAAACTTGATTTTTCTGTTGTGTCTTGTATACATGCGCTCCATATAAGAGGAAAGTCAACCCATTGCAATTGTAAGGATATCTAAGTTTTGACACTGCTCCTCCCAAATGCTTTACAGTTTTTCATAAATAACATGGAGCATGCTTTACTGAAAATGTCTCCTCCTCTTTCAATCTTGCTCTCTGCTGCCTTTCCTCCCACTTTTTCCTTTTTATTTCCTCCTATCTCTGTAGGGCCCTGAGGGGATTTCGTGCTGGTTGTGAAGACAGTTGGACATTTAACGATGCAAAATTCAGACTCATCATTCTGGTATGATAAATAAATAACAGCCAGTTTGTATCCTCCTGTTGACGATGTTGGTTTTTGCAAGTTAGGAAGCAGATGATTACTTTGAATTTCTCTTCATTTGTAAAGCCGTGGAAATGATAAATGTAGAAAACTGACCACACGTCTAACTGCATGCAGATCAACCTGTATTGGTACCATTTCAAAGGATGTGTCATTGTGTAGAAACAGCTCTGCATCCGACAGTCCAAATAGATGCATAATGGAAGTTCAATACAAGCCATCACAGATCAAGGGGAGCCACGACACCCACTCTTCTTGTTCCACCTGACACAAATGCCACAAGGCTGCAGGTGCAGCCGCTGTGAAAACACGCCTGAAAGAGCTTTCCTTCATAATAAAACACAACCTTACATGATGTGAAGGTACACTACAGGCCAAAAGTTTGGAAGCAAGGCCATTACAGGCCAAACTGTTGGGAGTAACCGTTTTTTTGTTCACAATGCTTTTCTTAAAATCCAGCATGAGTTTTATGTATTTTGGGATGTATTTACTCCATGGTCAGATGTTGCTTTTATGGAAATGCACCATTATACTCCATTTACCTTTAGATATACATTGATGTTAACAGACCATTGCTAAATGTATGTCAGCAAAAGATAATAAGGGCTTAGTTTTAGGGTTGAAAACATTTGCAAGAGTCACAACTTTAGTGCAAAAGCAAAAACACAAATCCCAGTTGGAATATTCACTTCAACTTTTTGGCTTTTGAGAGTCTGTATACAAAAATCCTAATAAATCTCAACTGTGTTCAAACTACCACAGAAATGGCTAGAAAGAAGCAACTGAGTAACGAAACAAAAGTACAGATTTGTACATTGAGGAAAGAAGGATACACAGAAAGAGAAATTGCAAAACGCCTAAAAGGTGTTTAACAAAGGAGTCCACTACACTCTGAAGAAACTAGAGGAATCTGGAAGTTATGATGATAGAAAAAGACCTGGATGATTTGGATCGATCGGTCAGAAAAATGCGTCCCACGAATCAGCAGTCTCTTTTTGATGAACTTAAGAAAGCTTGGAATGCAATCCCTGGAACATACCTTAAAAAACTTGTGGAACGAATGCCTGGTATATGCCAAGCTGTTGTTAAAGCCAGAGGAGGTTACTTTAAAGAAAGCAAAGTCTAAGCAACAATAACTCAAATACCTAACAATTATAGTCAAAATGTCTTCTGATAAGTTACTCTTTACACAATAGTTATGTTTATTGTGTTGTAAATTATATTAATGAAACAATGATCTTTTTCGTACAAATCTGATCTTGCTTCCAAGCATGAAAATATCTGTGGTGGTGCTGAATCTCTTTTCCCAGCAAATATCAATATGCTGACTTTTACTCAAAAGTACATAAATAGTTTGAACATGCATTTTGCACCTTTAACCACAAGATTAGACAACATTTTTCCATCCAGCACAGACTGAACCATCTTCAACATCAGTCTCTAAGAGGCTTTTCCAGCCTCCCAAGCTGCTTTTCAAAATCATAGCACATCTTATGAGGAGTTTGGTGGCTGCTCACTGTTAAGCCCTGTACACACACATGCACTTTAAGATCCTCTGCAGTAAATAGCTGACCTAAATCTCAGCTTCTGAATGAGCTTTATGAGTGAGAGAGAGGGAGAGCGAGGGGGAGACGGGTAGGCTGTGGCAATACAGAGAAAGACGTTTCTCTGTCACACTCCTTCTTGTGAATTTCAGCCGGTACAGCTCAGTTTAAAAAAAGGAGAAAAAAAAATCATATGATTGTTCCTGCTGTGTGAGGTGGCGATGGGTAATCCTGCTAGGATCTATTTGCAGTGCCCTTCAACACGGCTGAATTTCATATGCTGCTTGATGTGTCTCTGCTCTGCAATGTAACATATCTTAGTCCCCCTATAGTGGCTGATGTCACACAAGCACATGCAGCATACAGAATATTAACAACCATGCAGTCAATACCAACCAAAACGCGACTCTGGAACCAGATCGGATCATCCAACATCCATGACAAGCTACTGTACCGTGGCTTTTATAAATATGCAGTATAAGACAGAGGGATGCTTCTATTTTTGTAGGCTTGTATGTTATAAAAGCTATTCTAGGAGATGATGTGAGCCAAGACAGAAAATGAGGTCATAATGGTGTTTTGGTAAAAACAGGATGGAGACAGAATAACTGATTCCATGGTGAATAATCTGTGGTTTTCGCTGTCTCTCCAGCTGTGAGGCTGCCTTCAGCTCATCTGGCCAGCAGGACTCGGTCCAGCTGCTGCTTTATGGCTGACCCAGCTCTCACTCTCCTTTCCCACAGTAAATAAATAAACAAATAAAAGCAGCGGGCATGGAGCGGTGTGTGTGCCCAGACATGCTTAGTTACAGCACAAGTGCGGAATGACATATGATCACAAATCTGCGCTCGCATAATCCAGCTCTGTCTCTCCCTCTCTCTCTCTCATAAAGCTACACGAAAGCTTTTGCGAAATCCAGAAATCCCAAATTGTCTGACTTCTTATGAGCCGATTGTGCAAAATAAAATCAACAAGAGAACTTGACAGATTAATTTGATATTCAAGGAAAGCAACTCTACCACCTGCCCTAAATAACTCAACAATGGACTCACCATCAGGTCCAAATAAAGTCAAAATATACCGCAGAGGACACTGGCCTGCCAGCTGCGCTATATACCATGTTTGTGTTTAATGCTGTCTGATTAAGCTGATTTGAGAGGCTTATATTACGTGCCACATGTTTGATATTTAGGATTGACCGTGGAAAAGTACAATCATGTCCCTTTTAGACGTAGCAAGGACAAATCAGTGCAGTAACCTCAAATCAATATCAGAAATTAAAGCTCTGAATCTAATATTTACATTTAACGCATAAAAGGCAAATAAATGCGACTGTTTTTGCTGCAGTTATACAGCCATCAGCCATCTATATCTATATATATATACACACACCATCTATATCACGCCCTGTTCTAGTAACATAAATCTATTCTTCTCTGGCACAGCATTCAAGCATCTTTGTGTCACCAGCAGCAGCAGCAGCATTGTGAAATTGTCCATGACAAAGATACACCCATACACTGCAGGCTCTAACTGACAAGCAGGGAGTCAGATCCCACCCACGTCTCCTTTGTCATCCTCACCTCACACGTGTTGTAGTCCTCCGAATCCAGCAGCAGGCAGAGTTTAGGCAGGAGCTCGGGCCAGTTCTGCAGCTCTCCTTTGGAGGCAATGGTGGTGATGAGGATACCTGGTCAGAGAAGAGTTCGCTTTTAGACATGCTGGGGCACAAAAGCACAAATATGCATCGACGAGAAGTTCTCAATTGTGAGGAAATCCAATATTATTGTAAGAATTACCTAAACAGGGGCTTAAAGCATCAGAATATAATGGCTGTTAACTGGTTCTGCATGTATTTGGCATATGTCTGAATTTTACATACACTTCAAGCTCCTGTGACTTCTCATGTCAGGGCGGGTGTCATTTTTCAATCAGTGAAAAGTGATCATGATCATGTGGCACAGCAGATCAAGTCTCTTGTTTTGAGGTCGGCGAGTTACATCTCTGCATACATGTCACAATGAGTTTACCTGCTTCAGACTGAGTTTCAGGTGATGACTCTGTTGTCCTAAATCCAGGCTGCGGCTATGACTGTAAATACTGTAACTCCTGACAGTCACGGCTAATTATAGTCCTGCTAAAGCTCAGTTAATTCAGTGATTAGCAAATATGATTTCTGGCTAATTCTTCATGATAAAAATCTCCTACATATTTTTTTAATATATATCTTTACTTTGAGACAACCCTGTCTAGAAATAGCATGATTTCAGCCGTAGTAATTTACAATGTTACAATACTCTCATTTTAACCCAGCAGATCTAAACTGAAGGAAACAACATGATTAACTCCCACAAACTGCTTCAAATCCAGCTAGACGCAGTGCTCAAGGCACGTCAAAGCATGTTTTCTTCTTTGTTTGTTTGTAATGTCATCCAATCTTCATCACCAGAGCAACTAAACAACATCATAATCCACTAAAAACCACAATATTACATGCACACAACTACATTCTGGATGATCTACAAAGGGTTAAATGTGCCTGCCAGTGAGGAGTTGCAGTTTTCAAAGCTTGATATTACAAGAGGAGCTTTGCCGACACAACTCAAACGGTCAAATATAACAGATGTCAAAGATGGTTTGTATAAACAGGTGATTAGAAGATAAACAAAAGCGTAGATCACAAAGACTCAGAAGCTATGATAGATTTAAAAATGACAGCACAGTATTCGATGAAGACATCTTTCTTTGATCTCATGCTCAAACATGAGTTGAGTGTTGTATGGCGAGCTTGTTTGTGAAGGGGTCATGACAAGTGAGCAAGCATTCACAAATATCATCCTTTTCCCCCCTATTTAGTAATACTAAATAGGATATAATAACACTACCTAAAATAACAGGATATAAACTATATAATCATTATATAGCCCAGAGCAGTCACAGTGCAGAAAAGCATCTGCTCAGCTCTAATCCTACATGTGCTGCAGACAATGCTGTGAGTATCTGGTGAGATCACTTCCATCACCTCTCGCACCGTTTGCCACATTTTCTGTAAAAAGACTTCTAAATATATAAATTAAGTCATTTAAATGCTGATCTATCTGTAATAGGTCTGTAGAGGTTACCAATAACACCCCAATAATAGATCCATAAGGCTACATCACATATACCAAATCCAATTGATCCCTATTCTAGTGAAGGATGATGCACATATTACAAAAACATTTTTATTGTTAAGAAAAAAAGTTATCATATTTTGCCGCATGAGACTTCATCTCAAGATTCATATGCTCTAAATTCAGCATTCAATAACAGCCACGAGTTATTTTGCTACTATATGTTCCTTTTATTTCCTTTGTGTACGCTCCGGATTTCATCTGTTTTGTCTCATTTCAAAAGTTATGACGAGTAAACAAATCTAAACAGCGTCTATGAAAGCCAGACTTCACACCCCAGCGGACCCGGAGGATCAAACTTACCCACAGTGGCCCGGATGAGTGGCGACGAGTCACCGATGTTTTGGAGGCACTCGCTCTTGATGAAATCAGACACGCCATTAGGGAAATTCTGATAGTGGGCTTTCACGTTGTTCTTCAGTATCAGCCCACTCAGGGACCGGGTTGGTTCATCTTTGAGAGCGGGAGAAAATCACTGATTAATGAATTGGTAAACAAAATTTGAGCTGGGAACAAATACACAGTTGGATTCGAGTTAAGAGGCAGAGTTTGGAGAGTGTTCAAATTTGGATGTCATTCAACTAGTGAGAACATTTTTATATTCCTACAACTAAAAAAAAAGACGTGTTAACCTTTGATTGCACTCAGTTGTTAATATTTATGGATCTATGCGAGAAGCACAACGTCCCAAGGTCTTTTAAACATTACTCAAAATTTCAGTCATCTACTATTCAGATGATTGGGCCCGGAGCTGAGAGTTGCCAAGAATTGGGTTTAAAATTAGAGTGACCCATATTCTGAGTGCCACATCATCCATGGCATCAGGTCAGCCAAGTCACAGCCGAGCAGACCTGTCACTGACTGAGCAGTTACGTAAAGAAAAACGACACGTCTGACAGCGACACCATCCCATCAGAAAACAGAGCAGATATGACAAAGACAGAGGCGGAGGGCTTACCTTCTGATTTTAACTTTGTTAAAACAAATATCAAGTAGTTGTTGAAGTCTGGGTACTGGTTCAGCTGCTCGAGTCTCTGGAAGACGTGGTTGAGGAAGACAACTGTGCATATACTGTGCTATTACATTACGCTGTGAAAACCCTTTTACTTCCATGCGAGGAGATGAAGAATGAGTGAAGGTTTACATGCAGGTGTAATGTATCAGCGTAGCAGCGTGTGTCTGTAAGGGAAGCGGGTTTCATGTTTGTAGGAGGTGGTCATAAATATGTCACATGATGAGACTCGCTCCATTATATCTCCACCCAGATGGCGTATTTACGAGTTGGTCTATGAGTTAATGATGCGGTGCATATGAGGCGTTACATAAGCAAATCATTTGGGATCAGCGTGCAGCAAAATAGAAAACATACGGACCGGTGGCACGGAGCGGTGGATCATAATTGCTTCATCTAAAGCAAAATTACAGTGTGACCTCTGGGAAATAATTCAGTACGTTTTCATTTGACAACAGAGTCGAAACTACAGGACAGATTTATAACGGGCTTGCATGTTACATGGCTAAATTTAGTGTTATCATACTTAAATAGATAATGGATGGCATTTAACCAAAGCATACTTTCTTTTTACAGTCCTGACATGCAATAGTTTACCCTCTTTGATGCCGGTGCATTTATCAAACCTTCAATGTCAAGCCTATAAATCACCTTTACACATTTTATAGTCTCGCTTTTTATTTTTAGACCAACAGGATGCTTGTTGTGTCGTGCTGAAAGACAAATACTCCAAACAAAATCTAAGGACATGTGCAGATCAAACTGAATTTTATGCCTGCCTTACTATAAAATCTTGTTTGTTGAGAAACCAGAGCTTGTTGGTCGTCTGGTCATGATCTGATATTTGTCCTCTAGCCACTCAAGATGTTAGATTTAAAAATATCCCGGAAGAAAACAGACTCTGAATTGTGTGATTTGAAAAAGGCAGATATTGAGTCCCATTTTCTCTTGCATTGTATAAATATCAAAACCTCAGAGAGCTACTGTTTTATGACATTGCTCGTTAAATGTTTGGTACTGAAAAGGTGTTGAGTAGTTGAAAATATATGTATTTTAATATTTAATATATTCACAATAACTTATATGTTTAACTGCTAAAAGTCAGCAGGATGAGATTTTATCAAGTCACTATTTAAGGCTGCAGAGGACAAAATAAGTAAAAGACTGCTCTGTCCATAGGGGGACCACAATCGACAGAAATCAAAAGCTCCTCACAGGAGATTTCACTAGAAGCTCACATGTTCAACAAAGAAAATTTGGCGCCACACAAACCAAAAAGTCTCTCCGGTCATTTCACTGTACACAACTGTCTCTGCACATTGGGTTCAAATTAGCATTTTTTTTAAAGCTCCTGTGATGAACTTTCAGTTTCATCTTCTGACAAAAATTCTCATCCTGCTGCCTTTAACAGTCAAATTTAACATTTGTGAATATTTTGTGAGGAAAATGTAAAAACAAAGTTGTTTCTTCGGTTGTTTTGTTGACACCTACCCCCCTCACACCATATTCAAGCATTAAAAATTACACGTAAAAAAATCTAAAATCTGTCATGGATGGTTTTATTTGTTTTTGTGTATAATAAAAAGGCATCAACATGAATTTCAGTTGATTTTGAAGAGATGAAAAATCTCCTCACAGGAGCTTTAATTTTAAAAACTCATATTTGTTTAGTAATGCCAATAAACAGGCACTTTGGATGGCGCCCCAATTGTCTAAAAAGTAAAATTTTATATACTGTGAACACAAGAAAATGACCAAGTATTATCCAGCTCATATGTTAAAATTTCTTGTGCCAACATTTCATGATATTAAGTATTTCCTACACAGGATAATAACTTGTTTAATTTTTGTCTTGTTACTGTTTTTTGCCCTCGAAGTTCATTGTCAAAGTTTGTATGGTAAATCTGCTCAACTATTAAAGCTGGGATTAATCTTCATGACTTTAAATAACACAGAAATGAACTACTTGACAGAATGCCAGGATAAAAAAACAAAGACAAATCCAACACTGGAACAAGATGTCAACTTGTTTAAGAAAAGTAAATAAAGTCCACGATGATCTCTATGTTTGAATTTGGCTCAAATTAATCTGCAACATAAGTGTTAAACAAATTTACAATCTGTTTGCCTTGAAAACACATTTTTTATATATTTGACATGCAACTTATAAATAATGTTAGAGTGTAATTCTAACAATACCATGCTTGGTTTTAAGCTCATTATATCCTGAACTGAACAGCACACTGCCAGGCCTCGTTGGGAGGTTAGGTAAGATGATATATCAAAGGAGAGTTGCATGAATTGACTGTAATCACATTATTTCTACTGAAGCATCACGCAAGTGGGAGGTGTAGGAAGACAATAACTGCTGAGTGTTCGCAACATACATGCGATAAATGGGGGGCTGTTGAATTAACCTCGAATAAACACCAATACTGAGCATATTTTGCGCGTTTTGAATGGACAAATATTAGAAATAGAGCACGACACGGCCTGCTTTTCCTAAGAGACATAAAGCACGAACCGGTCAACACCTGCGTACCTGCTCCTAACGGCTACCACCTCAGCTAGTATTAGCCGCGGCTAGCCTGTTGAGCCGATGCGATATTACAAAGACATGACACCTTTCTTAACATATTTCACCGTTCGTATCAGGTTTAGAAAAGGATACTTGTTGGACGGATCTCTGCGTGGACGTATCTGGAGACTGAGACTCTTTCAGCAGCTGTAAAATTTGTTGAAGTCCTTGCTCGTCTGGCTTCCACTCACACTCCATCTTGCTGCTGCTGCTGCGGATAAAGAAATAACAGGAGCTAACAGAGGATTTGACAGTAAACGCCTCACAAATTCCTCTCGAAGGCAAGAGCACGTAAACGTTACACGACTCGGATACACACGCGAGGTTTTGATACAGTTGGGCGCCTACCTGTTCTGACTTCGCCGACGGCTGTAGCTGACTTTCTGTGGAAATGTGACCGTCTGTCTGGGTTTTCAGACATGGGCCTGTAACAGCAGGAACATCCGTTTTCGCAACAAGCTGGAAAGCTGAGGGCCATACAGAGCCGCGTCGCATTTATTTGGCTGCCTCGCCAACTGACACGCAGCCGAGCGGTCCCAGTGCCCGCCGAGTACAGTTTAAACACGCTCGAAAAACGGAACACCGCTTTAATTCAGTACCTCTGTTAGCTGTTTTCGAGCTACAATTTCATCCACGACCGAGCTCTGTTCATACTGAAGTAGATGTAGAGGAAAAACTACTTAAGAGTGGGACAAATATGGGACGCAGCCCGCAAAATGGCATATTTCCGATTTTTTAAAACGCAGCACGGCTCACTTGAAGGGTCCGTGATGTCAGTGATGTGTTCAAGACCGTTAGTTTATAATTTGATTTAACGGGCAATACCGTAACTTCAAACTGCTGATTTTTAATTATTTCTGAATCACTATTTAACCTTTTTGATATCGAGGGGAAATCGTCTTTTGTAGTAAATCATTCAAATAAAATAAAATGAATAATAATATCAGAAAACCCTAAAAAGTTGGCTGTATGTATCAAATGTAGAAAGGAGGTTGGCAGTTTTATACATTCAATATGTTCATGCACTCATATTCAAGACTTTTGGATCAAAATTATCACAAAGCTTAATTTGGTTTTCAGTAAGAACATAAAGAACATAAAGGTCATATTTTATTTGCTTCCTATGGAATATTTGACATATTGGTCCAGAGGGACAATTGGACAGCTCTGTTGTGTATGGACTCCATTTCTTGATTATGTGGGGACAAGGATATACAGTATATTCTGGAGGACTCTTACCAAACTAGGACAAGATGGCTAGTGGACTGGGGAGGCTCTGTGGTCTGTATTGCTTCTATCATTGTATGTTATATGTATTTACGCATAAGGTTTCAACATTCTGATACTCTACTTGTCTATGCAGGACTGTGCTGTGCTGTGATTAAGTTGGAATTTGTTTTTGTTTTGGGGATTGGGTGTTAATGAAAAAAAATGTATGCACTGTTTGATAATAAACTTGATGCTTAATGATCAATAAAAATATTTTCTCAAAAAAAAAAAAAGAAAAAAGATCCTAAGCATTCAAGTTTTGGAGCAACAAACTGCCCCATAGGAAACCCCAAATTGTTAAGTCTTTAAACACTTGTATTCTGCAAGGATGGAGTAAAGTCTTGCTTTAAACAAGAATTTAGAAAAGTCAGTTCCAGCACAGGATGACATTAATTATTTTTTTTTTAAATATGAGGTACGGTGGCCGAGAACCATCACTGCTGCAAATAAAAAAAATTTGAAGATGGTGCAGATAAAAAAAAAAAAACTTGAAAAAAGCCAATATGGTAGTTACCAACACATAAAAAAGTGGTGATGCAAAAGAAAAAGAAAAAAAAACAACTTACTGCGAAAATAAAAGGATGCAAATAAAAAAAAGCCACAACGGAAATGAGCTGCGAGGGACCAATAATGATAATGCACCGGTGTTTTACAATGTAAGCACAGAAGACGACAGCGAGACGACGAGCAAAAAAGTAAGTGGAAAGGTTATTGTTGAATTTCACTATATGTGCTTTTCAATGTGTCATTCGGTCAGGCCATGTAGTGCCTGAGTCCAAAGAAAGTTGAACTGAAGATAATGCTGCGTTCCAGTTACCTCGGAAGTTGGATGTCGGAGCTGGGAATGACATTACACCCGAGTTTACAGCGATCTGAATAAATCGGAAAACCAAGATGGACGCCTACAGTTAGACATTGTTAGCTGTTGTTTACAATTGTCAGCTGTCTTTGGCTGTTGTCAGCTGTTGTTATTGTTGTTAGCTACGCCAGTTGTAAACAACACATAACACAGTATTTTACTCTTATAAACACCATAGCACTGTGTTCACAGTTAGACGTTGGACAGTACAACATTTACCACTTCTGTTGAGCTTTTTTTATTAGCATCCTTTTTATTTTTTGCAGTAATTTTTTTTGTTTGTTTTGTCTTGCGTCATTTTCATTGTGGCTTTTTTTTTTTTTTTTTTTAAATCTGCACCGTTTCTTTTTTTTATTTGCAGCTGGCTTTTTTTCCTTTTTTTTTTGCATCGGTCACTTCCGTTGTGACTTGTTTTTTTTTTTGCATTATAATTATTATTATTATTATTATTATTATTTATTTATTTATTTATTTATTTATTTTTTGCAGCAGCAGCAGCAGCAGCAGCAGGAGTGGCGGTTCTCGGCCACCGTAATAAGGCAATGTCATCGTCAGTTTGCACCGGGGAACGGTGGTGTTGTATAATCCTACCACTAGATGGCAGTACAGGATATGACTGTGTGTAATCTGCCCTTAACCTCAGATGAAGAAGTGAGCTCTACATTCAGTACGCTGCTGCCTCTCAGCGTACAGAGCAGCTTTCAGTGGACCAGTCTATCTTTAAAATCCATCTGTTTCTCATTCCTTTATTCCAGGTTTTTCGCCACTGTAATAATCATTTTCATTTTTTTTTCTTGCGGACGGTTTGAGGACGCGAAGAAGATTCAGAGGACTTAAATTGAAGCAGCTCATCTCCTCTGCCTCCCCTCTTCTTGTTAGCTTTTTTTTCTCCAGGAGAGTTATTTTCTGCGCTTCGAGGAAACATGAGCTTTCTCTTGTAAGTGATTTCATATCATGGATGATTTTTATCTTTACACTTGTCTTTGAATCCGACAAACATCTTTGGTGTCAGCGCAACACGGCTAGATTAGGAGGCTAGCGATAGCATGATCCGGGCTAAGACTATTTCCTGAATTCACCTCCGAATTTGTGATGTGATAAGCATTTTTCTCTGAATAGTTTAACATCAAAATTGACGATTGATAACTCGTGGTGTAGCTGTTATATTTATAAGACTTAATCTACGTATATAAACCTATAGTGTACCAACACAGGAGCTGTATTAAGTAAGAGGTATTAAAAAGAGGGCCTGGATAATTGCTGGTGAGAGCACTTTGTTGCTGCAGGCTAATCCACCCTGATGTGTCACAACACATTGGTCAATCCGAAACTCAGGAGCGTGACAAAGGAGGAGGTTAGGGGTGGTGTGGGGCCTCTTGGATCGGAAAGGCCACCCCAAAATCCGCAATTTTGATTGGCTTTTCATCCTGTCAGAGGTTAGGCTTAAATCAACCATTTAGACAGAGTTGCAACAGGCTGTTAGGAGGTTTCTCTGCTTCCATATATGGTGTATTTCCTTATGTTGGAACTTCATTGAATGAATATTTAAGATAAGATGATCCTTTATTAGTCCCATAGCGACAAATTCCAAAATTGAGTATATATCAGTCAGTATGGTGCATTTACATATATTCAAACAGCAGGTGTGAGCCGAGTTATTGGGTAGTATGTCCACCTCAGCTACAGTAGATGATGTAGGACTGGGCATGTGCCGATATGAAAAATTTGATATCACGATATTGGTGGCCCAAAATATCACGATTCACGTTTTTATCACGATATTAGCGCATTGCTTTTTTCGTTATTAAAAATGGCAAAAAACTGCGAAATCACTTCTCCGTGCACAGCATGCTTTCATGACACGCACAAACAATATGAGCAAGAGGCAGCTAACGCGACGTTGGGAGCATTAGCTTTTTGGAGCTAAAGTTAGTAGAAACGTCACTAACGTTGTCAATAATAAGCAGTAGAGCAGACCAAACTTGTTGCGGTCATGTTGTTTTTACCTTGATTTGGGCGAACGATGCTGGATGGTGTTCACGGAGGTGGGCACGTAGGTTTGAAGTGTTAAACAACTGCGCTGTAACTTCCTTAGGGCATAACCTGCAGATTGGTGTCAGGTTGACCTGCTCCGTCTGTTTTGTGAAGCCGTAATACGTCTCAGGTCTGGCTGCATTGGTGTGTTGGTTGGGAGTTTGAAACAAGTGCGTCAACTTTTTTTTTCTTCTTCAAACTGTTTCCAGTTCACAGAGTGTACACGCTCCAACAGTGCATTGGGTGGCCACGCATTTTGTTTAAAATTTTCTTCACTTTCTCTTTAAATGTTCCCGTTTTTGTTAGGCTGGCATTAATGTACTCAATTCTAGAGTTTTTTGGGATTTGGGACTACTTTTGTGGTGGTTTGTTTGTACATTTTGCTACCGAGGCTTTGACACCGTGGGTAAGACTACAATCGGGTTACAATCGGGCTTCGCTCACCTCCGCTGAGTGACGCCGCCACTCGTCTTTAAATTATAAGTGTTGAGCGATTATTACAGTACTCTACAATTTCATCATTGCGGCCGTTTAATATCGCAATTAAATCGTATATCGGCACATCCCTACGTAGGACTGGGCCTTTGGCAAAATAAATGATCACGATATATTTTGTCATATTGTCTGATCTTGATCATCACGAATTCTAAAAACTTTTTTCAAACTGTCAGTTCTACAGCATCTGTACAAAAAACTAAAGAAACTAGAGATTAGTTCCACACTTTTTTTTCACATACAAAATAACAAAGCAAATTAAATAAGATGAACAAGAAAAATATAAAAAGCATTTTAACGCAACAGTACAACAAATGTAGACAAATATTAATTAATAAAGTCCTGAGTGTTTTTGCAGGTATGCTAGACCCAAAATAAAGAAATCGCTCCCTCAGGGGTAATGAAGATGCCTTAAAATGTAAACATAGATGACGTTCACCTTTGGAGATACCCAAAACACGGCACCGCCACACAACCGACATTGAATATCTTTTCTTCTGAATGATCGCATCTTCAGAGGATGACTCAAAGTCATGGCTGACATCTATTTTGCTTCCCTTTAGCTCCACGTTTAGTTCCATGATCATTCATTCTGTTTACTTCTCCTGTTTACTTCTCTGGCAACTTACAGAAGTGAGCAGGAAAAGCTTGACTCTGATTGGCTGTTGCGACGCGCAGTTTCGCTCTGTTTGATCGAGTAAATATGCCCACCGTTGATCACCTTGATCAAACTGAAATTTATCACAATCATGTAATCCCCCAGTCCTAAGATGATGTATCCTACTTTGACCCCCTGGTAGCTGATCTATTAGTCACATACCAGAACAATCAACAAACATGTTTCCAAGAGGCTAACTGGTTACTCTACACTTTACTTTTGCTGTCTCCCACATCTATGCAAGAGAAAATCAATCCCCAGCCACATGATTGAGGTAGATTAGTCTGACACCAAAAAGGTGATTTCAGTTGGACTAACAAATTTACATGTACTTAAAAAGTCCACTTTCAGTCAGCTAACACAGTGAATCGATTCTCTTGATTCTCATGTACATAGACTAGCAAACTCCTGCACACTACCCAACTGTGAAGAATACATTTACTGTCAATATTCTATCACAGAAATGTTGCTCGGAATTGTGTTTTTACTAATATGTGTCTGCAGAGCTGAAGGCTGCAGTTTCAGGCCTGTAATTCTGGGGCCCTTATGTTGTTATGACAGAGTTGGAGTAAAGGCAATGTTGGAGCAGGAGTCGACTGTCAGTCTTGAGAAGTGAAGCTGATGTGGAATTGCGGAAAACTGCAGTTCCTTGAGTGTCCACTTGGGGCTCTCTTTAAAATCCCCTTTAGCTACAAAAAGAAAGCCAAAATAAACCTGCGAACAGCCTGGGACAAAGACATGAATTTGGTCTTAAAGTTTGATTTTATTAAAAAGAAACACTCAGTGTTTACAGCTGATTTTTACTCCTCACATATATTTATATACTGTTATTTATGTTGCAAGCCAAATAAAGCCTATTTTTGATGCTCCCATCGTTTCCCATCAGGCATGTGGGTTCAGATATATCTGATTAGTAACAGCTGATGGCTAATTGTTTAATGCTAAGTTGATTAAAAGCTGGAGGAAAGGTTGTGGAGAACATTATACTTTAAGACCTGAATGTTCAGCTCAGAGACTCTTATTTGACTGAATTGATCATTTTACAGGCACAAAAAAATGCAGATTTCCCACTTTAACAGATTCATGTTGGATTTAGAGTTTTATGTCCAGCTTTGTAGATGTAAATTTTGTCATTAAAGGGAGTCTCATCAAAGTTGCTCATGTCGTGATGCCTCTAAATTCTTGTTTACTGGGGCAGTGTGGGATTGTGTGCAGCACCTCTCCAAATGGCCTCATTATAGACACAGAGAGACACAGTGTTCTGGTCCTCCACTGTGATTCTGCCAAACCCATCAAGTCAACAAGAGCTGGACTCTTTTGTCAGCTTGTTTTTTTTTTTAAAAAGACCGTGTCTTTACCTCCGAAAAAGTCCCTTAATTACAGGAACGGTGAAGGCAGGATTTGTCATCATCATCACATCTGAGTGTCTCTTTATTTGTCTTCTTTTTGTCTTCCTCTTTGAAATATGACTCACAGTGGAAACCGTTCAACCAGGACGTTCAAGCCCAAGAAGAATATCCCGGAGGGTTCTCATCAGTACGAGCTGTTGAAACATGCTGAGGCTACGCTGGGGAGTGGAAACCTGCGCATGGCGGTCATGTTGCCCGAGGGGGAAGACTTGAATGAATGGGTGGCTGTCAACAGTAAGCTCCAATCTTCCCTTTTTTTCTGCCTCACGCACTATTATACACCCTTCGAGGTTCAGATTCCTGGTGGACGAGCCTCACCTTAACATGCCTTCTGACATTTAAATCTCTGACTTTGTCTCTTCCATTTGCATGCTTCTCAGTAGTCCTTAAATCTCAATTAGACTGCACATCAAGAATCAGGGGGGTAAGATCCTGGCGCCCCCTCTAAAGGCTGCTTGAATAACTGCTGGAAAAAGCCCTGTGAATGTTAAACAGACCTGATTGTCTGTGCTGCTGGAGCCTTGTTTGCTTTCCTCTACAGTGAGATAGATGGACAACCAGAACAAAAAAAAAAAAAAAAAAAACTTGATTTCCCCTCAAGTCAGAGTCTCTTTGGGGTTTGAGGTGACTTGGACACTCAAGCAAGAATGAAGTGAGAGTAGTTTTAGCAGATTTCATCATAAACTGATAAAATTTGAAATGAGATTTGACTTTGAATTAATTGTGCCGATAAGTTTTCTTTGTTTCTTGATTGTGATGGCATCATCAGAGGACATTTTTTTTTCTTCTTTAGTGATCAGATGTTGTGAGGTATATGTTGTATATGACTGACTCGCAACTTACCAGTTATTGCAGCCTTGTTGTGTCCCAATATCATCTCTATCCAGGGCCAGAGGTGGGAATCTCAGAGTGATTTCCCATCCAGTACGATATGATACGATCATGGATGCAAAAGCAGATTTTTCTTGTGATTAATCTCAGACTCATCAACAATCCATAATTGATTACTTGGCAAAAACACCTCTGATTTTTCCTGTGACTTAAAAAATACAAATAGCATGTTTTTCCTCTAACCATATACTGAATTTAACTGACAGTATTGTATAGCTACAGAACACAAAGAGGCCTTAACGCTGATTTAAACAAACATTAAATTATTATTAGCTCTCCCTAGTGGTTAGCTCTATAAAATTTTGCCACAAGGGACTTTTGGCTTTCTGTCCAGCCATCTGTAATTATTGAATTAGAACAAATACAAGGTAAACACTTATTATTCCGTTCACATATAACCCTAATAAACCGGTTTATCCTGGCTGGTACTTTTTAATAAATCATGAAATAAAGTTGTGTAGATATCAGGATGCTGTCAATAATAATGTAATATTAAAGTGCATTATGCAATACATCAAAATAGAATTGATGTCAGTATATTCAGTCATTTAGGAGGATAGAAAAATATGTTATTGTTTTGAAAAAGTGATGCTGTTGATTTCAAAATGCCACCAATCAGCCTGATTAATCAGCTGACTGATGAGTCTGTAATCTGTAATAACAACAGATGTTATTTACTCTGTAAATTCACACATGTTTTAGCTGTTAAAAACCCCGTAAAGCCCCGCAGAGATGACTCGGCTCCGTCGTCATGCAGGATAAAAAGGTTTGTGGAAGTAGAGGGATGTTAGTCAGTGCCGCACCAGCTGTTTTGACTAACACAATAAAAGGGAAGTTGGAGTAACTTCTCCCCTCCGCACACACGGTTTTTATGACATTCCCCATGATCTCTGCTCATGAGGGCCACTTCCCCTCAGTTTTTAAGATTCTATTGTTGGCATGTTTGATTGTAACGGGTAATGACAGGAGAGGCAGTTTGGACGTGCTGCAGAGGTCCTCTGCCAGAGTCCAGTTGGGGAAGGTTAAACAGAGAACCTTCAAACCAGCAGACTGACTGAGAGAGATTTACTTACTCTGACTGAACAGTTTTGGCATTTGATCTGTTTCACCTGAGCTCCTCTGCTGATCCTCTAAAGATGGACGAAGCAGACTTTTTTTTTTAGGTATTCAGACATTTTCATTTGCAGACTCTCTGGGTAATGTCCTGACAAATTCAGGGTTGCATCAAGTCTGAGTATGGGGCTCATCTCTGAGTTAGACATGAAACACAGTTGTAATTTCACCCCTTTCAGAAAGATGGTAAAGAGGTGAGGCTGGGTGAGAAAATAACAATAGATTCCTGAATCATGTTTCTGAGTGTAAAATTGCAAAGAATTTGAACATTTGTATCATCAACACTACAAAACATCATTAAAAGACTCAGAAAATCTAGAAGGGAAGACTGATACCAGACGTACTGGACCAAAATTTGACAGTCTGTTTGGGAGTCATGGACAGCTTATCCTCAGCTCCAACCGGAACCAGAAGTATGATCCAGGATTACCCGTCGTATTAAGATGGACTAGAGCAGTGGTTCTCAAGTCCAGTCCTCAAGGCCCACTGTCCTGCATGTTTTGGATGTTTCCCTGCTCCAACACACCTGATTCAAATGATCAGCTCGTTATCAAGCTCTGTAATGGCTTAATAACGAGCTGATCATTTGAATCAGGTGTGTTGGAGCAGATGTTTCCCTGCTCCAACACACCTGATTCAAATGATCAGGATGAAACATGCAGGACAGGGGGCCTTGAGGACTGGACTTGAGAACCACTGGACCACAGATTTGGACTCAATTTCAAATCTGACATTTTTTGGGACATCGTGGACACCGAATCCTTCGCTCTAAAGAAAGGAGGGACTACCTGGCTTGTTATCAGCGCATAAAAATGTCCAGTTTCAACAGCCGATATGTTGTTTTTGCTGTATTTTCAGTGAAATTAAGTGTTAAATAATTTGCATACAGTCAAATTCTGTTCTTAACATTTTATCACAGCATCTCAACTATTTGTATATAATTTGTATATAAAAAGCCTTGAGATGTACATTTAGCATAATTTGGCTTAATTTCCAGTTTCTGATCAGGACAGAATTATTCCAGACTTTTCAAACCTCACCAAGCAAAGATGCAAAGAGAAGTTGGAGTCTCTAAACGGGGGACATCTGCCACATCAGCTGTTCAATGTGGATTTTTTTTATTTTTTATTTCTGTGACATTAGCAAATGAAACACCCACAGTAAACCCTGCCAACACCGTAACTGGATCTGTCAAACACATGGAAGGCAAAACTTGGCTGTACGCCTGCGGGAATGAGTGATAACACAATTTGCAGATAACTGGAGTGTGCCCTGCTCTACAGTGGGGAGTGGGCAGTGAAGAGGGCCGGGTGTGGGGGCTTTGTGGAAACATGAAGCCAGCTATTTCTGCTGCTCTCCTGGTATTAAGCCTCATCTTCTCTAGGTTTTAAAGTTGTTTGTTTGCTTTTTCTCTCTCTCCCTCAGCTGTGGATTTCTTCAACCAGATCAACATGCTGTACGGCACCATCACAGATTTTTGCACAGAGGAGAGCTGTCCGGTCATGTCTGCTGGTCCTAAGTAAGTTAGTCGCTGTAGTTTGAAGTCTTGATCTGTCATACCTCTCAAGGGTGTGAGGCCTGGGTGTTGCCAATGGGCCAAAATAACTGCAGTTGACCCCTCTGGTCAGTCGTCTCACCCCAGCAGCTTCTCATTGGGCGCTGGACTTGAGATGATCCCGTACTTAAACTTACTTGTGAGATTGTTTTGTTGTATATTTAGAAGCGATTTCCTGTTTTTGTAATAATCAGCTCTATTTTGGGATCATTTAGGGTCTAAAAGCACAAAAGGATCGCTTCAGCTGCTGCAACTTAATCCTTTCTTGGCGAACGCCCCAGATCAAAGTACGCCTGTTCTAAAGTGCTTCTTAAAAGGCTCTAATTGTAATCCAAACTATACGATAGAATTACAGAATAGATAGCTGTTATTTAGCCCTAATCATCTGTTGTTTAATTACCTGTCCCTGCTGATGTAAACAGTCATTGTATGCAGAAGAGGGGAGGATACACTTAACCGCCAACATCACACAACAAAACAACCACGAGCATGTGTATAAGGCAGCATTTAAGGTCATTGGAAGTGGTTTTCCTCCTACTAGGCAAGATCACCATGTTAACTTTTGCTGACCACCCAACGTGACCCATCAGTTATCTTGATTATGAAGTTCAGTGAGCTTACAGAAGTGATTAATTATGCTTTTCTGACACTATCCTTAAACAGAGGCTTAAATAGATTATCACCAAAGACTTAATCAGATGCCAAAATGCACACACACTTACCATATACAGTGCTCAGCATGAATGAGTACACCCCTTCAGACTTGTCAGAAAACCTTTAGTTTCCTTTCAAAATCAACATTTTCTATGTCAGACTATACAACAAAATACTCCCCCAAATATAGCCCATTAAGTGCAAACAAGGTTTTCTAAGTTGCATAAACAAAAGAATTTTTTTCAATTCAAATTTAGGATGCGAAAACGAGTACACCCCAATCAAAGTTCTGGGAGCAAAGCTAAATTTTTTGTTACCATATCACCCTTATTTTCATCTCATGGTAAATAAAAATGCATTACTTTTAATAGGAGGTGTACTAAGCTGGGCTCTGTATCATGTTTTCATAATTTCGTTTTTTCGTCTTTCGTCTTCGCAGCCTTGTCTGACACCATGGATCGCTGCAGATAAAACATTATGTCCAAAAAAAATCATACATGCTAGAATAAAACAGTGAATAAAAAGGACACAAGTCTGAATTTGCACATTCATCCTTCATTCATTCAGCAAATGCAGCTGTGTTTATTTTGGTCTCAATTATGTCTTTAAATTCTTCCTGTTTTCTCAGACCAAAGCTTCCTCTAAGTTTGTAAAATAAGATGAACTTGTCATGTATTTCTGTCACCATTAGCCTGTGTTGTATCTAAGGCTGGGTGATGTGGCCTCAACTCAATATCACGATATATTGAGCAGTTCACCTCAATAACGATAAATGGAGGATAACTACTCCACAAGCTGCTCACCCCCTCTCACATTAACTTTGTCTACTTCGGCCGCCGCTCCAACTTTTGTACCGTCCTCCATCTCCTCACCTGTCTTTCCCTCTTTTTTACGGACTGGATGGGGTGGAGTCATGTTTTTGACGTAGGACATTGTCTTAAATGGACATGAAACCATAGCCTACCTACACACATCCAAAACCAACTTTTATTTATCCATTTTTTTTACACCAAATATATTGACATGGGCAAATGACGTTGGTTATTGTAGTAAATTTTGGCATTGGTAAATTTTCAGTTTATTGCCCAGCCCTAGTTGAATAAAGCCCTACACTGAATGCATATGCCTGAACCTCCTCTAAAATGTAACCACACTTTGAAACTCTGCCTGTATCATGTATTTTTTTTGCATTTACACCAGTCCTGGTATCACATACAGTCTTCTCAGATATCCCCTCTCTTTTCTACTTTGCAACACTTTTTGATGGACTGCTGCTGAGCATTCATTACTAATATATCACTCTCAGATTCAGTCGCCATGGTTTCCTGTGCACACAAACCAGCAGAGAACTCAGTGAAATGATAAACAGGTGATTCAGAGAGGATAGAAATTTCACTGCAAACTGGTGTTCAGGCAAAGGATTGAAGATGATACAGGTATGACACAGGCCTTTTCAACGTAGTCTAGTGCTGTTTTTTTTTTTTAAGGGTGAGCTGTGTGTCTTGTTAAAAATAAAGATCAAACCTGATCAAAAATGGCTTCTGCTCTTGAAGCAGACAGACTTTGATCCTGCGCAGCTGCCTGCAGGAATCGTCTCGTTTGTGCGTGAAACTGGAAAAAATCCAAAATGTTGAAGTCCCTTGAAGTTAGTCAGTAAATAGACCTCAGGTTTAAAGATGCAGGGATTCCCCCTCACAGGAGTAGATTAGCAGGAAATAGACTGGATCCATTCATAATTTCAGGAGCTGATGTTTATTATTTGTGTTTTCTGTAGGTACGAGTACCATTGGGCCGATGGGACCAACATCAAGAAGCCCATCAAATGCTCGGCTCCCAAGTATATTGATTACCTCATGACCTGGGTGCAGGACCAGCTGGATGATGAGACACTTTTCCCTTCAAAGATTGGTAAGTGTGGTTTGCTTTTCACGCTACAATTTAAATTTTATCATCAGCAAAAAAGCAGAAACTTCTTACACTTGCTAGAGGACCAAGTAAGTCTGCGATATCACTAACGATAAACGTCCTTTGTCCTTTCTGCCCCGTTCAACTGCAATGCAAAGTGAACTGAGGATAAAAGTGAATGAAATGTAAATCATCATGTCAATAAACCCTCAGAGGTTTCATCTCATCATGTTACCGAGGCAGAACGCTAAATCCATAACAAGTGGATGTGTTATTCCTGAATCCTTCAGGGGTGATCATCTGAGCTGTCAGCAGCACAGCACATGGAAAAAAAAGCCTCTTTTTTTCTGTTTTCATAACCAGTTATCACTTATTTTACAACCCCCTCAAAATGATAATATTCTGAATCATCCCTAGTTAACACTGCCGAGGGTTATTAAAATGAGTTTGCATAGCAGCGCGGGGCTCAACCTCCAGACCAGCGGAGGCATGTGCTGTCACGGGTGGAGCCTTAATAGAGCTGGAAGGCAGCCAGCTCAAATACTTGTCTCATTTAGGCCTCGGTGCATCTCCACAGAGGGGAGAGGGGGCTAATGGCTGAAGATGCTCCTCAGCAAGGACAAAACTTCTATTAGCATTATTTTTCCATGATTAATGAACCTGTGAGGGGTGTATTTTTATGGCATCTGAGCCGAAACATAGTCTCACTTCGATGTCATTAAAAGCAATCACATAATCCTCGGGGTGTCTTTGGATACTTGTGACCTCATCAGGATTAATTGTAGCTGTAGGGGCCTGCAGTTCTGAAGAGCTGGGATCGGATTAAAGCTTGGAAAAAAGACAGAGACGAGGTTTGTCGTGTTAAAAGGTTTGAGCGGGATCAGGTTAACTTTGACGCATTTATTACAAAAGGTGATGATGATGCGTGAGGTTTTTTTATTTTGCTCTTGAGATACTGAACTGCTGCCATGACTTTGCAAATAAGAGAGATTTTATCTTTGAGTTTCACATATGTTACTCATAATCCAGATTTGGTAATCCTCAGAAGTTCTCTGGATTCAGTTGATCCAGTCCTTTTTCTGGGGGTTTTCAAACTCAGGACAGAAATAAAAAGGATAAACTGATCCTGATTAGAAAAAGTGTACACCCAAATCCAGATCTATTTAAATCCAGATTAAATTAAGTGATTCATGAAAATCCTGAGAGATCTCTGTAAAACCAGTGTAGGATAGGCTGCAGGGGATTATAATCAATTATGACTCTGGAGTGGAAATCATCGCACAGGCTTATAAGACCCTAGTGCCATTGTGAGAGACACCTGACTGAGACAATAATAAAAGACTTCATGAGGAATAAAATGTGTTAGAAATAGTGGTGGGTGATATGGCCTCAAATCAATATCACGATATATTGAGCAGTTCACCTCCATAACGATAAATGGACGATAACTACTCCATAAACTGCTCACCCCCCTCCCACATTAACTTTGTCTACTTCAGCCGCCGCTCCAGCCGCTACAACTTTTGAACCGTCCTCCATCTCCTCACCTGTCTTTCCCTCTGTGTTACGGACTGAATGGGGTGGACTCACATTTCCGGCATAGGACAGTGTCTTAAAGGGACATCAGCCCACCCAAACACACACATTTATTAATTTATTTATTTGACACTGAACTTTGGTGTTTGTAAATTTTGGGTTTATCACCCAGCCCTAGTTAGAGGCCATTTATCATCACGCTAAAGCAGTATGCTTAATTAAAGGAATTGTCAACCCTGGCTGCTGATTGGTCGAGAGGTATAGCATGCTGCTGCAAAAGTGTCTGCAGGATTGTTTCATTTGAAGCTGTCCAGTTATAGTAGCAGGCCGGTCTTTGTGCTTTCGGCTACATGTTTATTCACTTTAAGGAGAATGTCTTTAACTTTTAGGGATCTCAGTAAATAAAAGAGTCACACAAACAAAGTGGAATCAGGACAGTAAAATCAATAAGGTATGTACAGGTACAAAGCAAAGTTACAACCAATAAAGTTAGAAAGATCCTACAAATACTAGAGTGAATGCATGAATGAATTAAGGATGTCTGAACAATGGCTGAAAAGAAAAGTACCCAGAGAGCTTTGTGTCTCAATATCCAGAGACAGAGTTTCACAGTATTGGTGCATAAAATCAGAAAGCTCTCTGGCCGGTGTTTGTGTGAGACACAGGGGAAATTTAAAAGGACCTAAGAGACCTGAGTGGAACATAAAAATGAAAGTAGATATGTAATATGTGCAGAGAAAGCAGGTGTAGAGCTTTATAAATAAGTAAACACACTTTTAAATCTGTTCTTAAAGAAACAGAGAGCTGAGAAGTGGTGTCACACGATCTGACTTCAGCTCATTTGTTTTTATTTCAGTCTGGACAGTCAGTGTCGTGTTTTCTCTCTTGGAAAGTAATTCAATAACACGATACTTAATAAGACATGCCTTTAATGTTTTTCTCAGTGACGTTAAGTGATAAAAATGACTTTGAATTCAATTATCAATCATGCTGCATTAAATCCAATCAGAGATGAACTCTCTTAGTTGCTCACCAGCTCTTGTTTGTACATAAGGTACCGAACTGTGCTGTAGCTTTCTGTCAAAGTGTAGAAAACGCCGTCAACAAGGTTTCTGTTCTCTTTCATTTTTCTGTGACTCACGAGAAAACTGCACCATCATATCTCAAGTATGTGGAGAGCTAGCAGAGCTGTTGTTCCAGCCTCAGACCCTCCTAACTACAGATGAACACAGTGTTACCATGGGGTTGTTTCTGAGCCACACAGTCAAGGGTTGTTTGCACTTCCCTGAAATCGTGCCGTGGCCTGCCTGCTGAAACATTTGAAACCCCGGGAACATGCCGTAGCCGCAGCTGCCTTCATTTGCTCTGAGATTTTGCGGCTTCGTGAGATGAAAAGTGTTAATACGGAGTGAGAGAGGAAAGTCATGCACAGCTAAAGTGATATGACGAGGGATTTTTTGTGTGTTTTGGCTGTAAGAGCAGAAACACTCAAATCTTCAGAACACAAAAGGACTCCTGAAAGATTTCAATGTCAGAAAACTTGACCAATGTCAGAATAAAACAGCTCTGCTAACACTCGGGCTCCTGTATTAACATTTACAGCATTCATAAATCTTAAACCAGTCTTCTGTACGTCTTGACATGCTAATAAAATGAAGATTTTAGCATCGACCCATGCAAATATTGAAGTTTATCAACATGAACATCATAAACAACCAGCAGGTGCACTCCCTACAGCTCCAAACAAGGTTGATAGTAAACATGGAGGAGACCCTCGGGAGGTACAATCTAATACACAAGCAACAGCTGCTGTCAATGTGTCCTTGTCAGAAGTCTTTGTTGCCGCCATCAAGGTCCCAGCTTGGCAGCAGCTACCCATACTCATACTGGTAATGCCAACACAGCTCAATAGAAGTGTCACAGCGTACAAATGAAACAAACGGCTGCACACTGTGATAACATGACAGACACATGTAGTTCAAGAGCCGCCAATCGATTATCGCAGCTCTTTACCATCTCGGACAGACTCCAGCTTTATCAGCACAGTATGCAAGTGTCTGTCGTGGTTATTTTTGCTCCACTCTTGTGCAAGAAGAAGAGGAGTCAGAGCTCCTTCATCAGTATTCACATACATAACAGCAGCCACCTCTTTTCTGCCCTTAAAAGTTGATTTAAAATGTGAGTTTTCACCTGTTATATCTTTATATCGCACTAAGTTTTTTTTTTTGCACTCTTCTCCTTAAGGTGTCCCCTTTAAACGAAACTTCATGTCAGTGGCAAAGACCATCCTGAAGCGTCTGTTCAGGGTCTACGCTCACATCTACCACCAGCACTTTGACTCTGTCATGGAGCTGCAGGAGGAGGCCCACCTCAACACGTCCTTCAAACACTTCATTTTCTTCGTTCAGGTAAAAAGAAACTCAGATAATGAAGGATTACAGCCAGTCTGAGAAACTTAAAGGAGGTTTTATGTTTCTCCTCCACTTAATATTAAATATTTAAGTCCTGGCGCTCAGTGTTAAATAGGATAAACCAGGGGAGAGATTATTTGTGATGTGTTTTGAAATTAAAACACAGATGTCTGAAGTTTTTTTCCTCCTCTTGTAAACAAGTCTTCCCCTATTTTTCTTTTTCTAAAATCTAAATTCGAAACTTTTACCATGTATATTTTAAGGTTGAAGGGAAATTTTAAGTATGTCTACATAAAGAAGGGTCTCTTTTGCCACCACCTTACATCACAATGGCCCCAAGTAGTAACATATTTGGGAGAGGTTGTTTATCTTTTGCTCTTGAAAATACAGATTTGCTACCCTGACTTTCAGGCAGAACGAAGGATTTTCCCCCACAAAATATTTCCACAAAAAGCTGTTCATATCAAACATGAAATGCTTCTTTCTGAGGGTTTTCTTGTTAAGTGGATTTGCCGCCCCCTGTGGACCAAGTGGGTTGCATGTTATGTCATTTAGATCACCGATTTGGTAATCCTCAAATGTCTGTTTCTAGGTCGGGCTGATCCAATCCTTACTCTCTTTTTTTTTACCTCCAAAGTCCAGGACAGAAATAAAAATGAAAAAGCTGACCCTGATTTGATCCGGATCAAATTAAAAGATTATTTTGTGGAGCCAAAGAATCCGGAGAAAAAGGACCAAGACTGACAAACCAATATTGAACAATACTGAACAAAGATGACTCTCGAGCACACACCTGATTCAAATTATCAGCTCGTTATCAAGCTCTGTAATGGCTTAACGAGCTGATCATTTGAATCAGGTGTGTTGGAGCAGGGAAACATCCAAAACGTGCAGGACAGGGGGACTCAAGGACTGGACTTGAGAACCACTGCTCTAGAGTGTTAGTCACTGCATGGACTTAAAATTGCTTCATAATGCGATACCTGAGCATGTGTGTGTGATAGACTTCAGTTTGTAACCTGTTCGTGTTTTGAGAGTGGTTGGAAAAATAAGACGTTAAAAAAAACCTCTACTGGTTGACATTTTTGATGGTAAAAATGACTTGTCATGCATTTTTGGAGCTTTTTGTCCATAAAGGCCACCATATTTTCACTGTCAGGAGGAGGTGAACTAAGGAGCATTTCAGACTAGAACTTTACAGCTAGATATTCTAAAATATTCCTTTTTCTGCACTTTGTTCCTTCAGACTTAATACAGAGAAGGACAGTTAGACTTATCCTACACCTTAATCTTTTATTGAAACGACATTGTAGCACAAACAAAAATGTAGCAAACTCATTCATAATTGATAATATTTCTTCTCTGTCTGTCTTTTTCAGGAATTCAACCTCATCGACAGGAAAGAGCTGGTCCCGCTTCAGGAGCTGATTGAAAAACTGACAACCAAGGACAGATAAACAGCGGTGTAACCCTTATTTTATTGGTCTTCTAGTTTTTTGCACAGATACCCACCCCCCACCCTGGCTGTATGTATGCAGTATATACTATATTTCCATTTGGGGAAATGTTTTTAATAAGGCCAGGAAGAAGGAAGGGTCTTGATAGGTTTAAGGCACCAGGACTAATGCAATCAGGGATTACACACTTAATTGAACAAAACCACAGATTAACATAATAGAGAAATAGTTTTAGCTGTATGGAAAGATCCCCAGTATTCAGTTATTATGGCTTACATTTAGGGTAATATAGACATATGTTTTTGCGTTTGTTTTTTAGTTTTCTATTATATTGCACAGATGTTTCTTTTCACTTGGATTTGTGGTATCACAAGCATTTCTTTGCTCTTTAGGTTTTCAGTTCACCCGCAGGGAAGTAAAGCGTCAAAACAAAGTTGCTGTATCATACCAGGAGGGCTTTGTTGGTGTTATGGGAAGATTTATAGCCAGCTTTTAACAGCATTAGCTCGTTATTTTCACCGTTATTATATACAGAGGGATCTGGGATGCAGTCTACTTTCTGTAATCACCCACATCTGTCAATACAAGATAACCCTAAGTGCCTAGCATGGCTCATAATTGCCCTATATCAACAGTGAGAACTGTACGAAAAGAAAAGGCCATACGCACCAAACTTGATTCACAAAACATTCAGTTTTACTTCCTGCATCCTTTTTAAGTTTGTGGTTCTCGCGCCCAGTTTTCTCTTTGTGCTGTAACTTGGTTCAGACATAATTTTCTCTGTATTTGTCACCAAACCTACTTAGATAGTGTCTTTACCAAGTTGTTATGATAAATGAATGTGTTGACGGACATAGAATCGAGGCTAGAATATCGTCACGTTAGCAGCAGGGACTTTAACTCAAGTTTTTAGTGTTTTCTTCTAGCGACATGTTCCTGTGTACTAGTGTCCCTCTCAAAACTTTAAGTAGAGTTGAATTTTAGGGAAAGTCTTCAAGGGATCTAAAACCTGAAATTGTAAATAAATGTCCACTAAATAGACGTAGAGAGCTGTGTTTTGAAAAAGTCTACTGTTTAAAAATACAAGCATTTCAAATTGGATTCTGCTGCATCCCTTGCTTATTCCACAAGCCATAAAGCACTTTGAACAATTTTCCTGACCTCTCTCGCCTGAATGTTTTATTCTGCATAGACTGCGCTTTGTGAGAAGCTGTGTCATGTGACTGATCATCGGTTCCTTCCCTCCTTCATATTTACCCCCAAATGAATGTTGAATCGCTTATCCTCCGCTGCAATTGGCTTTAAGGCACAAGTGAGACTTCTGCTTTTTTTTTTTTTTTTTTTTTTTAAGTATGTTTGTTGCTGCGCTTCAAACAGCAGATGCATGTCCCCTCCCTGATCTCAAAGTGTAGTTTACTATGCAATAATTGACACGACACTAAAAAGTTTACTATTTGGCTCATACTTTGATATTCATTTTCCTTTATAGTGCTTAAATTCTGGTGTATGATACGTATAGAATTGCTTTGGTGAACATTTTATATCTTCTTATCTAAAAATTGTCAGAGAGGTGTAATACTTTAATGCACACTTGTAAATACTGAGGGTTTGACCTGTCTTGAGAATAATTTTCAGCGCGCATGGAGTGGTAGCTTTCAGTTTAAAGAATGCGTTGAGTCTTTTTAGAGGCTGCTCCCCCCCTCCCTTATTTGGATATTAAAAATATTGTTTGTTTTAAATGTTGAGTATTTTTTCCCCCCACTTCCTTAGCTAACTATTATGAATGTTAACTGAACTGCTCACCAGATATCTGAAAATGTAATAGAAAAATCAGTCATCCTAAAAGCATCTCATCCTCATGAAATGCCCGTAACATAGCCTATTGCCTACAGTTTTTCCTCCTTGACTGTAATAATTGATGAAATGTTTGTAAATAATGGCTTGGTAGGGGTTTTCAATGCTACTGAATTGATTTATGCTGTTTACAAGGCAAATAAAGGTGGTCTTGACTCTTTGAATTTATTGTTTGTTTAATGTGGTGTCATTTAATTTCTACAGTTTTGTAGTATTTACACTCTTTCCATTCTCTGCTAACTAAAAGTTCTACTCCAGCACAGTGTCAATTAGTGATGGGCACGGCAGTTCTTTAAGATGTACTGAATCACAAGAATCAGTTCACTAAAAAGATGCATTCAAAGGATTCGTTCACTAAATCACTGAATCATTCAGCGCTCGGCAGGAGAAGCCTTTGACTCCGACCTCCTGAACTGATACACGGCTGAACGTTACAGGATTCAGTTCAATTCATAGCTTCTGGGACCAGGAGACAAGAGTGTTTGGCTGTGTTAAACAGGTTTGTAAAAATGAACTTGTTTATAAGTCATGATGTTTTAAGTGTACTGTCCTATGGTATGGTATTTACCAGGTCTGCTTGGTAAATTGGGGTCAGTTAGTGATTCGTTCGCTCAAAGTTTAGAAGAATTCACACTGAACATGCACCGTTCTCCCTCAAACCTCTGCAATGATAGGATGCTGCGGGTTTGATGCACTGCTTGTTACATGCTGTGTCCTGTTGTATGAAAGTTGTTGTGGTGGCAATTTAGCAGTGAAAAAAAGGTCGTTTTATCCGACAAAAATGATTCCAGAGAGTGTAGTTCAATGCGTGATTCGTTCACCAAGTGATTGAGGCATCGGTGTCGGTGGTCCCTCGTTCGCCGGCTGCTGGCGAACGAGGAAAAAAGAAACAGTGCAGATAAAAGCCACAACGAAAGTTAAAAAAAAAAAGGTGATGGACTTACAGCGGAAGTGTGCTGCCGGGGACGAACAATGATAATGCGCTGCTGTTTTACAATCTAGGCACAGAAGACGACGGCAAGAAGATGAGCAAAGTAGAAAGGTTATTATTGTTTAAATTCGCTTCGTGTGCTATTCAATGTCTCATTTTGTCAAGGCCAATAAGTAACTTTTTTTTTTTTTTTTTTTGCATGACCACTTTTTTTGCGGCATTAACTTCCATTGTTTTTTGTGTGCTTGTTTTTTTTTTTGTTTGTTTGTTTGGGGTTTTTTTTTGCATTCTTTTTATTTGCAGCAGTGGCAGTTGTTGGCCACCGTATGAAACAACAGAACTGCAGATTACTAATGGTTTATATTTCATTGGTGATGGAAAAAAAGTTACTTATAGTGCAAGTGAGCACTGGTGTTTTACGATCTAGACACAGAAGACGACGGCGAGAAGACGAGCAAAAAAGTAAGTAGAAAGGTTATTGTTTAATTTTGCTTTGTGTGCTTTTCAATGTCTCATTTGGTTAGGCCATGTTGGTCAGGCCAGTAAGTAACTATTTCTTTTCTTTTTTTTTGCATGACCACTTTTTTGCAGCATTAACTTCCATTGGTTTTTGTTTGCTCTGTTTGTTTTTCTTTTTTTTGCATTCTTTTTATTTGCAGCAGTGGCAGTTGTCGGCCACCGTATAAAACAACAGAACTGCATTTTACTAATGGTTTTTATTTCAGTGGTATGCCAATAATACGCCACCGTACATCTATTTGTACATGTTGACAACGTTATTTAACACAATGACTTCTCGTCCATTTTCAATGTGTATTAAAAGTAAACTTGTTTCTAGCGTATTTTAAATACTTTATGGTGAAGTCAGAGCTTTTTCAGCTTGTTTGTACTTCCATGCGTAAAAAACAACATGCACGCAGACCAGGCGGAGCTTGCAGGCGCAGACGGGGCTGCAGCTGCTTCCTGGGCGGGGACACATTGTGCAAACCGCCGCTCCTCCTGCCGTCTGATACCGCCAAATTCAACACAAGGGACATCCAACACATATCTAGTCGGAGATCATCGGTATCCACAGCTGCTGCACCTGGTTTAATCGAGATTCGCTGAAGATGCCCATCACTCCGAAGAGACCCTGTTCTAATACAGTGGATGAGTCCATGAACGACTCCATGGAGAAGAGGATAAAGCGGATATCGGTGGAGGGAAATATCGGTGAGTGCAGAAAACAAGCTTAACAGCTCTTTTAATACCTACATTTTAACCATGTGTGTTTGCAAGCACACTAATAAGAAGCAGGTTTATGATTCATGGTGATAGCAGACCGCTGTCGTGCGTTATTTGGGTGCTTTTCAGATTTGCCGCCAACTGTTATTGTGCGGCTCCATCCGGTGCAGAGTGGATGTCTGTCTTGTAAATATCAGGTTTTGAGATGGCTCAGAGGATGGTTCACCTGTCAAACGCATGATTTAATGAAATAGTAGCCTGTTTAAGCACACATCTTTGTGCATCTTGTGTGTTCAGCGGCGGGCAAATCCACCTTTGTGCGCCTTTTGGAGCAGGAGAGCGCGGACTGGGAGGTGGTACCGGAGCCTATCGCAAGGTGGTGCAATGTCCAAACACAAGGGAGTGATTTTGAGGTAAATGCACATTTTGCCTGTTTTTATGCACTTTTCTCTGTCATGCTGTTCATCTGAAACCCATACATATATCATAGTCTGGCATTATTAGTAATAGTTACAATAATTATTATTATTCCACAACTCCACAATAGAAACTTCAATGTGCAATAAATAATATTATCATGTAAATTCTGTACAGATGTAAATAAGACTCATGTACACACAGTTGAAACCAGAAGTTTACATACACTATATAAAAAGGCACATAACCTTTTTTCCCCTCACTGTCTAACATTAGATCAGATTAATCATTTCCTGTTTTTGGTCAATTAGGATTACCCAAATTGTTTTTATAGGCTAAATGCCAGAATAAGGAGAGAGAGAATTTTTTGGGACCATTTTTGATTATTTTCTCAAGAGTCACAGGTGTGCCTCGAATTAACTCAGATGTTGTCAATAATCAGAGGTTTCCAAAGACATGATATCATCATTTGGACTTTACCATATTGTTTAAAGGCATAGTCATCTTAGTGTATGTAAACTTTTGACTCTTGAGAAAATAATAAAAAATTGTCTAAAAAATGTCTCTCATTATTCTGGCATTTAGCAAATAAAAATAATTTTGGTAATCCTAATTGACCAAAACCAGGAAAAGTTTAATCTGATTTAATGTTAGACGGTGAGAAAAAAAAGGTTACGTGCCTTTTTATGTAGTGTATGTAAACTTCTGGTTTCAACTGTATAAGTAAGACTCATGAGCATATCTTTTTTTAACTCAAAGTTTCTTTATCTTTTAATTTTCCTCTTTCTGTAACTGCAGTATGCTGCCGTAAATTTGGAATTTCCCCCCGTGGGACTATAATAGGAACATCTTCTTACTTCTTCTTCTTGTTAATATTTTTAGTAAGAATTACGTTAATATTATTATTATTATTATTATTAACTATTATTACTATTATTAGTAAGTTTGTGACATTTGGAGCCATAGCTGGGGCCCTAAATTTCCATCAATACTTTTTATCAAGTGTGTTTTCCTGTGATAACGAGCACATTTCATTAAATTTTTAGATCTTGGCTTGACAACATAAGATCATAGCTCTTATCACCAGTGTTACAAAAGCACAAACAGAAATAGGCGTACGTCACCAAGTTAAAGCTCCTGTGAGAATTATTTATTCTGTTATAAAACAGACTGATATAATATCTTTTTTAATGCTTTATTGCAGGCTCATTCATTACATACATGTTCATTTCATACATAGCATATTACAAGTTTCCTTTACTTGTTTATTTCAGCCAGCAACCTTTTTTTCCTTTTTTAACACTCATAAATAAATAAATGTTATTTCAAAAACATAAGAAAAGAAAAGATAGAAGGAAAAGAAAAGGGGAAATAGAGTAGAAATAAGGGAGAGAAAGGAAGAGAAAGAGAGAAAAAAGACGAGCCATTAAAATAACATGAAAGAAAAATGGGAAAATGAATTAACAATAACAGTATTGAAAGAAGATTGGAAAGAAGCATGTAAAAGAATTTTTAAGACAACACAATCTAAGTATTGGTGAGAATTTGCATGGAAAATTAACATAAAAATTTCTTTAACACTCAAAATTTAATCAAATTATAGACCAGCAGGCAGTGCTGAATGTTGGAGGAAATGTGCAGAAATGGAGGCCACTCATGCTCATATTTTCATTCTCTGTCCAATATTGAAAAGATCTTCGGGAAACGGTAAAGGTAAAAATAACAAAACTTTTTCACTTAAAGAATCCCTTACACCAAGTTATTATTTTATTAGGTATTATTCCATTAGAATTACATAGAGAAGGGGATAAATATCTTTTTACAATGCTACGAATTTCTGCTTTAAGACAAATCACACGCAAATGGTTGGATGCAAAGCCACCATGGAGTAATGATTTGAAAAAAAAAACAGTTGAAGAGATTAAAGATTTGGAAAGAATAACCCACAAAATGAGGAACTGTGACAATGAATTCAAAAGAAACTGGAGTAAGTGGGTCCCATAAATACATGAAACATGTTTTATTTATGACTGATTTTAATATCAATGCCACCACATGAGCTTTAAAAGCAAAGAAAAACATCAGAACAGAGACTGATTGTTTCTGCGTAGTTATTCCAGAGGTTTTAAGAAGCTGTCAGAGGGTAGGGGACAGTCCCAGTGATGAATTGTATTTTGACAAAACAGCCAAATTTTCCATTTTCCTTGGACTTCCTGTCCATAGGTGCTTTAATGTAAATGACAGAGCATTAGAGCCACATTACTAGGGTTGGGTATCGTTTGATTTTGAACGATTCCGATTCCAATTTCGATTCCTCATTTCGATTCCGATTCCTATCGATTCTCTAATTCGATTCTTTTAAAAGGCAGGATATCAAAAAGAAAAAAGAAAAAAAAAAGCATCGTTTGAATGAGGGTGCTAACCGGGGCTCTTCTTTTTGGATGAAATTTCTGAACTTCTCCATGAATTTTTAAATCCTATTAACTTTTTAAGAACTTTGCTATGGATTTCTCACAGAGCTATTTTCAACCAGTATATAAATATCAATTTTTGTTTTCAGGTCGTTTGTCTATGAAAAAGCACAAGGGCTAACGTTAGATGGATATTTAAGTTTACTCACCGTACACAGTTCAATTTCTTTACCGTTTCAAAGTTAGCAGAGGACAGAAGTCATTTATTGTTTCACTTATCTGATCCTGACTGGTTAGTGGAAGACAGGTGTTGTGCTGTAGAATGCACCCCTGCCGTAGAATGCCTCCCCTTCACTGATTAGCTTCTTAGTGGAAGAAATATGATCTCATATTTAATAAAACACGGGTATTAGATCATGAAAACGTGTCAAATGGAGCAGTAAACTTTCGTTTTGTTTGTATGTGTCTCAAAAATGCACACATAAAGGTGTACTTGGGTATATAAACTGTAGAGAACATTATATTTTCAGGACAGTAAATATTCCGAATCAGAGGGCTATTGTTTTCGGCATATCTGAATAGCCTGAATGAAATCATTAAAGGCACACGCTTTAGATTCCGTCCAACGGTAAGAAAAACTTGGATTGTTTCGCCTTGTTGTGTACTTTCAACCGCGCTCCCGTCAGGGGTGCATTCAACAGCAGAGGTGCATTCTCTGGCACAACACCGGCGAAGCGCGTCAAAGACGAGCACTCGGGTATTTCTCCTCCATGAATCCTGAGGTGTTTAATCACGTTGGTCGTTTACCCTCCTTTGCATGATATAACTGTATTGCTAATGTTGCATTGAGATAAGAGCTCATTCTTCCTGCTAAAGTTAGCCAAACTTTTGACCAACGAAGAAGAAGCTGCCGAACACCAACGAGGACGGAGCGTATGAGACGAAGCCACACAGAGAGAGGAGAGAGACAGAGAGAGATTACATTGTAACCCACAGCGGCTGCATTGCTGTGGGTTGCAATGTACTTTCTCTCTCTGTCTCTCTCCTCTCTCTGTGTGGCTTTGTCTCATACGCTCCGTCCTCATTGGTGTTAAGCGGCTTCTTCTTCGTTGATTTTCGGCGGCTATTTCTTCCGGTCGGCGGACTCTGGCATCGAAACTTGGAATCGAAATTTTAATATTTGAACGATACCGGAAGAATCAAAGTTTTAGTCCCGATTCCCATCGATTCTCGATTCTCGATTCCCAACCCTACACATTACAGAAAAAAATAAAAGGTTTTCAAAGTTTTAGAATATTTTTCTGAGTCATTTTCTCACAAGAATAAAGTCATAGTTTAATAATATTCAAAGTTCAACTCAACTCAACTTTATTTGTTAAGCGCTTTAAAACAACCACAGCTGAACAAAGTGCTATACATAAATAGACAAAACAACTAGACAAAAAAAAACAATAAAAACAATGGATTAAATAAAAGCAGAATTAAAAATTAAAATATTGTTTCAGTGTTTTTAAAAACTAATTTAAAAACATAGAAACAAATAACTAAAAACAAACCATAAAACACTAAAACAGGAGCCGAGTCTCATGCAGGGTTAAAAGCCAATGAATAAAAATGGGTTTTAAGACGAGTTTTAAAAATTGACAGTGTCGGGGCTTGTCTGATTTGGAGGGGTAGCTCGTTCTATAATTTTGGGGCTGCAACAGAAAAAGATCTATCCCCTCTGAGCTTCAGTTTGGACCTCAGTACCTCCAGGAGCAGCTGATAAGCTGACCAGAGGCACCGAGCAGGGGTGTAGGGGTGGAGAAGCTCAGAGAGGTAAGATGGAGTTCAATGATTATCAGCATAATGCTCTTTTAAGGGGGATACCATAAGTCTTAGTTTTTCAGAGTCCTGATTCTTATACCTGTGTGGTGCTGAGAGGACAAAATATTAGAGACGGTTTAAAGAGACGCTTAATGTTCATCATTTTGGTTCAGGCAGCTGGCTGCTCAACATAAACCACAACTACAATTATATCACAACTTCATGTTCTCATTACACAAGGACTTTGTTCTCAATATATTATGACTTAACAACAACTTTCATTTGTTATAATATGGATTAAAGAAGCAACATTATGGCTTGATTTTAGTGAGAAAATTACTTTTTTCACAAGAGAACTACTTAAAATTAACTAAATCTAGCAAAAAAGAACCATTAACTGTGACAAAGATTTTTCTCCTTCCTTTATTTATAAAATATGAACATTACTCTTTCTCTAAAGGAAATATCAACTGGAAAAAACTGCAAATTGAAACGACTATAGAAAAGAAAACAGTGTCAACAAACATAATCCATTTTGCAAACTTTAAAATTAGTCAAATCAAATCAAATCAAATTTTATTTATATAGCGCCAATTCACAACAGTCGTCATCTCAAGACGCTTTTCAAGGAACAAGAGCAGGTCTGGACCACGCTCATTGTTTGATGATCAAGAACCAACCTAAGATGGGTTTTGGGGGGGGGGGGGGGGTCTGCGGCAACGGTCCAGAGGAGCCAAAGAGCCAAAGAGTTGGAGGAGCTCAGGGCCCAGGGTGGATGCAGCTGGGGTCAGGCAGTTCCGCAGCAGACCTGTTTGCAGCATTAGTCCAGTGGCAGCTAAAAGACTCAGAGACACTCAGAGAGACAGAAAACTGGTCAGTGACTTATATGGGACATAAAGATCTAAAGAGGAGATAGAGACAGACTCTAGCTCAGTGTGCCAGATAGCCCCGGCAGTCTAGGCCTATAGCAGCATAACTAAGAGCTGGTTCAAATCAGCCCTGACTATAGGCTTTATCAAAGAGGAACGTTTTAAGTCTACTCTTGAATGTTGAGTGTGTCTGCCCCCCGAACCTCGAGCGGTAAATGATTCCAGAGGAGAGGTGCCTGGTAGCTGAAAGCTCTTCCTCCAATACTACTTTTAGAGACATTTGGTACAACGAGCAGACCTGCAGACTGTGAGCGTAACGGTCTAGATGGAAAGTACGGTATAACTAGCTCGTTGAGATACGATGGCGCCTGGCCATTAAGCACTTTATATGTCACAAGGAGGATTTTAAACTCAATTCTATATTTAATAGGGAGCCAGTGAAGAGAGGCTAAAACAGGAGAGATGTGCTCCCTCCTTCTAGTTCTAGTCAATACCCGAGCTGCTGCATTTTGGACCAGCTGAAGAGTCCTTAATGACTTACTAGAGCAGCCTGATAGGAGAGAATTACAGTAATCCAGCCTAGAGGTAACAAATGCATGGACTAGTTTTTCTGCATCGCTCTGAGACAATATACGTCTAATTTTTGAGATATTGCGCAGGTGGAAAAAGGCTGTCCTGGAAATTTGTTGAATGTGGGAGCTAAAAGATAAATCCTGATCAAATACAACTCCTAGATTTCGCACAGTGGGGCTGGATGCCAGGCTGATACCATCAAATGTAGCTAAATTACTAGAGAACGCCTCTCTAAGGTGTTTAGGACCGAGGACCAGAACTTCAGTTTTGTCTGAGTTGAGCATTAGAAAATTATTGGTCATCCAGGATTTTATAGCTTTGAGGCAGGCTTCTAACCTAACAACCTGGCCTGCTTCCTCTGGCTTTATGGATAGGTATAGCTGGGTGTCATCTGCATAACAGTGGAAATTAATCGAGTACTTCCTCATAATTTTACCCAGCGGAATCATGTACAGGGTGAACAGGATTGGACCGAGCACTGACCCTTGCGGCACACCGTAGCAGACCTTGGTGTGTGCAGAGGATTCATTATTTACATTGACAAACTGGGATCAATCTGTTAGGTACGATTTAAACCAGGAGAGAGCTGATCCTGCTATGCCTATAGATTGTTCTAGTCTCTGAAGCAGGATGGAGTGGTCAATTGTGTCAAATGCTGCACTAAGATCTAACAGGACTAGAACAGAGAGAAAACCATTGTCTGAGGCCATGAGTAGGTCATTTGACACCTTTAGCAGAGCAGTCTCTGTGCTGTGATGGGTTCTAAACCCAGACTGGAAATCCTCTAATAAACCATTGTTATGGAGAAAATCACAGAGTTGATTCGCAACAACTTTCTCTAGGATTTTAGAAATAAAAGGAAGGTTGGATATTGGTCTATAGTTAGCTAGGGAGCTTGAGTCCAGAGTAGGTTTTTTAAGGAGAGGCTTAATCAATGCAGTCTTGAAAGACTGGGGAACATATCCTGTTAATAAAGACGTGTTAATCAATTTGAGCAGGGACGTACTAATCAAAGGAAGAGTTTCCTTCAGCAATTTTGATGGAATCGGGTCTAAGAGACACGTCGATGGTTTGGCTGCTAGCACCACTGACTAAATTGTGTCAAATGTGTGTAACTCCTTCATCACATACAGTATGTATGGATACATGTCCGCTCAGGACTTACATACAAACAAAATAAATCAGGAATGAATTTCATCATACTCAAGGAACCTGACCCTCTCACGCTGCCACTGCTCCAGCACGCACAGCTCACGTCAAGATAACTGGGAGAGTCTCCATCTGTATTTAGAGCACAGCTGCCATCTGCCCATATATCTGCACTGACTGGTTACCAGCAACACACCCCGGAGCAACAGATGGTCCAAGTCTGGACGGATGAGCATGCCATCATCGGGGCAGACAAGTCCAGCCTCCCACACGGCTGCAGGCCCAGAGTCACCCTCAACCTCAGGCTCATTTTCAGGAGCTCATAGCAGTGCATAAATAAGAGTTTGTCAGACAGATACAACAGCCCAGAGCCCAGGAGAATCATACAATACAAGGTCATTAAAAATGCTCCCTCTAAAGACCAGTAACGATAAGATTTATGAGAGATAAATAAGAGAAAACCCAGTTCTTACAATTCGGCATGTAATATTCTCAACAATGATGCATTTCACTATCAGAAGTCAGCAAAATTAGATTTTTGTTCGAAAACACAACTAAAGTATGCAGAGGACAAGATAAGCAAGGTCTGCTGTGTCCACAAGGTGGCGCCAAAGTGACACAATCTTAAAGTTCCCCACAGGAGCTTTAATAGTCATCGCTGTGTACTCAACTTTATTATTCTGAGTTGAAAATGAATCCAAAATAGTTGTTTCTTCAAAGTAAAGATAGTATTTAAAAATTAAGCAAATAGCAATATGCACGTGCTCAGTCTCATCAAGCCTAATGGGTTCCTGTTAATTTTATGCACTGTTTAAAATTCAGCCCGTCTCATATTTTCACAACAGGAGCTGACCACGTCTCAGAGGAGTGGAGGGAACATACTGCAGATGATGTACGAGAAACCGGAGAGGTGGGCCTACACCTTCCAGAGCTACGCCTGTATCAGCCGAGTGCGCGCTCAGATCAGGTCGGCCAACGGGAAGCTCCAAGAGGCGGAGAATCCGGTGCAGTTCTTCGAGAGGTCCATCTACAGCGACAGGTATCTGCTGAGATGTAGATATAAGGATTATTAAACCTGTTCGCACCGAGTTTGTTCAAGAATTTGAATCACATACAAGTTTTATCATCAATTTGTGGACTAAAAACTAGCTTAAAATTAACTAGCTCTGCAGTAAGAAAAAACATGTCACAGTCTTGACCCACACATCACTCTTCCTAGCTGCAGGTACCCTTTATACACTGACCTCTGACCTCCTCTCTCTGGGAACTTACCTAAACCATGACAGCGGTAAAAGTTGCTCCCTGAACTGAGGCTCAGCCTCCAGTAGCAGACGCTCCAGAATCTGCGATATTTTTGTTATCAGTTTGATTCTGGAGACGTCTCCTCGGTCAGTGTTTGTTTATGAATGAAGGGGGCGGAGCTTCCAGAGGAGCATCAGTAGGAGGGCTGTATTTACTCGCTTGTCTAAATCAGATACTAACAGTATTTCTCCCCAATAACAGCCGTGCATTAACTCATTGTTTTAGCTGAATCAGGACACAGGTTTATGGTTCTAATCAGAGCTAAAGCCTCAATAGGACCCTGAGCAAAATCTGATTTTGGGGCCCTCTATTTCTGCCAATAATATTGATTGTTGATCGTTCACACACCTTCACAAATCTCTTTGATTAACATTCCAAGACATGCAAACATACCTTTATCTTGGCATTTTTCTCCTCCTCCTCTTTCTTTTCTCTGCTCCTGAAGGATATGTCCTTTTTTGCAACATTGTTTTGCCCCACAACTTCCTGTGCTTTGGATGCTCAGTGCACATTTCACAGCAGAAGGCACATAACCGTAGCAGAGCTTTGACATATCGGCAGTAAGAATCATAGGCCTACATCAGCAGCAGCACTAAAATGTTTTTACTTTACTTCTACTTTTAAGGTTTTTATTTTTACAATTATATATATTTGATCATACAGAAAGCATCACTCATACATGCAAAAAATAAAAAATATTATCATTATTATTATTTTTGATTGCTCTTGGGGGCCCCTATCCGCTGTGGGGCCCTAAGCAGGCGCTCAGTTTGCTTATGCCTCGGGCCGCTCTGGTTCTAGTTTCTCTACTTTTTCCTGCTTATTTAGTGACTGGAGTTGCAACTGTAAATTGTTTCTTTGATGAATTTGTCTTCTTTTGGCAAACAGCATTCACTTAAAAAAACTTCGACTATTTTTCTGAAATAACAGAAAATCTGGGGACTGCAACAAAACCTTTGTGATGATCAAAAGTTCTGCCCTGTTTTTTTTTTTTTTTAATTTAAGGAAATGTTCATCCTGGGATAAAGATTTTAAATTTGTCATTTTTGAAAGATTATTTGGGGCCTTTTTCCCTTTATTGACAAATAGAAACGAAGAGATGGTGGGGAATGACAAACAGAGAAGGGGACACTGGGTGAAATCAAACAAGGACCGCCTGCATGTACGGGCCTCCTCTTCGACCGCTAGGCTATTGTAGCTCCTTAAGATTAGACAAATCTGAATCAAATTTGTCTGTTTTTCTTAACAAGCAAGACTTTTAACCCAGTAATTCAGTAAAACAGAGGATTTTATTTTTTCTTGAGTGAATGCAGCATACTCTCTAAAATTTGGGGAAAAAATGAAAAATCTTTAAGTAAATATTGAACATTACAAACTCAGATGAAGTTGTGGGTGAGGCAGAGAGGTGAGTGAAAACAGACCTAGAGATAAAGAAATATGCAGTGGAGCTGAAGTAATTATATATCAGCATTTGCTCAAATTAAACACTGATGTCAAACGCTAAATTATTAGTTATTGTTGATAATGAATCGACCCCTTATCACTAAATTAAAGAGGTATTCGTCCCTTTTTTGCTTCAATTGTGGCCCCTGTAATTTCTAAAGTTTCATACTTTAATACTACTTTTAATTTGGATAATAAATGAGAAACAACCACATTTTATTTCTCATTTAATTTGTCGTTTCACGTTTATGGTTGTATCTCATGAAGAGAGTTAGTCTTTTTTATGAATCTGTTCATTAAAATAACTCACAGTGTTATGAGAAGGCAGTGTGCATTAAAAAAAACTTTGAAATGGTCCTTTAACTTTTTGCTTTGAGCTTCTGTTCACTGTTTTTTTCCGTTCCCCCCCTGCCGTGTCTCAGGTACATCTTTGCAGCCAACCTTTATGAGAGCGAGTGTCTGAGTGAGACTGAATGGTCCGTCTACCAGGACTGGCACGGCTGGCTGCACAACCAGTTCGGCAAGAACATCGAGCTGGACGGTATCATCTACCTCAGAGCTTCACCTGAGGTACTCCCCCTCATCTCCTCGACCCTTTTTTTCCCCCCTCTGCTTTGCCCTGACATGTAAAAAAATACCTATTTTCTGTACAGACGTGTAACTGTTACTTAAAACATTTTAACAAATGTGCTGTTGTGTGTGTCTGTGCAGAAGTGTCTAGAGCGGCTGCACCTGAGAGGGAGAGCGGAGGAGCAGGACATCCCTCTGGAGTATCTGGAGAAGCTGCATTTGAAACACGAGAGCTGGCTGCAGCATAAAACCATGAAGTAGGTTCACATGTAAAAACACAAGTGAATGAAAAGTCCGCACAGACAGCTCTGTCTGTGATAATTGGGTCTTTTTAAGCAGATTATTCAAACAGTTTCGGGTCCTCGTGATATGCATCTGCCTCATTACTGAGCTTTAGAAATGGATGAGGCTGGAAATGGGTTTGTGTCTTTCATTCTTTTGCGCTCTCAGGAATTCTTGACAGAGATGAAAGCTTCACCTTGAGGGACTAAGTGAAGAAGAAAAAAAAGGGGGATTTGATAGGCATCACTAACTGTTTTCCCCCCTCTGGCCCACAGCATGGACTTTAAGTATCTGACTGAGGTGCCCGTCCTGACCATAGATGTGAGCGAAGATTTTAAGGCGAGCGACACAAAGAGCGCAGACATGATTGAGAAGGTGAGTCGCAGGTCAACACATAAAAGTCCAGTAAACCTCAAGTAACAATCACTTACAGTCAGTGGATGGTTTAATGAGTGTTTTAATGGCCTGTTGTTCTAATTAGTTTTTCTGCATTTAAACAAAACAGTTCAATAAAATATGAGACACAAAGCAAAACTGGTGTTTTGGCATCTTCTGATATTTGCTTTTTTGCTTTCAAACAAATATGAGTTTTTCAATTAATGATAACAAAGCAAGTCAGTTGGTCGATAACATGCTGTCTTCTTTGCACTTTATAATAACAATAAAAATATATATATATTTCATGCTCATTCAGGCCTAATATACTGTACATGGTTGTCTTAGCCAGAAACATGTTTCAGAAGGATTTTGAATTAAATCATCAAACAGATATATTTAAAATACATCAAAACATGACAGATTTATTAAGGCACAGGAATTTAAAAAGTATTTACTTCTTCGTACTCCTTTTCCAACGTGTATAATTACTTCATTTCTTTTTTTTTCTATGTATGTAAAAGGAAATATTCTATTTATTTTATCTCTTTGCATACATTTTTTAAATGAATAAATTCATTTATGTCAAAGGCAGTGTTAAACTCCATTTTTTGACATATTATGGCAGATTTCATAACAAACAGTTACTAGTAACTGCTGGATTTGATCAGCTATATTCATGATGGGAAAAACGTGTTATCATGTTTACCTTACTCGACAGCAGACAGATTGATCAGGCTGCCTGCAGTGTCTGCAGATATTAAGTGTTGGTGCAGGACAGTGGAGAGAGCAGGAAAAGAGCCACAGGAGGGAATCAGACCAGCCAATGCTGAATTATGTTGAAATCAGCCCAAATAATCAATCCAGCCTTACTTTCTTTTCTACAAAAAAAGTCAGTGTTGTGCTGCTACTGGACATGTAGCAGATTTCACATTCTACTTCCCTTATAATTTCACACCTGTTATGAACTTTTCTTTTACATTTTTTGATAATTTCTATAAAGTTTGGGATCATGACTGAAATCAGGACAACGCTCCAGTGATAAAGACATTTAAAGTTCCTGCAATCCTGAATTTTTTTTTTTTTTTTTAAATAAACTAACTATTAAGGTTTCTGCACCCTCACACATTTCTGAGGCTGATTTTATAATCTGCTTTTAAAATATCGCTCTACATCAAAGAAAAGTAAAAATCATAAAAATAAGCTTCAACTCAAGCTCCACTTGATAAAACAATTGATGTCAACCAAAGCGATAAAGAAAAAAATCTTTCTGCTTCATTATTCCAAAAATAAGATGGAGATGCCGAGTACGTCACTGTGCAAAGACAGCTGTTTTGCCTCCATAATGAGTCTGTTTACTTTGGAAACTTTTTAGTTCTGCTGATGATTCTGTAACTGAAAAACACAGAGGGGTTTTTATGTGGTTATAAAACAGACTGAAGAGGGATATGATGAGTCTGATACAGCCTGGAGAGGCGGATAAGGCAATTAGAAACGATATAAACCTTATTAAAATAGATATTAGTGAATCAAAAGTTCCTCGCTGAAGCTTTAAGTCAAAAAAGTTAGATTTGATCCGTTCCAGCTGATAAAAGTTCGCAGAACCGTTTTAAGAAATACATTTATTTTTAGAGGAAGAGGCTTTGCATCACGCTGGGTGTGATCCCCCCTGATATGAATACACACACCGGCAGGTTTCACCCATGGAAACAAGGCCTGAAGGGCTGCTTCTGTTAGTTTCATGTTGATGGTAAACACAGGAACCTTTTTGGAGAGATTTCCACCTCGTTTGAAACTCATTCATAATAAAAAGACCCAGTTACTCTCACAATGCTCGGAAACTGAATCACTGAGCGTTGCAGATATGATTGTCTCAGGTTTGACTTTTTTTTTTACTTGTAATGCTAAAGGCTTCTTTCTCTTGTTTCCTTGAAGGTGAGGGAGTTCTTGAGCACACTGTGAAGCTCTCCGGATGATGGAAATTTTCAGCTCAGCAACAGAAAATCAAAGATGTAACCATTACAGTATCTTTCCACACAGTTGTTTAAAATGGTGGTTTTTAATGTTTTTTCACCACTTAAGTGTATTTATAGTGTTTGTATATGAAAATGAAAGTATGTGTTAATTTTATATCAAAAAATGAAAATAAAACTTGATCATTTGAGTGTTTTTGGTTGTTTTCCAGTAAAGTGAAAGTCATTATTTTCAAGACACTAGTGGTTTTGAATGTTTTTTCACCGCTAAAGTATATTCATGTTATTTTTGTATGTGCAAATGAAAGTATGTGTTAATTTTGTATTGAAAAATGAATCTGAACTTGATCATTTCAGTGTTTTTGGTTGTTTTTCCAGTAAATTCGCTTCTCAGATTAATTAAAGTGCTAAAATGACAGTCGCTATTTTCAAGACACGAGTGGTTTCGAATGTTTTCTCACCGCTAAACTGTATTCATGTAATTTTTGTATGTGCAAACGAAGGTATGTGTGTTCATTTTGTATTGAGAAATGAAACTGAACTTGATCATTTGAGTGTTTTTGGTTGTTTTTCTAATAAACTCCAAAAAAGTGTTAAAATGAAAGTCTATTTTTAAAGCATTAAAAATGGTGATAAATGAGTCTCATATTAGAGCTTGATTTTACGCATTTGTCCAGAGGGTGTCGCTAGTCTTCGTAATCAATTCAGCCATTTAGTCCTGCACTTTTCCTCCAAGAAAGTTTAATTAAAGTTGCGCAACTAAACTAAGTGCAAAAATTTTCATATTCGAGTTTATTAAAAACTAAATTATTCATAACTGGGTTCATTAATTTTGATCTCTGTAATCAGAGGGTGTCGTAAAGTGCAGCTTCTGGACTTTTTATGACAGGAAAAGCCTCTAATCTGCACAGACTGCTGTTAAATCAGTTAATATTTAATGTTTTGTGACAAAAGTCCGAAATGCACGCATACTTTCCAATCATTCATGAAAAGACTAAAGACTTAAAACTAATCCAAGTTCCTGGAAGTTCATCCAAACACCAAAACCCGTATGTAATTCTTGTTATTTCATTAAATAAGGTGAAATTCGCTCTATGTAAAGCTCTTAAGAAACCTTTGGAGGCTGGAGTTTGAAGCGCCACCCAAGAGCACAACTTGGTGACCTCCGCCCCCCTCGGTGTCGTCACCCAGGAGGAGGGATGGCACTTTAAATATGGAAAAAGACACGCCGCGCTCTCAGAGACTCCACACGCTTCAACCGAGACACCAAAAGCAGCCTTTTACCTCCACCATGTCCCCGAGACACGACCTGAGTGAGCCTGGCGCGATATGAGGATCCTGCGTTTGGTTTTCCACTTGATCTACAGAGAGGACGATATCATTCCAGCGAGATAGCTCCGGCTCCTTTAGTTTCTTTATTACTTCTTTTGTTTTTGACTCTTTAAAAAAGTGCAACAGATAGATAGATAGAGTAGGTGAAGATCTGAGCAGAAGGACGCTGGAGTGATCAGCTTTGAAGGCGAAAAATTGGTCACCATGAGTTCCGACAAGTCAAAGTAAGTGATCTCTCCTCCTTCCTTGTTAACAGTTTGCAGCAATGTGGACTTTTGCCTGCAGGAGGAAATTTCCTGTTCAGGTGAGGAAAGTTTGAACCGGGTATCAGGTGAAATTCATCCACAAACTTTGACATTTAGACGCATCCAGCACGTTCTCACGCTGGTTTCCCGTGCGTAAAGCTGTATATCGCGTCGTTTCTTCACCATTACTCGTATATATTTATCAAATTTTCATATTGATCCGACTTTAAACACGTAAAGTAAGGCTTCCCTTTATAAGTGTACCACCCTTTCTTGGATAAGCCACTGCCACCGCACCGATGTGGCTCTAAACAGCCAGGTAATCTATTTTCCAAGAAGCTGTCACAGGTTATTAGCGAGACAAGCAGGCGAGGGAGCGCGGGCCAAGTGAAGGAGAGTTGTCTCTCTTCTAACTTTATGAATAAGCCGAGTGTGTATGTATGTGTGTGTGTTTGCGCTTCACAAAGCCATGTGGAAAACTCCACACAGAGCGTGAGCCAGCGTGTGCGTCCACGTTGCGCAATGACGCGACAGACTCCGCGGTCACTACGAAACGAGAAAAGACAGTTACTCAACTTTTCTGACATGCACCTTGAATTCGTCCACTTGTAGATGGATTATTCGCTATATATTTTCTCCTGATTGCTTGTGCACAATCCCCCCAAAAAAGACCTCTACCCCCTTCTCTGGAGCCACGAGTGAAACCAAGAGTCTTCTGTTTTGACTCAACCCAGGTGTCTGCCCTGCCTTCTTCAAACAATGGCAGCAGAAACCATGAAATCCCAACTTGATTCCTCATTCTTTTGTCGTTTCTGTCACATTGTGAAATGAAGCAGCAATGGAGAAACGTTCTCGACTTTCCTTTGTGCCATTCAACTTTCCGGTGTGAATCTTCCTCGTGGTTCTGACCTGAGTCTTGAATGTGCCTTTGTGCTCTGCTGAGTGATGATCGCAGTAATAAGCCGTAGATTTCCTCATCCAGCCAAGTGTTGTCAGAGGAAATTCCAAAAGTTACAGGCAGATAAGAGACAAGGAAGCAAGTCAGGTGTAGCTGTTGCATAAAGGATGCATTATCACCTGAATACAGCTTTGTCTGCTGAATTTAGAGACATGTTTCTCATCCAAAACTCTTTGATTGATTGATTTAAAATCACAATAATGCACCTTCTGTTTTAACCAGCTGTTATGGGAGAAAGAAGAAGTTAAATTCACTTTCGTATCTCATCAGTGTGGAGATTTGCCTTTTTTAACATTGCAAAACACTCTAGATTTGGGCTGCAATTAATGGTTAACTTTTTGGTCCTTAAAAGTTCAGAAATGGAGCAAATAATAAAAAAAGTTGCAGGAGCCCAGTGTTTTCTTCGAAGTCCCTTATTTGTCCAGCTAATGGAGCGATACCTGTACACCCAGTATTGACTGTAAGCAAACAAAAACAAAAGCCGAAAACTTTCATTTCTAAGAAACTTAAAGCTCCTGTGAGGAGTTTTTAAAACAATTTTTATAAATCACTGAAATTCATATTGATTCCCTTTCATAACATACAGAACTAAACAAGATAAATGGCGGCAAGTTTGACTTTTTCGTACAATCTTTTTTTTTTAATGCTTAGATCTGATGGGAGGGGGTAGGTGTGAGAAGAGCGGGTGATAAAATGTTAAAAAATTTTACACTTTCTGGGGTAAACATTCACAGTAAACAACATATTTGACCATCAGAAGTTTGCATGATAAGATGTTTTGTCAAAAAAACCCACTAAAGGATGTAAAGGATGAGGTAGACAAAATATACAGAAACCAAAAATTCCCTACAGGAGCTTTAATGTGAGGTACTTTTTCTTGAAACTTGTCTTGCAGTTGCAGCTCTGTTGTTGCTTGAATATTTTAACATTTTTGAAAATAAGTCATGCAAAGTTGTCCATCTTTATTTCTAGTTACTCCGGCTAAGAAACATTGCATCCTTTTTTGTATGTTAAGAAGCTTTAAATGACAGAAAAGTTAAATTTTGTGCCTTTTTAAAATAACTCTCCTTTAAGTATCGCTCACTTCTGGCAGGCTTGCAAGGTGGCTATTTTAACAGTTCCCTGGAAGTGGATTACACTGTGAGTGGTTTGAGAAGTTTGTATGCAGATATAAACACTTAAAGTTTCTGCATCAGTTTTCATCTTAACCAGCTGAAATGATGCAGATCATCACCTTCAAAAGATAAATCAGAAATATTAAGAGGTCTTCTTTTATTAAGACTGAAAGGTTTTTTTTGACGTTATAAAGATCAGTTTCAAGAATCATCTCAGTATCCTCTATGTAACGTTTCTGGTTGTCTACTAACAGTGGTGGGGGGTTCATGCTACCCTTGTGCTGAACCTGGCTACTGGTGGGATCTGGTGCGTCATTCTGTTAAAGAGATGGGGATGATCCCTGATCCTGAGCAGCTGATCCCGGCTCCTCACGCACCGACAGGTTTATCTCGACCCATGAGGTCACTAAGAAGACGAGCGGCGAAGTGAGAAGTTGCGAGATGGTTGGTCTCTGACCCCCACCCAACTTTTCATTTTTTCTTCTTCTCTCTTTATTAATCAGGCTTGGGCAGTTTTAGCAGGAAATGAAAAGGAGATAAAGAAGATTTCCTGCACTTACAATGACGCAAATGAGCAGACACTGAACTTCGTGGTCATGCTTACTGATGCACAAGATATGCATGAAGGTCTGCTCTCTGCTACCTGATGTTAGCTTGACTCAACTATGCTTTACACTCCTTACACTTTCCATTTTTTGCAGTTTTAATATTTCTCTTACCTGTCGGGTTCATTTTGATTTAAAGCCTCTTTCAGATCAGGAATGCCGAGCTCTTCCTTTTGCATCCTGCATGTCTGCGCACCACCTGTGGTATGTTTTTCATCGTAAGGGGGTCTCCCTGTCTGAGGCCTCATTGTGGAGTGATTAATATGGCTCCATTCAACGGCCAAAGGCGGCAGAAAACCTGCAACATGAGCTCCCTTTAGCTCTCCTGTTTAGCTAATGGTGTTACATGACCTTCCCCCCCATGCACACACAGACACTAAAACCATTTCCAACACTTGTAGAAGTAAATGTTACAAGACTGAGGTGTGATCCTGGACAGATACCGATGCAGTCGTCAAACTTACTGAACTTTTAGCTAGCTGTAAACATTATAAATATGTCAAATACCATTTTTATTGGCTAATATTTAGCTAATTTTTAGCCATCATCACCCTAACCCACTTCGCATTTTTTGGTCTAAAAGAGGTCTAATAGACATTTAACTGTAGCTCAGACAACTGGTCTAAAATCAGGCTACCACAGTCTACCAGTCTAAATCTGGGCTATATCTATACTACACTGGATATTGCTCAACAGCTATCATAATTGTTTTGGTTAAGTACTCACAGTTGCTTTTTGGAATAAATAGTTGTCGATTAATGGGTTAAAGTGAAATATCTAAATTCCAAATCCAGAATCTAGGCGGTTGAAATTAGGTCTAAAAATAAAACTAGACGTCTAATAGCTGTCTGTAGACGGGTTTCTGTGCAACGTCATCGCAGGTATGCACGCAGCCAGGGGGCAGAAGGCGGGACATTTCTTATTTGTTTACTAGTGGAGTCAACGGAGAAAGAAAATGACGAGCTGTTGTGCTGTAAACTGCATGAATCTGCAAACAAACAATTGGCAAACTTTACGTCCCTACTCCTGATATTAGAAACATCTAAAATAACATCACAACCTGGTAAATTGAGTGAAATTCATGGACATTTCAGGAAGTGTTTTTCTGATTTTTATGCAATGAAAGACAAAGTGATTTTTCAATGAAATGACATTTTATTGCAGTTGTGTCAGAGAGAACTTTCAAACTATACGACATCTTCATTGATATCAGTTCACTCCGAAGTAGGCTTTTGCCCCCTAGTTGTGCACACACCTAGTATTGTTTGTACTCAAGAAACCCGTCTATTGCTCAGTGGGAAGTCACAAATCTTTGGCAAGGAATACAGTAAAATTCTGTTAAATTCCAGCACTCTGCTAATTTTACCTTTTTGTAAGTGAGCAGTCAGTGCAGCACGACCAGGAATGGCTAGGGCTAACTGACCCATTAGCTACCATAAAAAATGCTACCTTTAGCAGTTAGCTTAGTTTTAGTGTAATGCTAAAGTTAGCTAATAATGACCCAATAGAGTCCGGTCACTTGTCATAAAAAAACTGAACTATTGCTGAATATTAATATTGCCTTAAAAGATAAATCAAACATGTTGTATGACTGTATACCTTTAAGAACATCAACTTTCCAAGATGAGTGTGACGTCAGGGAAAGAAGTCCTTGTTTAAATAAAGTAAACATTAGTGCAATAATGGAGAAAACAGACTCCACCCTTTTGTTTTTGTGTTCATAATGACACTTAAAGCTGTTACACAGTAACTGGTCAAGTGCCAGGTCTATAGAGAAGGCAGGAGTGTTTTCTGAAGGTAGAAGTCAAACTGAACATGAGAAGAATTCTGGAACTACATGAAAACTTGAACTTGACCCCACTTTTCATGTTAGCAACAAAAAGAGAGACCACAGAGGCTAATTACTGAATTAGTATTGCTTGAAAACTTGGCTCCAAGCCCGAACACTCCCAATCACTTGTTTGATCTGGGAGCTAGCTTGTAGCTCCACATTACCGTCTCCTATCAGTGTTGTGCTTTTATTTCTCTCTCTCAAGGACAGATATCAAATCCTCTGGGATTCACTTTAGATCAGTGGAACAAGTTGTATCCTTCCTGACTTTGTTTATTTTTCAGTTTGTGTACACGGCTCCCATCCCTTCATTTTGCAAACTGTGTCATCTTCAGTTTTTGGGAAATGAAGATTTTTGAGGTTTTTGTCACTTCCCTGAAACTGTGTTTATGTGTCGCGTCTTTTAAAAGGTACTGTTCCCATAAATTAGCAGAAGAGTCCTTGATTTGATACCGACATGCTTTATGTAACCCTGGAAAAAACCTTGAGGCTGAAGCTATCTTAAAACTCTGTGGTTGAAATCAAACTTAGAGGAAAAGTAGAGGACTGTTGGCTTGAATTTTTGCACTCTGCGGGTTTCCTTTTTGCAGCTGTTTTGGCTGCAACATACTCTGAAACTGATCGCATATGTTTGGGCTGAAGCCCCTCTTTTCCTGGCCCAGATTAGCCCACACTTTTCTGCCCTGAAGGAGTCGCATTCCTTCCAACCTTCCAGGAACTTTAAGGCCTGATGATCAAAGGAAAGTCCAGGTCATTCAGGCCGTGAAGATGTTTTCTGACCCTGAAGTAAACAGAAGGCCCCCTTTTTTTTTTACACCATTAGCTCTAGCATGGCTCATTTAAAGATCTTACTGTGGGGAAAAATATTGTGAAATATCTCTGCTTAAAGAAAACATCTGTTTCGTAAGACTTTTAAATGTGTGTCTGTGACATCTAGTTGGATAGAAAGCTAAAATTCTGATCATGTGTTGGTGAATATTGGAGCAGCTGATCTTTAAAACTTAGACTGATTTTGAAGCACTGCTTTTCAGATCTGAGGAACAAGTTGCTTTTTGTTCCTGGTGATATGGAAGTCTGAAAGGGACTGAATTTACAGATTAGTAAATGTACAGAATCAATATCAACATTAATAATTTTTTCATACATTATATAAAAAAACATGAAACATTTCAGACATTTATATTTTCAATTATTCATATTTAAATTAAAAAAAATAAGTGCTTTTCCTTTGTCAACCAACTTTGATAACAGCCAATGAGTTCATGTCATTCAAAATTAACAGAAGTTAACAGTAACATGGACATTAAAACCTTTTTCAAGTCCAGTGGGAAGGGTTCCCATGATCCAAGTCCAGTGAAAGATTAAACCAGAATCTATAACATCCTCAAAGATTCAGACATTTCTTCAAATCCTCTAAGAATAAGTGATCATTCTTTGAGTGTTTGTGATCCATTTTACCATGTAAGAGCAGAGTATTGATCCTTTTTTTTTTTTCTCAGTACTCCCAGTGATGGGAATTTAGGCTGATTATAGTGATTCAGATCATTTGGCTCAGTAAAATCTAAAACTTTCAGCTCCTTGTTATAGTACAATATTGGCCACTATGCACAGCAGCATAGGTACTGACTGCTGCCACAGTGCTCTGATCCCACAGTGAAGTCAGAAAAATGTTGCAGTTAAGGAAATGGCATTTACATAGAGTGAAATGTTTGTTCAAAATAACATCTATGACAACAATGAATCAAAAACAACCATAGTTAATGGATTAACAAACATGTTTCCACATTTTTATGGCTTTAATTTGTGATTAAATTTGATGGATGTTAGTATAGAGTGACCATATTCTGACTTCCCAAAAAGAGGACATGACCACGCAGGGACAGAGTCACAGAGTCGCACAAAGTTAATTTTTAGATATTTCTGGGTCGGATCGAGTGTCTTTTACATGCTTCTAACTCAGTAAGTTTACGTGACACAAACTCAAAACTCTTGTACAAAACCGCAGACATTTAAAGATTTTCTAAACTTCCCAGGACAAAGCCCGAACAGCCCCCCAAAAAGGGGACATGTCCGGGTAAAAGATGACGTATGGTCACCCTATGTTAGTAGGAATGATGGTGAATAAACACTTTAGTTGGCGTGCCGGTTTGCCTCTGTTGGTAAAACAGGCGCCTCATGTACAGAAGCTTCAGTCCTTGTCTAACTGTCTGGATTAATCCAGGTCCAGACATGATTTTCTCTCGGGTTGTCCTGTTGAATACATACAAAAGCCAAAAATTCATCTACAATATGAAGTGGAGCAGTATGTTTTTTTTTTTTTTTGCACCCCTTTTGTTGCTATCACAAATCCATACAAGTGATGCATGTTAAAATCTCTGTGTTCTTCCCTTGCAGAGTGGAGGACGAGGCAGTCCTGGACAGGGGGGCGTCCTTTGTCAAACATGTCTGCGATGAGGAGGAGGTGGAAGGTAAGATGGGTGATATAATCCTGCACACTTACCTCTTTTATCTGTGGTGGTGAAACCTGGAGTTTCCCCTCTGGTATCAGTGGAAAACTGAATGTGTTATGTAAGATAAACACAGGAAGATGTTTCTTCAGTCGCTCTAAGCTTATCCAGCACTGAACCACAGAGGAGAGGACACCCACACGAACTTTCTGACACATGCATGTTACTCAAACTAACATTTAAGGGTGCATACAAAGGACAACCACAACACATACTTTTGCGTCATATTCGGATATTTTTTGTGCGTTTTGAAATAGTTGGAAAATCTTAAGTTTTGTTTGCATGGGAATTTGGAGGGAGTGTGTCATTTGGTGTGAGCCTCAGGTATTTTTCGGTTTCCATGAAGACGCATGACAGACCACGGTGAAGTTTGAAAAAGATCCACCAGACATTTTTGCTGAATGCAGCTAAATATACACAACGCAAACTTATTTAACCTTCAGTTTGAGCCGGAGTTTTCCCCCCTCTCCCTGTCTTTCTAATTACTTCCTTGAAGCCATCATTTCCTGAATGAGTGGCCCAGTAGAGGAAGTATTTGGCTTTTATTTACTTTCCTTTCCACTTGCAGTCTCTTCCTGGTTGTGAAATGATCTGCTAATGTCAGTGAGGCGTCAACAGCCATAAAAATTGATGCTTCAGTGCTGCATTTCATCACACAAGTCAAATCAGCCTCCATTGTTTCATTTCTTATTTTCCTCCAGTGGTGAGGTGGATTAGCAGCATCCAGGATTACTGTGATTTCCTTTTGTGTGAGTGTAATCTGACCTTTTCCTCCTCATCGTGTCACGGCAGGTCACCACACCGTGTACATCGGCGTGCACGTCCCCAAGAGCTACCACCGGAGGAGACGCCACAGACGCAAGTCCAGCCACAAGGAGAGGCGGGAAAGGCCGGACCACAGCACCGAGGGGTACAAGTCAGACGGGGACGAATGCAACGCCAACATCCTCAAACCTCTCAGTGAGTTCTCATGAAAAAAAGCGTCAAAGTGTGGAAAATATAAACCATCGAGGCATGGTAGCAAAGTTAGTGCAGAGATGAGCGGGAATGGGAGCATGCTAATCTGAAAATTACACCGGATTGGCTTCAAGTGTGTAAAGTTAACACAATATGGGTATTATCTCACACCTGGGAGATTAAAACGGTGCTTTGTTATTGGATTTGTGAGAGGGGATTGAAAATACACAGAGATGGGAAGCAGCAAAAAGGCAGAATTACATGTATTTTCAAGCTACTTGTTGATATTGCTGCAACAAGGGAATCTGATAGAGCCTGTATAGTTATAGAGAAAGCAATGAAGCGACAACAAAACATAAAACCTAAAAGATAATACCACAAATAACTGTAAACCGGAGCAAGATGGGGGCAAAAACTTGGGATGAAAGTCTCCCTTTCTTCAAAGGATCATCTGATGGTCCCATTGCAGCCTTAAGATGATGTTGTTTGATTATTTTTCTGGCCCTTGAGTCATGATGTGGAATTAACTGTGGCTGCATAAAGAAGAAATTGAGCTTTTTTCCCCCTTTTTTTAGAACAAATTTCATTTTATAAAGCTCAAAGTTTTCAACTAAAAAAAGATATTTTCCAAGTTTTGATCAAAGTTCTCCACAAGGACAGTAATCTCTATTTACAGATCTAACATAAAAATGTAGGATCCTTACACAGAGGTCAAGATTTCGAGTACAGGAAGTTTTCCGCATTCTCTGAACTATCGACTGATCACATTTCAGCAGGTTTCAGTGTTTACAGGACAAACAGTGTGTGAAGAGCAAAAGCAGGCAGAAAACACAACTGCAACAACATCATTAGTCTACATGTCTACTGCTGAACTGAGACCCACTTGATCTAGAAACAGACAGACGGACGCTGTACTGAGGGATGTAATGGACTAAGACGTGACTGTTTACACTGTCGACATGCACGTACTACAGGAAAGAAGTCATGGCCTTTTCATAGTTACTGGATACAGAAGAACGACTAAAAAGTTGGCAAAAGTTAAACCCTAAAACTTACATTTTACTGAGTGACTAGAATCAACAACTTCAAAATTTCTCAATCCTGTTTTTTTCTGGTTCAGACTTGTGGACTTTTTAAAACATGGATGTGGTCTCAGTGATGTTACTCAATGGTTTCTAGTCAACTTGGTTGTCCTTTCAATAATGCAAAACCTGTGACGAGGGCTGTCAGAGTATCAAATTATCACCTTGTGATTGATGTTGCTCTCTCAGACATGATTTGTGCTGTACTAGCAGCCACACAGTACATCATGAATCATGCTTTTATTTTGAAAATACAAAAGGCTTCTTGGGGAGGTTATGGAGCTGAATGAAAACAGTTATAAGGTACGATGATAAATGTGTTATCACTTGGGAGCTGCATGTTGTTTAAGATACTTTTTCAGTTTAAGCTACAGCTAGCTAGCTGGATATTCTGCCTTTATCACTGACACTGCGTTTTTTTCTGTTTTATTCCCATTTTAAAAAGAATAGTGAACCACAACTAGCCTGTACTTTGACAGAACTACTTAAACAGTATTGCCATATGCTTGTTTTTTTTAGCACAATATGAGTGTTTCGTTTTTTAAAGAGACACTGATCTTTTATGCGAGTATATAGTACTTAGAACTTACCAGGAATCTGAATACCTTTTAAAAATAGCAAGCTATTATGCTGCGTTCGAGTTACCTTGAAAGTCAGATGTCCGAGCTGAAAATGACGTCACACCCGAGTTCCCAACGTTTCAGTTACTAAGTCAGAAAAAAGCAAAATCGAAGGCCTGAAACAAGACGATTCATCTAGGAAAGTTAATATAGCACTTGCCTTATATTTGGACAAGGCAAGCGCTTAAATAAGTTTCGTAGATGTAGCCATCTTGTTTCCGCCTCCGATTTTGCTTTTTTCTGACTTAGTAACTGAAACGCTGGTAACTTGGGTGTGATATCATTTTCAGCTCGGACTCCTGACTTCCGAGGTAACATTTTTTATTGTTGCTGTAAAAATTGGCTTTTTGAATGGGTCTGTATGCAGTTGCCATAGCTTTTGCAGCCAGCCTCTAGTGGACATTTCAGGAACTGCTGTTTTCCTGAAAGCAGAGGTTGCCATTTGTTTAGAACTGTTTTTTCTTTTTTTTTCTTTTTTTTTAAATCACCATTTAAATGCAGCATCGGGATACTAAGTGCATATTAATATTGGTGTCTGTCTCCTAAGTCGTCTCCAAGAAGCTACACCAGATGTCTTATCCTTAAATGGTAGATAGGATTGCTGCACAGTCGAATCATTAATCCCAAGATCATTTTCTAGAGCAGAAGGAGTAATCATTATCTTCAGATATCAGTCAGCATTGACCTTAATGTCTCCTGCATCTGCAACACGAGACTCCTCTATAGTATTGTGGCAACACCGGAGGGAAGCACTAAAACAAGGAGCGTTTGAGGTCAGCTTTACTGTAAAGTAAATGCAGCATTTCACGAGACAGAAATCTCTGTTATGCCTCTGAGCTTTAGAGAACAGTGATTTTTGTTAAAGTACCAAACATACACAACAATCAAGAAAGAAGCTGTTTGCAAGACGTGTAATTATCACAGAGTAGGAATCACCTTAAAATTGCACATCCTGGAAGCCGGCACAATGGAAGGTACCATTAAGGTCTGAAAATGGTGGGAAAAGGAGGAAAAGGAAGGAGTTTCCCCCCCAACATCAACATAAAGTGATGATCATCAGGCTTTAGGAGACATTCCTTCGCTGGTGATTATAGAGCATTTTGAAACCGACAACAAAGTCCAGCTCGAGCGCCTCACACCAGGTCTAAGTTAAGCCTGTAGTGATGCATAGTAAAAGAAAAAAAAGGGAAATAACAGCTGAGCAGCGGCTTATTACTCCTACAAGAGCTCAAAGAGAGTTAGTGCAGAGTTTGCATAGAGCAATTTCAGTGGAAACGCAGCCATAAAATGCTGAGATGATAGTGGATGAGGCAACACCCTCAGATAAGGTAACAGGAGGCACATACTACCAATGAATGAGTAAGAAATGATTCAACACGTGACGACTGAACATAACTAGAAGACAACTGTTCCCCTCGCTTTGGCTCAGAAAGTAAACCCGCTAATAGGTCGATACCCTTAACTGTGTTACTTCCTTGTTTGGCTGCTGAAACTCTAACCTCAGAGTGAATTGAGAGGATTTCAATGGAATTTAGGGTCATGATAGTGTGTGAAAATGATCAAGCTGGGAATGTATCAGGAGTGCATAACTTGAATTACTGTCTTTTTACGAGCATCAATCAAAGTGTACTGTGAGGAACTTTCTTTGTGTTGATTTTAGCACCTCCTGTGGACAAAGCAGTACCTCTGCATTCTTTACAGATCTTGTCCTGCTTTTCCTGCTAGCTCTGACATTTCTCCTATTTTTAATCTGTGTTTAAACAGCATAATCTAATAATGCACATTTTAGCATGCACCTACCAATAGGAACAGCTGTATTACATGTAGAGTGACAAATGAAACCATACACACATACATACATACATACATACATACATGGAGGGCTGCACAGGAAGAATACAGATATAAAGCAGCCAGATCAGATCTGTTTTCTACACCCCTAAAGTTTGATTCAAGTTTATTGCCATTATTGCAATAGAGCTTTAACATAAATGTATGATTACACCAAAGAGTTAGTCTGCAGGACATGAGAAAAGTGCAGAGTTTGATTTAACTTTCCTTCATTTAAGACATCTTTTATGGAGCATTTCTTGTAGGCTTTAAAACTGTTGGATTGGACTATAAAATAGTCCCATTCAACACAAAGGAAGTATGAGCTTAAGGATTAAAGCTCCTATGAGGTGTTTTCATGTTTTTAAAATAGACGGGAATTCATACTGAAGCCTTTCATTATGTCTAAAAGCAAACAAAACCACAACAAAACAAGATTTGCTGTATTTATATTTATATAAATGCCGTATATAGCTAGATTGCTAAAATTGACACAAACAGAAAGGACCTTTAACTTTTTAAATATTGCCTAAATTAAAAAAGTGCTATAAATAAATACATTTAAAAGAGTAAATGATAACAACTTTATTAGCATACTTTTTCAAAACAGAGGTTTACAAAGTGCTTGACAGCAGTAAGAAGGACATTTTCATAAGGAACCTATACATACATATGGATAGAAATGACCCCGGGTCCCTGTGTTTGCAGCATGTCCCACCTGAATCCAAAATCAATCTAAAAGCGGTTTATTTTGCGACTCAATGGCACTAACTAGCTTGGTCTGCAGCTAAACCATGAACAGGTATAATGTGCACATTCCGAGTGAGACGGCGTCAAATAATTGTCAGACAAAACTGTGTTAATCGGGCAGCCATGGTGTAAACGTAATAACAGTAACAAAGCCCTAAGGGGACATACAGAGCAACATCTTGACCCCTTCTATCCTCACCTGCTCTGTTTACACACCTACGATCACACCTTTTCTTCATCATGCTGGCATCACATCAAGCTGTCAGTCCGCAGATGAGCAGGTTTGTAACCCCCCCCCCCCCCCCCCTCACACTCCCGGCTCTGCTAATACTATAATCCTCCTTTTGTATGGCCTCATGCCAGTACGTGCACTTAGTCATTTAAAGGTTTCATTGTTATGGTGGTAGTTTTGCTCACATTGATATGTCGGATATCTGGTTATTCCATGAGTCATGTCAAATTTAGTTACGGGAAACTCTCGTGCAAGAGGAACAGGATTTGTTTGTGGCACTTTAAAGAGTTTTTCTAGTTTTTTTCTGATAAGGTCAAAGAGGAAAAGAAATAAGTGTAAGAGGAAATTTGATTTGGCATTTGCTGATCTGATAACTGTCTCACAACAATTTAGCACCAAGTTGGCCATGCTGCGTTTTAAAACGCCCAAGAATTTCCTCATAAACGTCAGCAGATGCCTGAATGATGGACACCCTGTTCATTAAATATCTACGAGGCGTTCAGTGACGCCCCTTAATTCCCCCTTGCAGCACTTAAGTGTGTGTACGGTTCAAACATGGCGGCGTCTGCGTAAATGCTAACACCGCCGCTGCTTGTTCATCCATAGAATCAGACTTTATATCAGCACTGGAGGACGAGGAGTGGAACCAAACTAAACACAAGAGCAGGTTTTCAAACCGGACTGTAATTCACTTTAAATGCTCCGTCCTTCACAGATGCACGCACACACACAAACAGACTGGTTCTTCTTTCTCATGCAGCTGTATCTGTGCAGAGGATCTGAACTATAAACAGGCTGGTATGGTTGAGGGAGAGGGCAGAGACGAGCGTACCATGAGGCTGCAGGAACTGCTGGGATAAACATTTCTCTCCAGTGGGGAAGTAAACCACTTCAGTGCCCCCTGTAGAGAGATTTTATTGTAAAATCTCTGACCCTGTTTATGAAGTAATGAGGCCTGTTGATGCTCGCTGATTCACATCCCCTCTCTACTGTCCCTGTTCGCAAAGCTGTTTCCACTTATTAGCTCAATGGGAGTATTTGGCATGATTTATGAGATCTTGAATTGTAAAAAGGCTCATAACTCAAAGTACAGCTTGACTGATACATTGGCCGGCCGATACCCCAAACTAGCAAATATTTTTAGGTGATATTACTGATGTCTGTGACCCAAATATTGTCTCCTCTAAATTTATTTGATAAATTTGGACTCAAGTTCAAGTATATTGTTGCTCATTCAAAAAGACGAGTAAAATATCCAGTTTTGTCAAATTCAGAAAACAACAACATGATATGAGCTATCAACATTGGCCATTTATCATAATCTGTATCAGTATTGGGAATTGAAAAGTGATATCTTGATATAATGCGCATGGAATAATGGCTGCCATTGTATTCTATTAATGCAAAAAGGAAAAAAAATGATATCAGCTATCAACATCGGCCATTTCTCATTTTTGGTATCCTTATAAGCGATTGAATAGAATAGAATAGAATAGAATATTCCTTTATTGATCCCCCATGGGGGAAATTTTTTTGTCACAGCAGCATCACAGACAAGACAAAAAGTGCAAAAATGCAGTTATAACAATAAGGGTCCTAATATTAAGAACTTAAATAAATGTAATAATTAAGAAAAAAATTAGAAAAGGGAGAAGAAAAAAATAAAGCTTTCTACAATATACACAATTTAAATGCCATAAAAAAAAGTGGTGGTGTAGATCCAGTTTTGTTACTGTTCATTGTAAAGTCTTATTGCAGAGGGGAGGAATGACCTGCGGTAGCGCTCCGTCCTACACTTGAAAAGTGATATCTGGATGTAATGTGCAGGGAATGATGGCTGCCACTATAAAATTGTATTTTATCATATGCAAAGAGAAAACAACGACAAGATATCGGCATTTTATATTGGCCATCGGTCGACCTGTTTTTTCAATATTGATTTCAGTATCAGCCGTTGAAAAGTGATATCTGTTAAACACTGGGATGTAATGTGCATGGAATAATGGTTGCTATTACAGAGTTGTATTTTTTTAAATCCAAAGACAAAACATGAATCAAGTGATATCGGTATTGTTGATCAGCCATCTGTCAACTAGCTTTTTTTTATGTTGTTATCAACATAGGCCATCAAAAAACAATATTTGTCAACCACTAAAAAATAGGGTGACCATACGTCCTCTTTTACCTGGGCATGTCCTCCTTTTGGGGGCTGTCCAGCCTGTCCAAGGGGAGTTTATAAAATCCTTCAAATGTCCGGGGTTTTGCATGGAAGTTTTTAGTTTGTGTAGTGTGGACTAACTGAGTTAGAAGTGTGTAAAAATCACTTGACCCAACCAAAACCCTCAAAATTTTGCATGCTACACTGCCCCGCATAGTAATAGTATTCTCTTTTTTGGGTTCTGGGATATGGTCACCTGAGAATATTGGCTCTGGTGTCCTTTTTATAGTTTAGTGAAATGACTGCTGGGCTTCATCGTCCAGTCCAACCCTGGGCTTATAGTCCAGCCCTGTTGAATACTTGACTCTGATTGGTCGAAAAATCTCAAACAATACTTGATCATTTAAGTCATGTTGAATGGGTCCAGTGATGCAAAGATGTTAGTTTCTGTCGGCGTACTTAAACTGCAAACCCCACAAAGGATATCAAGCCAAGTATCGTCCACTATGATGATGTTTTCCCTCCAATCAGTATTTTCTCAGCATTTAAAGTCAAACATTGGCTTCAAATTGCACTAAAGCTCCTTTGAAGTAAAATAGATTAGAAAGTAGTTGGCAGGTAGCTGGTAATAGCAGCCCATAAACACATACATTCGATAACAGTCTTGGACTTTGAAAATGCGGGCCGCTCTCAGACTGTCATATGCCAAAAGCAAAACAAACAATCACTCACACTGCTAGACAGAAGCCTCCACTTGTTGGATTTTCCGCTGTTTTGCCCTCAATCTTAATCCCTGTAATTCTGTTGATTCTGGCAAACTCTCCCGAGCTGTCCACTCAGAATTGTGTGTAACCACAACAAAGGGCTGGTTTTCATTGATAACATAAGTTGTAGACTTAAGAGGGGAGTGTTTGTGTACACCATGTGCTTTAAAAGTCAGGATCCTGACAGCCGGCGGGCCCCGGGGCTGTGACCAAAACTGACAGATCTTTTTGTTTAACAGTGGCTGAGTGATGTTGTGTATTACTGATGCCCATGGTGAGGATGCATCAAATGTTGTGTATCCAAGAGCGACGCTTTCCTAAGACTTTGATCTTGACCTTCATGTAGCTTAGCGTCAGAGTTTCTCCCTGCAGAAGAACAGGTCCACCTGTACTATTTTAAAACGAAGCGTCCTAAATTCAGCCTGGGTGTGCTGTGTCGGGATTAAAAGGTTACAGGCACTGTTACGTTGTCGAGGTATCAACCTGTGCAATCCTGAGTGGCACAGCATTTCAGTAGAAAAGGTGCGTAAATAGCCTGTTATAACTCGCCACCTTATCGCACTATTTTAGCCACGCAGGAGGACAAAAAAAGGACTTCAATACCTGAATGAAAATACTGAGGTTTTACTTCTCTTGAGTGATTTTGTTGTTGAAGAGGAGGTAATCAAGGGTGAGTTTGGTGATGTATATGTAGTCAAGCCTTTCTTAAAAGGAAGTGAAAGTTATATAAGCTGAGGGGAACTTCTTACTCATGAGGGTGTGTTGGTAAAGTCTTTCCTTTTACACTGAATACCAGCACTTGTTCGAGGATATCAAGAGTAATCTACCCCGTCTGTTATTGATAAGCTGTTTTTAATCTCTGCAAACACGCACAAGAAGATGCCTCCTTCTTTCTTTTTAATCTTCATCTTTGTTTGTCCAAAATGCACAAACAAGGAGGATAACTTGATCGCACATTCAAAACCTTAAATCTTGCTGTCAACGCCTTGGTCACCCTTTGTTTCTATAGATACGTCTGTCAAAGCAGTCATGGAAAAAGGGAGTGCTTGCATGACGAAATGACAACGGCAACATCTGTTAAAGCTTCCTGTTTTCACCATCATGTTTCTCCTGTTTGACTTTTTTGTGATATTATAATGTTTTTGTGCTTAAGGGAAATTTAAAGTGTATTTTTGTTTTCTATCTGGACTCATCCCCTCTCTCCTGAATATAATGGGGGGGGGGGGGGGGGGGGGTAATGGGAGGCTAAGCGTGTAGCCGCATTTGCTGGAGTTGGAGCTGTTGAGCCTCCCTGTTTGCGGTTTTGACTGAACCTGAAGGGAAGGGAGGTAGAAGCTGAAAACCACTGCAACGTTTCCTTATCCTTATCTAGCTTCATGTTTGAGTTGTGACGGGCGTTAGGGGCCATGTGGTTAGACATGTAAGTTGTTGGCAAAGCATAAACATTGGTTTAAAGGTGTAATAGAGTGGGTTTCATCACTGGCACTGAGCGATCTATACCCACTGTTTTCTTTCTTGTCTTTTCATGTGTCTTTATAACCCTTTAGGTTACATGTCTTGTGCTAAAAGTAAAAAAAAAACCTTAATATTGTAATTAAAATCAATTGTATCATACTTCACATCATGCTTTGATCTGAAGGGTCCTAACTTGCCTTTATTCTTCTTCAGTTTCTCCAGCCGAGAGGATCCGGTTCATCCTCGGGGAGGAAGACGATGGCCCCCCTCCTCCTCAGCTCTTCACCGAGCTGGACGAGCTCCTGTCTGTGGACGGGCAGGAGATGGAGTGGAAGGAGACGGCCAGGTGAGCGGCCGTAAAACACGATCCGTCAGGCGCACCCCCACACCCGTCTTTTTATATATTAGGTGCCCTGGGCTGTGTGGTTATAAATTTCCTGCCGAACATTCCCGGCACAGTCAGCACAGCACAATCCCTTTTTATGAATAATTGTGCTTTGTATGTGTAGGGAAACAGGCCGTACTTCAGTGAACACCCAGTCTGCTGTTATCTGATTGGGATGTGAAGTACCTGCTCTGTGGGACCAGGAAAAGACAGAAACTCCCACATAGTCCGAAGAACAAGGCTTAGAGAGACTCTGAGCTCAAGGGCACATTAAATCCCTGAGTTTTACATGTGTTTTTTTCCCTCCTTTTTGTGCTTCAGAACAGACACCTACCGTTCATAACAAGCCTGTCTTTTTTAGATAGTATTTCTATTAAGTTTTTGTCCTGGTTTGGAGGGGAAATGGAGGTTGTACTGTTTGAAGTTGACAGTATCTTCCCTAAAAGTAAGATGGCCAGTTTGTGGCGTGTGGCCGGCAGCCAGAGGGATACTCTATCCCCCTGAGGAAACCCCATCCTCGGTCCTCAGGAGAATGGCTCTTTGTGGCGCTGACATGTGAGGCATTATTGCTAAAAAGAATCCTTGTCCCGGGTCTTACCTTCAGGGAGAAGCTTGTCTTTGATAACAACAAAGTCTGGTTTCTCATGTTCAGCCATGTGTGGTCAAAAAGGTACAGAACAGACGCCGTGCTTTGCCGTGTGTTTTCTCACGTCTAGGGATTTATGTTTTCATTTCTATGCTGTCCTGAATCCCCTATTCTCACCTTATGGACTGTGACTGATCAAAACAGTAAGGAGCTGTTTGGTAAAGAAAAAAAGGACCCGTCTTGTCGCCTTTTGTCAGAGGCCCTTATTTGTTCTCTTGCGAAAGCTGCTGTTTTGTACTTTCATGAATATTCTGGCATGAAATGAACTTTGAGCTACAGGGGAAACAAAACAGTTTGAGTACCGAGTCTTGAGCTTCAGGCGATTGTGTGTACTCCTCCAATCTCAGCTCTATTTCAGAAATGTGTAATATTCATCTTTAACAGCTGCAGATTCAGATTTATAGAGATTCAAAGAGCATTATAGAGTATTAACACAAAATGTCCACCTTTGCTTTAAAGGTATAGTATGAAGAAATAGGCACACTAGATATATATATACCTATCCTCATTCCTTCCTATTCGTTGACCTTTTACATGTCTCTAATATTCTAAAGACATGTAAAAGGTCAACGAATAGGAAGGAATGAAGATAGGTATAAATAAGCTAAATAGCTTTTACCAACTCCTTTTCTATCTCAAAAAAATAGGGAATTTCTTGTCTAAAATTGTACTGTATGTATATTAGATCAGATCAAATAAACAATCTCTCTCTCTTCCATATATATATATATATATATATATATATATATATATATATATATATATATATATATATATATATATATATATATATATATAATATGATATAATATAATATATTAATATATCGTGATATTGATTTAAGGCCATATCGCCCAGCCCTAGCCAAGAAGCTCCTGTGAAGCACAATGACCACCAACCCTACATTTAACCATCATGGTTTTAACCATCAAAAAATTATTTTGCTCTAAACCTAAATTAACTTGTTCTTCCAGGTGGATCAAGTTTGAAGAGAAGGTGGAGAAAGGTGGCGAGCGCTGGAGTAAGCCTCACGTGGCCACGCTGTCCTTACACAGCCTGATGGAACTCAAGACGTGCATCGAGAAGGGAACCATCATGCTGGACATGGAGGCCACCACGTTGCCTCAGGTCGTGGGTAAGTGGAGTTTAAAGAGACAACACAGGCCTGTTGTTGAATCTTTCAAAGGACCTTGGTAGTAATCCAGTTTTGTTCTTCTTCTCCTTTCTAGAGATGATCACTGACAACCAAATTGAGAGTGGTCAGTTGAAGCCAGACCTGAGGGAGAAAGTCATGTACACGCTGCTACGAAAGCATCGCCATCAGACCAAGAAGTCCAACTTGCGCTCTCTCGCTGACATCGGCAAGAGTGTTTCAAGTGCAAGTCGGCTTTTCTCCAACACGGAGAATGGTAAAGAAACTGCAAAAACAATCACTTTTATTCTCTTTCTGTCTTCAAATCCTAAACTTAACCACTGCTGCAGATCTTTCTTCTCCTAACACGACCTCTTACCTCTTTTCCTGATCTTCTTCTTTTCCATCTTTGTTTCCTTGTCTTTTCTCTTTTTTCCCCCTCTCTTTGGGTCTGTGCTGTCTCTGAACTTCCTGCATCCGGGGGTGATAAAGTTCGCATCCCCTCTGAGCAGCACCCTGTGCCTTGTTTAAGCCCGCACGAATTAGAGGAACCGGCTGAGGTCATGAGGAGCTCCAGCATGGGATACCTCTGTAAGTGAGGTCACAACAAGCAGCAAAGTTTGAACACTAATTTAGCATCATGGCTGTCCACTGACAAAAATATGAGCCACAAATAACTAACCTGGATGTTTAAGGGCCTATTTCCACTTAAGGCTGTTTTGTTCACAATCTAATGCAGTTCAGTGTTTTCTGCACTCAGTGTCCTTATAAAACACTCAGTGTGAGCTGTTTTTTGTCAATGTTCTCAGTTGGAAAAAAGCTGATCTAAATGACGCTCCATTTTCAAATCAACCAATCAGAATGAAGAGGTGGGACTTCTTATTAGCTTTTTCAGCATCACTAGTAGAGATCTGCACATCTGGTATTTGTCATACCCCACACCTTTTACAGTTTGTGGCATGAAATTAGTACCCAGTTCCGTTTCCAAGCCAGAATAATACAATAAAATGAGAAAACTGATGAAAAACTAACGAAGCTCATCTGCTTTGAAGGTTGAATTTTAAGGTCAAGGATACAACACTGTTTCCTTCAACTTATTTTACATTTAATACGTGTTTTTTTTTAGCATAGTTCACTGGAGTAAAATTGAGTACAAATATTTTTTTAATACAAAACAAAGTCTTGATAGCACTGTGATAGGAAGTGGGAGTGCTCTGGAAAAACTTTGGTATTCAAGCAACAGTGAGTGCTGGAGAGAAGCCCTCTAGAATAGGAAGTCAACTTTATTTGTCATACCCCACACCTTTTACAGTTTGTGGTACGAAATTAGACTCAGGTCCATTTCCAAGCCAGAATAATACAACAATATACAATACAATACAAGAACAATCATAAAAACGTGTATGAGCAATAAAAACACAAGAGCAAAATGTAAACAAGGCAAAAGAGCAACAATCACGTTCAATAGCGACAGTTTAGGAAAGGCTGAAATCAGCCCTGTTGCTATAAATTTCCATGTGGAAGCAGAACCTAATGCTGTTTGCACAAAAGAAAAAGCTACTGGTGGAAATAGGCCCATACAGCTGATTGTAATTTATTTAGTGGAGCAGCCAGTGGAGCCTGGCTTGTACAGAAATTTTGGCATCAATATGATAAATTGGCAGGTTATAGATATGGTAGATAATATAGAAAACTATCAAGCAGGATTGAAAGTAGATTTTCATCATTATAGGTCCCCAAAAGCTGTTTTCTTAAACAGTTTTCCTTCACATTGTTTTACATCATTAACTAACCAATTGTCATGCAGCCCAGATTTTGATATTGTAGGCAGATACTGAGAGTAATGTAAACGTTAAAGAATAAACAACTCCGTCCAGCAGCTTTATTTATCATGCTCTAGTGGAAATATGCAAAGATAGATGTGTTTTTGGCACCATGACGCTCAAATGTTGTAGGCTCTACAGGGACATACTATCCATCTGTGAGTTAATGGCCCAAAGTTTACATTCTCATTTGCCAATAGTTTCCTAAGCGTGTCTCTGCTGACTCTTGTAAGCAGCTGACCTAAGACGGCCATGTATCCTCGCTCCCCTCTTTCTCCCTAAAGAGCGCCTGAATGAAAGGCCACCTGGCGTTCGTCCTAAAGCTTAAGCCTCTCCACATTTAGCTGACTTTTCTGGCTCTCTACTTATACTTTCCTGGTGCTTCTTTACTTTTCTGGGGCTGCTTTTCCACCCGGGGCCAAAAATGTCTCATTTGAAGCCTTGCAGTCTTGCTCGCAACTTCCTATTTGAACCTTATGTATGTCTTCTATCCCTGCAGGTAGCCCTACTACTGCCCACAGAAACCTCACCTCCAACAGCCTGAGCGACTTCTCTGACAAACCAGAGAAAGATCAGGTAATAATCTCGAGTCTGTCTGTACAAGAGAATGTTTAAGGACTCTGTTGGAGTCATGTGTTTGACTCTTGTGAGCTTGTGAGCCTCACATACCAATAGATAAGACCCCCAGCTGGACTACAAAAGCTCTCTGTCCTCTGTCCTGTGAGTTTCTACCATCTGCACGAGCAGTTTCCCTCCCCTGCCATGACTCATGATCGAGTAGCTGACTGTAAATTGGCTTCACCGGACATGGATTAAAGATCACAGAAAGCGGTTAAAGTGTAGCGACTTGTACTACGCAGCAGCAACAGTTAATGAATCTGTATGTGTGTCAGAACGGTTTGGCCTTTGATAAAAACACCCAGGCTTCGGTTAATCATCACCCTGAAAGAGAAATGCTCAAATCAGCTTGTTACATCCACATATGAGACTCTGTAGGTCAGTTTAGTGCAAGAATGTAGATGCAATTTCCTCTGCTATAAAGTTTGCTTAGTAGGTAACATAAAGTCCAAGGGCCTCTTTGCACATAATTCAAGGAAAGGCGGGTACAACCTGTTTTTTGGGTCACAGTACGCCTCTGCCAGGTCTATTTTAATTACGTTTAAATTGGCACATTTATCCAAAATGCCACACAAGGCATCAATCATACTAAAAAGAGGAAGCACGGGTTCATGTGTGCACTTAAACTTCCTAATTTTTCTGTTTTTTTGGCTCCACAGCTGAAGAACAAATTCATGAAGAAGTTGCCCCGCGATGCAGAAGCATCAAACGTTCTGGTTGGAGAAGTCGACTTCCTGGAAACCCCCTTTGTGGCGTTTGTTCGTCTGCAGCAGGCCGTCATGTTGGGGGCTTTAACCGAGGTCCCTGTGCCCACAAGGTACAAGAACCCTCAAACACATCACTGATTAAAAACATCTGCGTAAAGTCAGACCTAATTAGTTATTCTCTTCTTTTTCCTAGGTTCCTTTTTGTCCTGCTGGGCCCTAAAGGAAAAGCAAAGTCCTATCATGAAATCGGAAGAGCCATCGCCACCCTGATGTCAGATGAGGTACTTGATTGGTTTTGTTTTGATGCTGGAGAGTCATCATCTGTACTGCAGCAGCTTGTTTGTTGTTACAAACTCTCGAGCATCTGGGCTGAAGTGTGCGGTAGATAAATCACTGCTATTCTGAATCAATTAAGCTCATCCTGTTAAAGCTCTGATTGGACTAATCAGGCCACTAACTGGTTGTGGACGTAAGTAAATGGCATCTGTGGATCCCACTAGGAAACTGTGTGGAGGATGGTGGAGTCCGTTTATGAGGTTGTGGAAGAGAAATTAAGGACACTGATTATTGTTTTGTGCAGATTAGGGGTTTAGAGTCACACTAGCTGGCTTGTAGCCTTGTGAGGTCTAACAGAGGCATTTTTCGTACCCAGAAAGAGGGTAAATTTCAGGGCTGGAGCTAGACCTTTTAGACTTGGGTGGCCAGACTAGGGCACCAAATTTTACAGCCTCCGTGTGCACAGGAATTATTAATTTTTTTTACCTCTAAAATAAGAAACAACATAAGAAAATCTTCCTCCTGTGTGTCATACCCCACTCTCTTGCCCCCTTGCTCCAAAGGACTCGATAAATAATGTCCAAAGTCACAAGTCAAAATGCGAACAAAACAGAATGCGAAACATTAAAGACCCTAAATTAATTTGACACCGGAATATCCCTTTTAAAAAAAAGACGCAGCTGATTTTAATGAAAGTCCCCCCTCTGACAAGACCAGATAGCCAAACATGGTTAGGGAGTCTTGGGGTGGCCGAGCAGATTCCAAATGGGGCCATGGACACCCTTGGAAACTCCCTGGCTCCACCCCTGATACACCCCACTAAAGGCCCTCTATCGCGCCCTCATCCCATTGCTAAGTTTTCAGAGCCCACTGATCCACATCCAGCACAGACTCTGTTTCTGTTAGCTCAAAGTATTAACAATGCTGATGCTACCCACCCTACCACTATTGACCCCACACTGACTCAGTCACACTAGATAGGCGGCGAGTACAAGCACGTCGCAGGGTAATAATCAAGTCAACACTTTGCACATTCTCCTTTCCTTATTTTCTCATTTATCCTCACACTCACAAGGTTTGATTAACTGCCATTAGACCGCCGTCCTTCAACCCCACCCCCAGTTCTTGCCCTGTTGCCAAATCTCTTATCAGTTATCAGAGCAATTTGCCATAGTCCTGTTGGCAAAAACTAATTTATAGCCTGTTTGTTAAAGTTTAAGATACACTCATTAGTCAGCAAAAGAAAGAGACGCCTCACACTGAGACAAACCTCTCCTCTCCGTCTTCATTTGTCTACGGTACTCTGTTTTGTGTCTCCACCCGCCCCGACTCAACCCGTTCAGTGTTTTCAGGAATGTTAACACACGTTTCACAGAGTCCTTAACCCTGAGAGCACCTTACTCACAGATTCCCACAGGGCCCCCCAACGCTTCCCGGTATATCTCATGTGTCAACAAAGCAGGGTAGGAAGTGTTTTTCCAGGATTTCCTCAGGTTAAAGTTTACCCTCTCTGCCGTCACATGTGCGTTTTTGTCAGAGGTTTTATCAGATGTTCTTGTTCATTGATCGGTTATAAAATACCGGCTTGTATCAGTGGATTTCACAGATCATGACTCGTTATTTGTTTACATTGGGGAAAAGTTCACAAGATCCCTGTTGGACGTCAATATTATGGTAGTGAGGTTGTCAACAAAGCCAGGAGTTACACATTTCTTGACCCCTGCGTTAATATTTAAGGACATATTACATTATTTTTCCAGTTTTCACGACAAAGTTGGCTGTTTTGTTTGTGTGCTGGCAGGTATTTCATGACATTGCGTACAAGGCGAAGAGCAGACAGGACCTGCTGGCGGGTATCGAGGAGTTCCTGGACGAGGTCATCGTCCTGCCGCCTGGAGAGTGGGACCCTGACATCAGGATAGAGCCACCCAAGTCTCTGCCCTCCTCAGATAAGAGGTCTGCTAATCCAAAGAAGTCACAAGAAATCACAAATATACACTGAACAGCGAGTAAACGCAGTAGTTCACAGCATAAAAAGTCCCTCCCTATAAGTCAAGTTATGCTCTTTTAGCAAGAGTGTGACCTTTTTACTTTTGCTGATCAGCTGATTTTAATCTGAGAGAATAAAAAACTTGAATAAAAATCTACTTTTCAGCAGTAAAGCAAAGGTATTGTAGTAGTAACACAAATTCTGATAAAGTTTAGTTTCATTCATAGAAGAAAAAAAGTGCATTATTAAGAAATCACATAAAGATCAAAATCTATTTATGTGAACATTTAACATAACTTTTTAACTCTTTTGTCCATTTGTTTGTCAAGTTATCTTTTCCTAAGTTGACAAATAGTGTCTTGTTTTCATGTTTAGACTCAACAGCTTTTATGTGTCACTAAATTCATGTTTTTAATGTTGAATTAAGACGGTGGTTCTCAAGTCCAGTCCTCGAGCCCCCCCTGTCCTGCATGTTTTGGATGTTTCCCTGCTCCAACACACCTGATTCAAATGATCAGCTCGTTATCAAGCTCTGAAATGGCTTAACGAGCTGATCATTTGAATCAGGTGTGTTGGAGCAGGGAAACATCCAAAACATGCAGGACAGGGGGGCTCGAGGACTGGATTTGAGAACCACTGAATTAAGATAAGGATTGAGTCTGCTGACAGTTTGTTGAATCTGAATGTGTCTTTTATTGCCTTTTTTAAAGGAAGAACATGTATGCTGGTTTGGAGCCGCCTCAGATGAACGGCGACACTCCCCACGATGCGGGACACGGAGGGGGAGGAGGACACGAGGTTGGCGAAGAGCTCCAGCGTACCAGCAGGTAATTAAAAATTTCACATCATCATCAATCTCAAAGACGCCTATGTGTCCACATGAATCTTTTCAGTTTAAAAGTCATGACAGTCCAAAATTACCACATCATCAGATCATCATTAGCGGGGTCGTTATCTTGATGGCATTTGATTTTTGCAGTGAAAATGTTCATTTTAGAGTAAAAGTGCAACCAGGAACAAACATTTTTGCTTGAATCTCTTAAATCTGTTCCAACAAGGAACTTTTCAACACATGGTCCAAAACAGTCAGAGCTCTTCACTCTGAGATAACTTTTTCCTTTAGTTGTCCTCTCTCTGGAAACTTTGACTTCAGCTGTGAAGTTTTGTCTCTAACTTGATAACTCTCTGTCTTTAAGGTTTTGTGGAGGACTCATCCTGGACGTCAAGCGAAAGCTGCCGTTCTTCGGCAGCGACTTCTACGACGCTCTACATATCCAGTCTCTGTCGGCCATCCTCTTCATCTACCTGGGCACGGTCACCAATGCGATCACATTCGGTGGATTACTCGGAGATGCAACAGAAAACATGCAGGTAACATCCTCCCCCGTTTTTTTATGAGTCTGTTTAGTTTGACTCAATCTTTTAAACTTTAATGATTTGTCACTGGAGACAGAAACACATCTCTCGTAAACCTCAGATCACCTTGTTCTGCCAAGTTGTGATACAACTGCTGACAAAATTTAACTTGGAGGCATAAAAAAAAAACACCCTGACCCACATATGACCACTTATGAGAGGCTGTAACTGCGGTCGGATTGATCTAGTTTGGGTCCAGAATTCACTGACCTGAATCGCACTGTTGTTCTGACATTTTATTTTTATATGGCGGCTTTTTCCATCCAACAAAAACAAAACCAGTTCGTCAAAGTTGTTTTATACTTGAGTATCACAAGAATTGGTACTGGAGAGGAAGGTGTACCAGGGACAGGAAGTAGTTTAAAGCTCCTGTGAGGAGTTATTGATAAACTTGAAATTACCTGACATTCATAAGGAAGGCTATTCATGACACGTACAAGCAAGAACATACGAAGTAAGATTTTTAATGCCTGAGGGGGTAGGTGTTTTACATTTTTTACAAAATTATCCAAAATAATTAAAAAATATGGTCATCAGAAGTGAGAATAATGAGATTTTTTGTGATAAGATGCTAGATGTCAAGATAAGCAATGACGGCTTTGTCCACAGAGGGCGCCAAATTATCACAAATTTAAAATTCCTTATCTGAACTTTAAGGTCGCTTTCACACCAGAGCTGTTTGGTCCGCTTTAAACAGACCAGACTTCGTTTCCTCGGATAGTCCGCTTCGTTTGGGCAGGTGTGAAAGCTCATCCGAACTCTGGTGCGGACCAAACAAGTGAACTCTGGTCCGCCTGAAAATGTGGGTCTCACCTCGCTTGCAAGTAAACCCTGGTTCGGTTCCTATGCAGTGTGAAAGCTCACCGGACCAAACACAGGACCAAATGTACGTAATGACGCTATACACAGTGTATACGCAGTGCATCTTGGGAAGAGGGAGCACGGCGTCCCTTGTTGCTATGACAACAAGTGACCGCTGATATTAGCAGTTGCTACCTAGCTTAGCTCAATTATCTGAACAACAATAACCCATAAATTCACAATTTGGCATATTTAAACTAAATCAAATCACAACTACTAACAGTCACAGTCCTTAAACTCTGAGCTCATATGTTGTCACATGTTAGGTCGTTAAAGTTAGAAAAATAACAGGATCAATCCCTGACAAGCTACGATAGCAGTATAGGAATAGTTGCATTCACTAACGATGTAGCATTCCATAAAATAATGTAACGAAGCACGATACAAGACGGCTAGTCCACCGCTGTTTGTAATCTGTGAGGTTACATAATCCTCCCACTTTGTCCAGTCGATGAGCGCCCCTTTCAACCACGTGATGCTGCTCAGTGCGCTTTAGAAATCACAGTGTGAAAGCAGAACCGAAACAAGTGATAAATGTAAGAATGTTGCGACTTCCAGTTCCCCAAACGAACCAAGTCCGCTTGGTCAGGTGTGAAAGCGACCTAAAATACTCATGAAAAAAGCATCAAAATGAATTTGTCTTTTTCATAAATGTTTAGAAACTCTTTAACTGTAGGTAACACATGTTGTTATAAGAAGAATAGATATTTCGGTTTTGACCAATCAGAATCAAGTATTTAACATGACCAGGTAATTTGCAGATCAGCTGGGTAACACAACACTTCCCCCCATGGGGCGCTTGTGTTCAAAGCATAATATAGAAATGGATACCAGTGCACTTTTATTTATATAACACTAGTCATGGTATGTACATTACACAGCTTATAGGCATTGGTACACTGGTAATAGTACATGCATGTTGTCTGTGTGTGGAAACACTGTTGTGATTTTAATGTATATTTCTAACAGATAAGTGAGGCATGGTTTAGACTTAGTTAAACAGGTCAGAACCAGTTTTATATATCTGATATTTTCACCTCCACCATTGTTCCTCTTGTTAAGTTACTATCACAGAAACAAAGAGAGTTGACTTCAGCTGATAAGCCATGCTAATATGCAGCTCAAAGGATCATACTGCATCCATCTGCTGCACCTTCTGTTCACAGAGCTGCATGTTGACAAGTTGCACCATTCTAGTGAAATAACATTCATGGCTGCATGCATGATCATGCACCGTCTATCTTTTGTGGATGAGGTTGTCCAGTCATTACAGGTGCTCTGAATCCTCTCCTGCCAAAGAGCTGCATCCTTGCAGACCTGCACCGCACCGGCCTCAAGGATTTACCCGGGCTGTAAATAACCTCAGATCCAGATTACACCAATGCAGCCTAGTCATGGCTGTGTGTTTCCAATGACCCCACCACTCCGCCCATGCACACACATGCACAAACACACACGCACAAACTCCAAACCTCCTGCGATGCTGCCCACTCAAAGCAGAGGGTTTCCCTGACCTCACTTAACCTTTCCTGAGCACAGGATGCAGAAAGTAAACTCGATTACTCAGTCCTCTGCTGTATGCGTGTCACTTTAAGAGAGGAAAATACACGCAGACTGAGAAACTGACATAACAGGAAAGGCAACAGGCTTGTCCTGATTGGCCGGCTGTGCTTTGTGTATTGTTTAGAAGTGAAACAAAGCTTCCTGCTGAGTTGGCACAAATATTGTATATTGTATATTTTGAAGGTAAAGGAAAAGTTGCAGTAAGAGCTACAATAAGGCAAAACCTGATGGAAGACTGTATCTGAACAATTTCTCTGCAGGGTGGTTAAAAATCAAGGTTAAGAGTTCATGTTATTTCAGCTTATTTCATCTTAAATTAAAGACAAGATCACGTGAATGATGGCACGCTTGTAGGTGTGGTAGAAACCTGTGAGTGACTTGTGAGAAACCGCACCCTAAGGATATTTTATAAGATAATAACAACAACACAAGAGTCACTTGTAACCTAAATAACTTTAAGAAAGTGACCTTTATTGTTCCAGATATGTTTTTTTTTCTATGGCAGGAAACTCCTGAGTCAAATGACATTTTAGCTTGTCAGTTTTTGGTAATAAGTTTAAATGTGAAGTAAAAGAAAGCTAAATCAGAGTTATGAATTATTTTTTTAAAGGTACAGTATGCAGAATGTAGGACCATTTAGCAGAACAGACTTTGTAGAAAATGAATATAATATCTGACCTGAATATTGTAATTATTCAGTTGCCATCTTGCATCACTACGCTTCTACGGTGGCACAGAGGGGACAAACTAGTTACAGAGAGACTTTGTTTCACACATACAAACTTGCATTTTGGTGTTAAAAAATTTGCATTTAGGTTCAGATTTCGCATGCATCACATGAGCTTTTTGTCCTCAAAAGCCACCGTAGCTTCACTGACATTTGGGGTGAGCAAGGGAGCGTTTCGGTGTTAAATCTGACTGTTGGATCTCATGAAACATTGCTAATTTTACACTCTATTCTAAGTCGAATGCACAGATTATGAGCAATTTTAGGGAAGAAAGTAGTCTCGTACTGCAATATTTCCAGAAATTTTAAATAAATACATGAAACAAATGCATAAAACTTGCCAAGTCTACAAAACCAAAAGAGAACAACAGTGTCGTCCCATTTTTTCTGTTGTTTAAACATGCTGCAGGCTGCAGCACGTCAGGAGTGTTTAACTGGTTTTGAAATGGTGTCATTCGGAAACTGATGCGTCTTTATGACCTACATGGTAAATTAAGAATATCAGCAGTAAGTTCGGTTATTTATTTACACTGAATTTTACTGCCTGTGCTCGGGTCAGATTTCCCGCCAAAAAGCCGAGGTGGTATCCAGCAGTCGTTTAGAGGTGCCTATGGTTACAACTTGGCTAGTCAAGTCTGGCAGGGACAAGTAAGTTAGCGAGCAGGAGGAAGTTTTATTTTTCTGTATCTAACTTCCTTTTAAAATAATGTTTGAAAAAAAGAGACCTCTTTACGTCAGCGAGTAATGGCACTCATGGGAAATGCATTCTCCATCCAAGAAAAACAGATGTCACCCAGATGGACAGATGCCAAAGTCAACACAACATGAAAACTCATCTGTCTGTTTGGGGTTTTGTTGCCCTGTGCGTTGTCTTGCAGGGAGTTTTGGAGAGTTTCCTGGGTACGGCACTGACAGGAGCGGTGTTTTGTCTGCTGGCCGGACAGCCCCTGACGATCCTCAGCAGCACGGGCCCGGTGCTGGTTTTTGAAAGGCTCCTCTTCAACTTCAGCAAGTGAGTAAATTCCCTCATTCAGGGTTAGGTAGAGTTCAGAAACAGGCTGAGCGGCATGTGAGATATTTATAAGCTGTGGTCAATCCCCAAAAGACTGAGGTTGTTTGTGTGTTTATGGAGATGCTTTCCTTGTGACCCGCTTCGATCGATTAAAAATAGACGTATTATGAATACAGACAGATAAACCCACACTTGGGAGGTTTTTCTGTGATTTCTTTTCGTCTTCACACTTTCTCACTGGGACTGTTTGTTCTTGCAGCCTATCACTTACCAGCTGACTGTGAATGCCACCTCTTGGCCGCACAGATTTATGATGTTACAGCATCCATTTCTGATGACGTTCAAATTTCTGATTTATTCGCATCACTGGCCGTGTGACTTCAACTTCAAAGGAGAATTCATTGCCACATAAATCAAGAGCTTGTTTCGTGCTTTTATTTTGGTATTTTCTCTGTCATGTGTTCAGATTTCTTTACTCCTGCATTGTAAACATGTGCTTTTATTTTGAAGGAGAAAGAAAACTGTTAAAACTTTTCTGTTTTTTGACCACCAGCGTTAGGGACTATTTTGTTGGAAGATGTCAGAAAACAACAAACACATACCAAATATTCTTGTTTCATCAGGTATATTTGAGCATTTTTACTGCGGAAAAAAAATGATGCCTATATAAATTATGTGCAAGTTAGATGGTTGGTGGTTTTGCCCAGAAATTAGAAGGCTCCTGCATTTTTATACCACTGTTAGAAGTAGATCCAAAAAGTTCCTGTGAAAACATCTCCTCTCTTTTCAGACTCTGAATGCGTCTCTCCATCTGTTTGGCAGATTTAAACATGTCATTTCACAACACCAGCTGGGCACCAGAGGTTAAAAAACCGCTGACTTCTCCTTCCTTCTTGCGCTTGCAGTGTCCCAGAGAGACTCTTCTAGCATTACCAAACACCCCTCCGCTTATGTTCCATTATCAATAATTCACTCTCATTTAATTTTACACTGAGCGAAGAATGTTGTGGGGACTGTGGCCTCTAAATGTTTCCATGCCTGAAGGAAAAGGCTGCTGAGTCAGTGACAGCTGAGTACAGATACTATAGTGCATGTTTGTCATAGAAAGTGCAGTCTGCTGGTTATGATGGTGGGACTTTTGGTGTGTTTTCACCAAGCATTCTGGTCCAGTTTGATACAATACAAAATGAATAGTGTTTAAAAGCAGTATTTTATTTTGATAGAGCTTCAGTGTCTGGAAAAAAACACTAAAATAAGCTTCTAACCCATCTTGGAAAGGCTTTAGGGACCGTATCAGGATTTTTAAAAAGGGTTTTATTGTTGCCTAAAAACAGCAATCTATTCCAAGACTGCTATTAACCCCTTCTTTCCTGCATCTTCAGAGACAACGGGTTCGACTACCTCGAGTTTCGGCTGTGGATCGGCCTCTGGTCGGGTGTATTCTGTCTGATACTGGTGGCTACGGACGCCAGCTTCCTGGTTCAGTACTTCACGCGCTTCACAGAGGAAGGCTTCTCCGCGCTCATCAGCTTCATCTTCATCTATGACGCCTTCAAAAAGATGATAAAGCTGGGCCACTACAACCCGATTAACTCCGATTTTGATCCGAACTTGATCACCCAATACGACTGCAAATGCATACCTGGTATGTAGTGTAAAAATTTAGTGCAAAACTGCAACATAAAAGAGATTACAGACATCTTGAACCATCAACCCCCCTTAAAGAGACCATCAGAGTCTCAGTATCAGGGCTGATACCAGACAGTGAAAACTGAACACTGGTATTAAATTTTGTCCTATCTGGCGCTGATGTCGCTATTGTACTTCAAACAAAGCTTTCAGCTTTTTCTGCTACGTTTGCAGCAGAGATAACGAACGATACTACTATGTGTCACCCTTTTGATACCAGTGTTGACTTTCTCCACAGCCTTATCAGTCTCTGTGTCTCCAATGAGCTGGCAGGACTGTTTGTAGAGATACTGATTTCAAAGAGAGAGTCTGATACTGAATGTTTTTTTCTGATACTAAGGTGTTTTTGTATCTCCTCTCTAGGCAACTCGTCTGAGTTCATTGATGTCTCGACCTGGACGAACAGTTCTGATCTGGTATGAAGCGTTCTGGGTTTTGTGACATCTTGTTGCTTTTTTTTTTGAAGTCTAAATTCTGATCCTCGTTTGCGTTGCTTCTTCCCAGCCAGTGAACGCGACCTGGGCAACCCTGACCAAGAAGCAGTGTTTGAAGTTCGGGGGTCAGCTGGTTGGAGATTCCTGCGGCTACGTGCCTGACATCACCCTGATGTCCCTCATCCTGTTCTTTGGAACCTACACCTGCTCCATGGCTCTGAAGAAGTTCAAGACGAGCCGCTTCTTCCCCACCAAAGTGAGCAACGATGGCGTGAATTAGTTGATACCTAGCTTTTTTGTCCAGTTTACGAAAGAGGATTAGGGCCACAAGAAGAGAAAAAATAATTACAGGAGGGAGATTTTTCTTATTTCCATTTCGAGATCAAAGTTGATATTTTGAAATTGAGGTTGAAATTTAAAAAAAATTGTCTTCATTCAAGTCAACTTTAATCTCAAAATTTAGTTTTTTAAATCTCGAAATTTTGACATCATTTACGACATTTTGAAATCTCTAAACGTCGTCTTTATTCAAGTCAACTTTAATCTCAAAATTTCGACTTTTATCATAAATTTTTATTTTTTAATCTCCAAATTTGGACATTGTTCACGACATTTCGTAATCTCCAAACGTCATCTTTATTCAGATCAACTTTAATCTTGAATTTTCGACTTTAATCTAAAAATTTTTAGTTTTTTAAAATCTCAAAATTTTGACATTATTCACGATTCGTAACCTTGAAATTTTGATTTAAATCTTGAAATTGAATTTTTTTTATCCAGAAATTTCGGGTCTATTGACATTATTTCAATTTTTTTAATCTCGAAATTTTGACTTCAATCTCCTTTCTGTAATTATTTTCTCTTAATGTGGCCCTAATCCTTTTTTGTATCTGTGTCGTGTGTACAGTCTGTGGTATTGAATATAATCTGTATCTTTAACATGCTGCAGTTGCAAAAGCACATAGCTGGTGATTTTGTACCACAGGCTCAATCCAAACCTGCTTGTTTCTTCTCTTTTCCAGGTGAGGAAGCTCATCAGTGACTTCGCCATCATCTTGACCATCCTTGTCTTCTGCGGCGTGGACGCGTTTGTCGGTGTGAACACTCCAAAGCTCATAGTGCCAAGTGAATTCAAGGTAAATCTTTAAAAGGGAAAGTTGTGTTTATCCTAAGATCACCCACGTCTACTGGATTACAATGGCAGCAGTGCAGTTTCCTCTGATTACACCGATAATGATCTGAGTGTCTGTCTGGTAGAAATCTTTAAGATCCCAGTATAATGCTTTCTTTATAGTCTGCCCAGTCAGTGATACATATTACCTGAAACACAAGCACAGCCAGTTTTGTAGCCGAGCTCAGATTTAAAAACCTGCCCCCGAGCCTCGACATAGAGGAAGAGGATGACGGGGTAGAGGAGCAGGTACCTGCATCGAATAACGTCTTGATTATAGGTGAAGTGAGAAGACGCAGGGTCTTAAATGTGTTGGTACAGAGGCAGCTTTGTCCGACCACAGAGTCTTGATTCACAAATTTCTGTCATGTAACGACGCACCAGTAATTTCAGACTCGCTTTAGTGTTTCGACTTCCCGAAAGTGACAATTAGGTTATTTTTTTGTGTGTATTTGAGATCTTCTCCACGCCTCAGAGGATTCACCGTGCTCTTCTTCTTTTTCCTCCAGCCCACGAGTCCACTGAGGGGCTGGTTTGTTACTCCCTTTGGCGGGAACCCTTGGTGGGTGTACCTGGCTGCTGCACTTCCCGCTCTGCTGGTCACCATCCTCATCTTCATGGACCAGCAGATCACAGCTGTGATTGTCAACAGGAAGGAGCACAAACTAAAGGTTCTCGAAGTTTCATTCATTTAAAAAACTCAAGAAAACTAAACATGGTAGCAGTTAAAAAAAGATCCTTGTAATTAGCATTCATGAACAGTTAATAAGAGCTTTATAAGGTGCTTATAAACATTCATAAATGTTAATAAATGCAGAACTAATACTATAATTGGTTACAAGACACTTGTAAACAATTCATATACCTCTCATACACACAGACAGATTATTTATTAACATTAATTAGACTTTAATTATCTTTAACTAACCCCATATTAAGTCTAATTAATGTTAAACACTGTATTAAAGTGTGTGGCAAAAATATGATCTGTTTACAAGTTCCTATCAAGAGCCTTTTAGTTTATTATTAGCAATAATAAATGTGTTCATGATGCTTTAACACTTGTTTATTAGCATCTTATTAGGTCTAATAACTGGCTTATTAACTACTAATCAATGCTACTTACATAAACCTTCATATAAAGTTTTAAGAGTACAGTAAAGCCACCCTATAAAGTTTATTAAATGTAAACTTTTTATGTTTTATGAATATTATACAGACAATTTAGGAAAAAATGAATATCTGTCATCCATCAAAATGCTGTTTTGGGGGATTTTAATTGTAAAAAAATAAATTCCTTTCAATCAGCCAAAATGTGATAATTTATGCATTCTTAATGTGCAAATTATAGTGGCATGAAAAACCCATTCATGCTAGCTATTTCCCTGCTTGCAACAATCTGTCTTTTTACGCTATAACATTTTGGAAAACAGCCACATAACAAACGTCTCATATGTATGTACGCATGGTTGAAGTGCATCACTCCATTTCCTGGTTTGATTCCCGTCTTTCTGACTCAGCTGTCTGCTCTCTTTCCTCTCCTCTTAGAAAGGGGCGGGCTATCACCTGGACCTGTTCTGGGTGGCCGTCCTGATGATCATCTGCTCCTTCATGGGCCTGCCGTGGTACGTGGCCGCTACCGTCATCTCCATCGCCCACATCGACTCCCTGAAAATGGAGACCGAGACGTCGGCCCCTGGGGAGCAGCCTAAATTCCTGGGTGTGAGGTGAGTCAGAGTGCAGCTGCTGGAGCAGGTGTTTAACCCATTTAACCCTCCTATTGTGAAGAGCAAAAAAGTCTCATGCAACACTGTGGTTGTTGCATTCAAGGATTTCTGTATTTTTCTTTGTCATCCTAAGAAAAAGGGAGGAGGGAGAGAAGATTAGCAACCTCATTCAATCAGAATGAGAATCAGGGAACCATAAGAACAAAGAAAAGATTAAAAACAGTCTTGTAGAAATGGATAAATCTTCACAAAAAACACACAACAGTTTTGTGATGCCGTCTTTTAGAAGTGGTTTTCTTCATGTGGTTGATTAGGACGATCCCTCAAACACCAAGCTTCAGAACTGAGAAGTTTGAGTCATTCCCTGTAAAACTTTCATTGTTCAGGATTTTATTCAGTGCTTGAATTGTCCCTGTTTTGTGTTTTCTCTTTCCAGGGAGCAAAGAGTCACTGGCATCTTTGTGTTCCTCTTGACTGGCCTCTCTGTCTTCATGGCCCCCATCCTCAAGGTAGAAAGCTTCACCTTTTTTTTTTTTTTTTTTTTTTGTTCGTTCTTTTATTCTGTGGAAATCTGGATTACTGTCCACCTCTTTCAGGACAAACTCTTGTCACCCCCTCTGAAATTTGTAATAATTTTCAATCTTTGATTCATCCGATTAGAAACTCTCATCGTGGAAGTAATGTGATGTGAAGTGAGCGTGTTCATTAGGGCTTAAGCTCCGATTGCAGCTGAGGGCCTTCTCTAGTTTCCATTCCCACATTAAGCTGCCAAACAGAAAAAATGTGCGGTCACTGAAGGGGGATTATTGGAGTTCTTACTCCCCCTTGTGGACATTTTGACAACTGCAGAGTTATTATATTCGATATGAAAAAAAGCAAAGCAGGCAAAGATTTAAAGGGAGAATATGGAGAGTTGGAGCAGCTCCTGTTTTACATGTTGAACTTTTTCCAGCTCCAGATTTTTTTCTTCGAGTTGAAAAGTTCATCTCTAGTTTGTTTGTTTGTACTTTTTGCATCAAAAAACCTCAACTCAGTCTCAACAACTTGTTACCAAACCTTCACTTTAGCTGCCAAGAGATTGTCAACATTCGCAGAAAAGCAGCTTGTCGGGTATTTTTCACCCGAGTGACAACGCTATAAATAAAATTATGTAATTACATGCATAAAGAGCGATGTCACATGTTGCATGGATTTGAGTGTTATTTAACCTAAACAAACATTACCACATCCACAGGGTTCACTGTAATAACTGTTGTCATTGTAATCTGTGTCTCTTAGTTCATTCCCATGCCTGTGCTATACGGCGTGTTCCTTTACATGGGCGTGGCTTCGCTCAACGGCGTCCAGGTGAGTGAGTTCAGTGCATACATTAGACAAATGACTTTACTAAATGACGAACTTCTAATGACTAACTAATAACATTTATTAACTTAGAAGGAAAGTGGTTACGCAGCTTTACTCATCAGCAAAATGTATTAGCACCTAGCCTGCTGCTGTAGTTTTGTTTCATATTTTATACTGTGCTTTAAACGCATAAAATATCCCATATTTCTGTACATTATGGAAACACGGCTGCAATTTTTGGTAAAGGAGGATTTACAGACATGTCACTGCTATTATTAGCTAAGCTTATGCAACAGCAGCCCTCCTTTTTTCACACACCTTCCAGCTCTGAACATAACCTCCCTGAAATAAGTTTTAGCATGGCTTGTGGCGAGTTAGCGGCCGATTAGCATCATGTAAGCGAAGCTACAGGTGGTCAGAGAGCTGCCAAGATACGGTGTGTTAAGCAAAGCTGAGGCTGCCAAAAAAGCAACATGATTGTTAGGCTGTCTTTAAAAAGGTGTTTGAATCATTTAACTTAGAAATACATAAATGAAACCACAGGAAGATGACAAATTATGATAACCACAGCTATCACTAGCAGGCTAGCCGCTAATTTCTAGCAGCTAAACTAGAAATTTTAAGACTTTATTATCCTTGGATTTGTCCACTTTTGCAGAACTTTAGTCTCGTAATATTTTCGTTATTGTGTCCACTCTACCAGCCGCTGTTTTAAAGTATCATACAGTAGAGCTGCTAGAAACAGTTGCACCGTCAAATTTAATCTCAAATGAGCTACTCAAGAGGATTAGGGCCACATGAAGAGACACAAAATAATCACAGAAATGAGATTAAATTCTCAATTTCAAGATTAAAGTCAATATTTTGTCACTAAAAAATCTAAATTATGTTAATAAAATCTAAATGTCAAGATTAAAAATTGAAATTTTGAGAGTAAAGTTAAAATTTCACAACTACAAAATGTTGAAATTTTGAGATTAAAAAAAATGAAAAATTTAAGATTCATGTTGAAATTTCGAGATAAAAAATTTGTCTAAATGTCATGAATAGTATTGAAATTTTGAGATTAAGAGAATTATAATTTAAGGATTAAAGTCGATATTTCAAGATTACAAAAAATTCTAATGTTGTGATATATGTCAACATTTTGAGATTAAAAAAATTTAATTTTTAGTCCAAAGTTAAAATTTAAAGTCAACATGATTAAAGTCGAAATTGCGGCAATAAAAAAATAGAGATTATGTAAATAACGTCAACATTTTTCAAATAAAAATCAAAATTTTGAAATTAAAGTCGAAATTTTGAGATTAAAAAAAATATATTGTTAGACTAAAGTCGAAATTTTGAGATTAAAGTTGACATGAATAATGTTGAAATTTTGTCTTTTAAATTTTTTACTTTAATCCTGAAATGGAAAAATTAAAAAAATCTCCTGCCCGTAATTATTTTTCTCTCTTCTTGTGGCCTTAATCCTCTTTCCTATCATAGAAATTGTGTCTGACTTGTTTTATTTTTTGTGCATTTGCTTGTTTTAGTTCATGGACCGTCTGCAGCTGCTCCTGATGCCAGCAAAGCACCAGCCAGACCTGATCTACCTGCGACACGTCCCCCAGAGACGCATCCACCTCTTCACCTTCATCCAGGGCTTGTGTCTGGCCCTCCTTTGGATCCTCAAATCCACAGTGGCGGCTATCATCTTTCCCGTCATGGTGAGTGTCACGGCCTTAAAAACGCAGGACTTTCTCTTTTTGGATTCAAATCTAACCATGTCTTCGTCCGCAGATCTTAGCTTTGGTTGCCGTTCGTAAAGCGATGGACTACGTGTTCTCCCAGCACGACCTGAGCTACCTGGACGACGTCATCCCAGAGAAAGACAAGAAGAAGAAGGAGGATGAGAAGAAAAAGAAAGGAAAGAAGAAGGGCAGCATTGACAGTGAAATGGAATTTGTAAGTTTGCTTTGCACGCTAAAATCCATCGTGTCATGTGACTGTGTTTCACCTCCTGTAGATGTAAGTGTTTAATGTTCTCCCTCCCTCCTCCTCCTACAGTCTGACTACCCCTACCATGACAATATCCCCAGTATAAAAATCTCTATGGATATGATGGAGCAGGAGCCCATGTTGGGGGATAAATCTGTGGCTAGTGAGTACGAGTGAGAGCCTGAGCCCAAACTAAGCCTCTCAGGGCGCTTCGAGCTCACACTTCTCTCCTACTGTTCTTGTTTTCTTTCATTCAATCACAAAATTGACACTTGCAATAATCAGTCATGATATCTGACGGTTCAACTCTGCTCTATCCTGACTTAAAAGCAGCTTCTGATGCTTGCTTTCTCTCCCTTTCTGCACTTTCAGTGATTGTGAATTTTAAAAGCTCATCTTCTTTCCTTTTTTACCCTCTAGGAGATGAATCCAAGACTTTCCTTAACACGCATTCGCCGTGCTGAGCACTACTTTGAGTCTCCCACTGTGGCCGAGTGAGTGAGTACCAGCTGGCATTCATTTCACATATTCTCTCTAGAAAGGAAAGTGATTCATGCAGCATGAATTTTGACTCCCTCGCTGTCTTATTTACATCTTCTTTTCCTCTCCTCTCTCTCCCAGACTTGAAAAAGGCGGCTACACAAAAGGTTCGCCTCAGATTCGCATAGACAGGGACTCGGAGGAGAACGGTTTCGCTTGGAAGAAGAGCTCTGAAACCGATCTGTGAATGAATAATCCAAAGATGCAACCAAACCAGCGCAGCATAGCAAACAATAACCCGTCCTCTTTTGTATGATAGTATTTTTCTCAACGCTCCTCCTGTGAGGATTGAAATCAAAACATCTGGAAGTATTTTGTCTTAAACACTTTTGTGGTACTGAATTTTAATGAGGGCTGACACAGGATACGTTTGAGTATTCTTTATCCGTCCCTGGACAACAAAAGGGCTACTTAAGGTCATCTTTCTGCAGTTTTTATGCAAAATTAATATATTATGAGTGTGTTCGCTTATTATTTATAACAAGCGTCCAGCCAAAGACGTTAAATAATGAAAGATACCCTGGAAAAAAAATCGGATTTTAGATTGCAGATGTTTTAAATTCACTTTGTAAATACCAGAAGTTTCCCAATTTTTATAATAACCATCTCCAGCGTTAACCAGTCTGTCTTTTAATTGTTTAATTTTAACTGTTTGTATTTAAAATAGTCGGACGTTTGAGTCACAACTACTGGTATGACGGGGATTAAGAGTGCATTTGCTTTTCTTGTAGTGAACAAAAGGTCGTCCGTGATCCCCTCACAGGCTGACATTAATTTTAAATCAAAGGGCATATCACTAATTAATAATCAAGCATCTATCAAAGGCTGCATATTCAGAGTCGACTTGACAACGTCAGAATCAAAGACTGGAACTTCTGTTTTGTTTCCTCCTCGTTTTTTTTCCATATTTATTGTATCTAAACTCTCACGTGGAACAATCTGAATCAGGAGTTCGATATCTGGTGTGTATCCACTCGGCTGTCTCTACCCTGTTTTAGGGAGCTTTAGATGTATCATACCTGTTTGTAGCTCTACCTCTTATATTTTTCTGTAGGTGCCAGGCATTATACGGTCAAAACTTCATTTTTTTTTTGTGCAATTCTCCGTGATCAAACACTGATTTGTTTTTCTTAACTGGCACTGCGTAAGATCTCTGAATCTTCACTTTTTTTTTTTTTTCCCTCTGTGACACTTAAGATATTGCGTTCTGTGTTTGTCGGATCATTATGAACTAATCATGTGTAATTCTGCCGCGTTTTCAAGGGCTAATCTACCAAAAATTCACGTCTTATTTTAAATTATTCTCGATCACTGCTAAGAAGGATTTTAAAACCAAAAATGCGTAACCTTATCGTAAAGCAGCGTCTATTTTTTTTTGTTATATGTAATGAAGTTGGGTGTTTGATATTTTCACGCGCTTGACCGTAGATCCTCAAAGTCTGAGATAAATCGTGATCATATTTAAAAGCTTTTAATGTGAAAAACTCTCAGATTTTGAGTTTTTTTTAAGCATGTAATGAGTGAGTGTGTGCGTTTTTTTTTTTTTTTTTTTTTAATGTAAATCAACAATCACTGTGAGGCTATGCAATGTTGTGAAGAACTGCTTTATACTGTACAGGGTTGAAAAACGTGTTTGTGCAGCAGCTTCTCTGTGAAACGGACAGTTTTCATCATCATCATAATTTTAAACCCATTTAGTGACAGCGTGATTAGCATCCTTAAATTTTCTTTATTTACTCCAATGACTTGATCACACTCCTGTTGCTGATTGAATTATGAAACTGATTCAGTCGATTTTTAGACTATTTTCGTGTATATCTGAATGTAACACATCTCAATCACTTTAAATGTACATGTGTATATATGATATATATATTCCTTGATGGAAAGACATGAAAAATCACTGCCGTTTCTGATTAAACATGATAACGAGGGCTCTAGGTGTCAATTCCTAAAATCACTCATATCAGGAAAATGTGAAGCTCGAGACTGTTGAGAACCAAAAACTCAAAATCCACATGGTCTTCCACTTGATGTGATCTGTATATCTTGATTGTTGGCTTCCTAATTCCACAATAAATGTAATGTTTTTGATGTTTCTAACCCTGAAATTGATTTTATACAAATATCTGAATAATAGTTCAATAATCATAGGCTACTCTGAAGGAGACAGAAGTTTGAGTGTGTTTTTTTTTTATGGACTAGTGTTTTGAATGAAAGCAATAAAACAGTCGATGATTCTTAAAAACACAAAGTCTGCGTTTCTTTTGTTAATTGTTGAACTAAGGAGGCTCAAATGTTTTTCATGGGTGAGAAATTTGGACTTCAGGCAGAACCATAGACTGTAAATACTCTGGACAACTTGGCTCCGCCTTCTGTCATCATTCGAATTTGAAGCTGAATTGCTGACGAATTTTGGGGGGATTTTTCTCCACTTCCTGGAACCAGCACTTGTGCAGTAGCATTATACACATTTGGTGGGAGAGTTGCTGTTATGACGCTCGGCTCAAACAGCGTATCCCAGCGTATCAGCGTGATCTATGCAATCTGCGAATGAACCCCCTAATAACTTTTAAAATAGGAGCTGTACAGAAAAAGAGGACTTGAACACAAAACAGTCTTACAGCAACTACATGTCAACATACCAAGCAGGAGGGAGAAAAATGTTTATTTTGTGGAATTTAGTTTTTAAAGTTTGTCCACAGCTCTATAGGGATTGCTGGAGGAGACGGGATTTATGACCTATACTGCAGCCCGTCACCAGAGGATGCTGTTCTCGCAGTGGCTTCAGCCAGCGAGGAGGCAGACTGCGTTCATTCTATATACAGTCTATGGGCAGCACCAGGACTCTTATACTACAGAGCCATACTATTGTAATACATGCAGAGCGCAGTTTGACATCATCTTGCTGAAATACGAAGCATTATCTGGATATCAGCATGTGTTGCCCCAGAACCTGTAGAAAGGTTCTACAAATTAGGCAAATTTGAAAAGATGTTTGGTGGCTAGTACTATGGCTGGGACCCTATATGTACCATTGATGAAGTTAGGTGCTGTTCTGAGCATTATTTGTGGCTATAGAGTGGCGTTTTGGTTGAGGTTTGTGGTCTGTGGTGTTTGACCATCACTTAAATTAATGATGGAATATCCCTTTAAATGAGTTTTCTTTTTGCATGGTGCAGTTTTAATCTTTATTTGTGGGTGCAACGCAAAACTATTTTCCCAATGCAGTGATTTACACTACAGAGCCATGTTGTAGTGGAAATCAATGTAATGCAGATCTCCTTCAGTTTAGTTCTGAATCTTGGCTTTCAAATATTTCAAATCCTTTTAAATTATAAAAAGTTTATTTTTTGTCAAACCGGCTCTGGATGTTGACTGGTAAAATTTTCCTTCGAGCTTTATACATATGATCAGCAATACATGAAATATATATTATTAATCAAAAACAAACATGTTGGTTAACAGGTCTAAGTGAGAGACCATACTCTGTAAAGCAAAGCTCCTGATAGCGTGTGGTGTTCAAACACAAACGTGTGTTTTTAAGGAGGTGATTTGGGTTTAATTCAAGCTCAGGTTTAAGCCTTGGGCCTCATCATCACAAATGTCTATCACAGCAGAGATGAAGGAAAGGTTGAATAGTTTCCATGATCACAGGATCGAAGTCAGCCGAACGGAGACAACTTGGCTCGTGACTTTGACTCAGTGTGTTCTTGACTTCGCTGAAGGGGAGAGGATTGGTAATAATTAACTTCCAGTTTGTGGTTAGAGAGGGATCAGTTTTTTTTTTTTTTCTGGCTGACTTGCTTTCCCCTAGTAGTGCAGGGGTGTGTCCAGAGAGATGGTGGTACTGCCCTCTTGAGATCTGAATGACCACCCCAAAATCTTAACCTATGATTGGCTATTTACCTTGTTAGAGGCAGGGATTTAAATGGACCAGAAAAGTCACCAAAAGCTGCTGTATTTGGTTTATGCTGCCTGATGAAAATTAGATAGGATCACAGTTCGCCCTTTCCCATGAAGCCTGTGGTTCCAGCGCTATTTCTGGGGTGGTTTAGAGATAGTTGTGTGAAACATTGAGGTACCTCTATAAATAAATGATCATTTTGAAAATCAGACTCATCTTTTAGTATCCTGGAGTTGAATGATTTATTCAATTCAATTTCAATTTCAATTCAATTATTTTATTCGATTAGCATTTAAAAATCCACCCACAACAGATACATAGTAAATTTCAAAAGCATCATAAAGCTAATTGAAAAGGTGTAGGCTGAAGCTCATGCTTATTAATACTGGCTGTGTGATTCGCATGCCAACCAGTGCTTTTCTTTGCACTTGGTCATGGAACATATTTCTGTTTTTGGTGCTTTAATTTGAAGGCAAATATTCACCACATCTATTTTTAAATTAAGGTACTCAAGAGAGGAATGCAATAACCAGAAAGAAGAAAAGAAAAAACTCCTGCACACTTGCTGCTAAAACCCATTTATTAGCAGCATTTTGGTCTAAGAAAGTTGTCAGTGACAAAGTTTTGGGGGTTTTCTTTCTACTTTCAGCTTCTTCTTCATTCTATAAAAAAATAACATATTTCAATTTTTCCTTTTTGATGTGATATTCATTTATTTCTTGGCTTTTAACCCTGCATGAGACTCGGCTCCTGTTTTAGTGTTTTATGGTTTGTTTTTAGTTATTTCTTTCTATGTTTTTAAATTAGTTTTTAAAAACATTGAAACTATATTTTACTTTTAATTCTGCTTTTATTTTATTCATTGTTTTAATTGTTTTTTTTTAAAATTGTTTTTTATCTTATTGTTTTGTCTAGTTATGTACAGCACTTTGTTCAGCTGTGGTTGTTTTAAAGTGCCTGTCCTTCTGAGCGAGAACAGACTGATCATCCAGCAGGTATGAGCGAATGAATTTATCTCTGATTTTAAACAAGAACAAATACTGATGTTCACGTAACATCCTGAGCTTTGTTGTTTAGTTAATGACCTTAATGACTTCTTAGGTCGCCAATGCTCTGGATCATTTGAAGACCATCGGTATGATCCACGCAGACCTTAAGCTGGACAACGTCATGCTGGTGGACCATCAGCATCAGCCCTACAGAGTCAAAGTGATTGACTTTGGTCTTGCAGAAGATGTGTCAGCAACAAGACTGGGCTCATGCATCCAGACCCGTCCATACAGGTAAGGAACCAGAACCACGTCTGATATCTCAGCTGCTTATTGGGGGCTTGCACATCAACACATACTTATGTTTTGTTGGAGGATTTGCTGCATTATTTGTAGAATTAATGTGTGATATATCTTTATGTATACATCTATCATGTTTTTTTGTCCTCTCATAGATCTCCAGAGATTCTTTTGGGGCTTCCCTACACAGAGGCCATCGACATGTGGTCTCTGGGTGTCATGGCTGCCAGCATGTATCTTGGCACTTTTCTGTATCCTGGTCGGAGTGAATTTGATATGGTACTTTAAGTTTACTGTTTCTTTCTCAGAACAGAGTTTCATGTGACTGAAATAATCATCAAGAATCAGCTTTTAATTTGTATTTTTTCTCTAAACTCCTCACTTAATAACCTTTTCACATCAATGTGTGTTTAATTGAAACATATTTTTTAATCTTTTAATTAATTTATTCTTTTATGAAGAATTTTTCCTCTTCACTTTGATGTCACCATGTAACTTCTTGTTGTGCTGCATTTTCAGATGAGGTTCATTGTTGAGACTCAGGGTCCACCACCAGACAACCTGCTCAACCAGGGGCTCAATACATACAAGTTTTTCCAGAGAGTTAACCAGCCCGACTGTCAATGGAAAATCAAAGTACCTAACACTAACTCTTACCCTACACTTTACCAGTAGCCAGTCACATTTTTCTTAAATATGGGTGTTGATTTGGAGGCATTATTGTGTCTGGTTGGCTATGAAGGTTTCCAGGTGTGTCAAAGTTAAACATAGTCTTGTTTTTTGCCAAGTATTAGTTTTCTGGGATATAGCTCAGGTGAAGAAAGCATGAACCGTTCAACTGATTTATGCAAGTTGCTAGAACATGCTTCAGTCATTTTTAGGTTTTCTTTATGCAATGCCACTGAATGTAAACAAATACGATATACTGAGCATTTTGAAACAGTCACCACCAGAGAAGCTGGAGTGTTGAGGGACAGTTTTTGTAGCCTAGCCAGAGTAAACGCAGACACAGCCCTAAATATCAGTGTATTGTGACAGATGTGCATAAATGAAGCTCTTTCTGTTCTTCTACTAGTGACAGTAATTTAAGGGCAGTAATGCTCTGACTTTAAATATGACCACATTTGAAATACCTCAGACACCTTGATAGATATTGTCCCTTACACGTCTTGTACAAAACTAACTACCCCTGAATGTAGCAGCTAACAAACACACTTTTTTTTAGAACTTGAAGGCGTACTTCCAGGAGACAGGGATCAGGGCAAGAGAGACCAGAAGGTTCTTCTTAAACTCTCTGGATGAACTTCTGAATGTACGTACTTTTGTTTTTGTCATTGATTCAAAAAAATTATTTGAAAAACTATTTGAGTTTTTGTTGATTTTTTTGGTGATAAAAGTAACACCCCTGACTGTGGTTGTCTTTGTCCTCTCTACAGATTCGAAGTTTAAAGTCTGACACTCCTGCAGACAGAGTTCTGGAGATGTGGGACAAGGAGGATTTTCTAGACATGCTGAAGGGAATGCTCCAGCTTGATGCAGCCGAAAGACTGACACCCTGTCAGGTGCTGGAGCATCCCTTCATCACCATGAGTGACCTCACCGGCAGGATTCCCTACACGTCTTAGTAAATGGAGACAAAAATTCTTCAACATTCAGAGTTATTAGTACCTCTTCTGGCGAATGTTTGCAGGAAATACCTCACTTCTCCAGATCATGTTTCTGTAATAGATGATTTGTGTCTGCATTACTTATACTTTCTCTAATTCACATCATCAGTGAATAAGTCTGATTGATTATTTGTTGTCCTGCAGTGTTATTTCATCTTTGGAGACCATGGCTGCCATTAGAAACAGCAGTCCAGGCTCCAACAGTGAGAATGCTGGGGGGTCTTCACAGCCTTCCCCCGCTAGCAAACCTCAACCCTCCGAGCAGAGCAGTTCTGCTTCTCCTGGTGGTAGCAGCAGCAGCCTTGACTGGTCACAGTCCCCCATCAACCCTTATCTTCACACTCCTTCCTCATCATCAAGTGGAGGCCAGAAAGGGAGAAAAAGAAAGCTTGATGACGTTGATGGAAGCTCGGACGAGACCTGCAAGTCTCCAAAAAGAGTGAAGTCTGGGCACAGGTGGGATAATCTACATCAGTCACATTCTTATCAACCGGTTCACAAAACAAATCTAAGGACTTTAGAGGTTGATTAAAACATTTCTGGTCTTTTTGCATCATAATAATTTAACCTCTTTGATAAAATTACAGTGAGACACCTGCCTGCCCGTCCGCCTCCTGCAGCAGCCAGCATGGAGCTGACAAGGCCCAGATGATCACTCCTAAGAGGGACCAGCCTGTTCCTCCTCATCCGAATGACCACAACACAACCCGTCATTCGAGCTTGAGTCAGGCTAAAGTCAAGGACAGATCAGGACTCAAAAGAAAGGCAGCTCGAGATGAGGATGAGGATGAACTTGGTCAGAGATCAGCAAAAAGGAGAAGGAGTTTGTAGGTGGTTCAGGTGAGCTGATATAAGCAACACACAATGTGTAATGCATTTTCTAGTTTGAAACAAAAACATACCATGACATGCTGTCAACCACAACAACACATGAGTGTGTCTAACAAGTCATTGTTGACTTCCAGATCCACAGGAGGGGACTGAACCTGAGCAGTACCACCACAGTGGAGTTTGTGACAGCTGAACAACAACCTCCATCTGGCTACCTTAAGAAGCAACAGTCCAGGCTGCAACAGTGAGAATGTTGGGGGGTCTTCACAGCCGCCTTCCCCTACAGCAAACCTCAACCCTCCCAAAATAACTGTCCTGCTTCATCTGCTGGTAGCAGCAGCAGCCTTGACCAGTCACGGTCCACCATCAACCCTCATCTTCACACTCCTTCCTCATCAACAAGCGGAGGCAAGACAAGGAGAAAATGAAAGCTTGATGACGTTGATGGAAGCTCGGACAAAACCTGCAGTTGTCCTAAAAAAGTGAAGTCTGGGTACAGGTAGGATAATCTACATCAGTCACGTTGTTATCAACTAGTTTTAATCGAATCTGAAAACTTTAGAGGTTGATGGAAACTTTTCTGGTCTTTCTGCATCATGATGATTTAACCTTTTTTTTTAAAAAATCAAATTACAGCAAAAATACCTGCATGCCAGTCGACCTCCTGCAGCAGCCAGCATGCAACAGATATTGCCCAGACTATCACTCCTTTGAGGGACCACCATGTTCATCCTGTTCAGCAGAACACCGATACTCAAGTGAGAAAGAGGAAGCGAGCCAGATCAGGAAATGGATTTCAACAAACTGATGCAGAAATTCCTCAAACTGACCACAACGCAAATCCTCATCTGAGCTTGAGTCAGGCTGAAGTCCAGGGCCAATCAGGACTCAAAAGAAAGGCGGCTCAAGATGAAGATGAACTTGGTCAAAGAAGAAAAGAAAAGAAAAGAAAAGGAGTTTGTAGATGGTTCAGGTGAGTCGATATAGTCAACACACAATGCGTAATGCATTTTCTAGTTTGAAACAAGAACATGCTTTAAACCACAACAACACATGAGTGTGTCTAACAAGTCATTGTTGACTTCCAGATCCACAGGAGGGGACTGAGCCTGAGCAGTACCACCACAGTGGAGTTTGTGACAGCTGAACAGCAACCTCCATCTGGCTACCTTAAGAAACAACAGTCCAGGCTGCAACAGTGAGAATGCTGGGGGGTCTTCACAGCCGCCTTCCCCTACAGCAAACCTCAACCCTCCCGCAGAACTGTCCTGCTTCAGCTGCTGGAAGCAGCAGGAACCTTGACCAGTCACGCCCCACCATTAACCCTCATCCTCACACTCCTTGTTCATCAACATGTGGAGGCAAGTCAACTTTTCTGGTCTTTCTGCATCATAATGATTTAACTTTTTTTTTATTAAATTACAGCAAAAATACCTGCATGCCAGTCGACCTCCTGCAGCAGCCAGCATGCAACAGATATTGCCCAGACCATCACACCTTTGAAGGACCACCATGTTCATCCTGTTCAGCAGAACACCGATACTCAAGAGAGGAAGAGGAAGAGAGCCAGATCAGGAAATGGCTTTCAACAAACTGATCCAGATGGTTCAGGTGAGTCGATATAGTCAACACATAATGTGCAATGCATTTTCTAGTTTGAAACAAGAACATGCTGTCAACCACAACAACACATGAGTGTGTCTAACAAGTCATTGTTGACTTCCAGAACCACAGGAGGGGACTGAACCTGAGCAGTACTACCACAGTGGAGTTCGTGACAGCTGAACAACAACCTCCATCTGCTGTTTTTGTAAAGTGTTTGGAGAAGATGCAATGACCTGATGCTGTGAATTTAAAATGTGTTTCAATTTGATGTGTTGAAAGAAACCTGCTTTCAGCTGGACAGGAGTTGTTTCCAACAGAGAGACAATTGTTACTGTGGTTCAATATTTAATGTGATTCAAATTCATTTTATCAAAAGTCATACTTTTGCCCGTATCAGAGACTAAAATGCTTTTTGACATCACACCTCTCTGTAAACTCTCACAGAGAGTCTCTTATTGTAGAGACACATTTTGTCACATCTTGAACACAAAACAAAAGGGAGGACCCGTGTCTAGAACTTAAAACGTTTTATCAAATTAAAATCAAAAGGAAAGGTCAGAAAAAAACATTCTTCTCAAAATGTCCAACTAAAAAAATCCAATGGAAAATACACAAGGATCAAAATCCCATGAAACCAAAACTCATTGGAAGACTGTAATGAAGGAGGAAAAATTGAGGAATTAAACTAGACTGGACACACAGGGATCAACTACTTCAAAATAAAGCAGGAAGTCACACCAACCCAGACATACAAGAGCAGGGGACTACAAAATAAAACAGAAAACATTGAAAATTGATCTAAAGAATAAAACACTGGGAACACGAGGAAAACAGGGTCAAAGACAAACTGAAAACTCACAAAACGGGATCACAGGGGAGAGAAACACTAAGGAAAATACAAAGAAAATACGACTAAATCACAAAACCAGGAAAAAACTAAACTAACATGAACATAAAATGACACGTCTGTCATTTCTGTTGTGGTGAATTGCTGCAGTGATCATTTGCAAAGCAAGGTCTAGTGAACTGAATGGGGTCTAAGTGTGAATGGGACCAGTGGAGACTAATAAAACTAACTTAGCTGGGTCATTCAAAAAATGAGAAATCTGCTGTAGGAAAAGGCTGTATCTGAAATGTACATTCATGACCGGCCTACATATATAGGATATTAGCATAAATTAAATGGTTACTTACATCTTCGTTTAGAGCTAATTACGCTGCTCTACCCCACTCTCTGTAAATCGACCTTATTGCAAAGAACAAAGTCACAAACTTATTAAGTGACATTTTTACCAGTTGGTGATTATTAAGAAGCTTTATCACTCTTAATTTTTGGTGATTGTTCAACATTTTCTCCTCTGAATGACCCAGAAATAATAACTCCATACTGTACATGGGTTCATCATGATGTTGATACTGCTATATTAAAATATTCTAAATGTTAAATCACTCTGGTCTGCTCATGGCTCAAGGAACAGATTTTCCAGCATTTGGTGTGTTTATATTTTCAACCATGTGTCCATATGGGGCCACCGTAGACCGCAGCACAGCAGTAGCTGTTGCTTCAAGATGGCTGAGGGTCATACTTATTGTAAGATTGTCTAATGCAATATTCAACAATATTGTGGTATGTTGGGTTTTCTTTCATATCAATCAGGTCTGCTTGTTACTCGGGCTGGTTAATTAATTAAATTATCTGACGTCTTCTGCGGATATAAACGATTTCTGCCGACTTTGCAGAGTCAACTGCAGAATTAACGGCGCTCTGAATGAATGGGGCTTTTTTTTTATTTTTTTATTATTATTATTGACACATATTAACAGTACAAATACAAACCAAAGGACAAAAGATAATCACAAAACAATATTATAGGCATATGAACGGGGCTTTGAAAAGTCCCGCAGCATGTGTTAGACGTCACCATCTACACATGGACCAATCAGGGGCTGCCTTTCCCTGTTGTCCGGGTAACAGTGGAATCACGGTCTCTGATTGGACGGTTATTTTCTGATCGGGAATACACGCTCCCAATGGGCCGAAGTCCAGACTGTTGTGGGAAGGAACGGCAAGTGATTCACGCAACAGGATGGCCCAGCCAGGCTATTAATCTTGGCCTCTAGAGGGCAGTATAGTGATCCTTTTTAAAAAACAAACATACATGTTTAATGTTCAGCGTGTAAAAAAAAAAACAGAACTGCAGATTTAAGAAAACATGAGAAACAAGATATAAAAAACACTCAGAGCAGTTGTTGGAAAACCCCTTTTTTATACATCAGAAACATCAGAGAGACTCAAAAAGTTATGATGGAGTAAAGATACAATCCATTTTTGAACTTAAATAAGTCTCGCAGAGGCACACACAGACCCAGTTTCATAACTGATCAAGTCAAAATGTTCATTCTTACTGCTGACATGCCAATAGATTAAGTATTTTTGATTAAATCCTGTATATATATTTAAGTATAACTTCTCAAGATGCTCCATGTTCTTTGTTTTACTGCTGCTCTTTTGATCTGTGCCCTCAAAACCAGCAGAAGGCAAACTGTAGCCTGAAAATTAAGACTTTTTCCTTATTGATCTACATCTTTATAAACACTGTATCAAAAATGATGATTACAAGAAGGTGGGCAACACACACAGTGCTCTACTATCTGGTTTTTAACCCCTTACTGTCATGTCTTATAAGTTTCCTTTTACTTTTGTTAATTTATTGGTTAAGTTTCCTTTTATTTTTACACATTTATGTTTTGTTCGTGTCATGCATTTTCCTGTTTTATTTTGTAGTTCACTTTTTCTTGTTTCTGTCTTCCTGTCTGGTCTTCCCTATCCCTGTCTCATCATACCTGCTACCTGATTGTGTCTCCTCACCTGTTACCCATCATCCTCATTACCTCTTGTATTTCACCTTGTGTGTCTTGTCGTCTCCCCGCCAGTTCATTGTACCTTGGGTTTCGTTCCAGCATTATTCACAGTTATAGTCGAGCCGTCACTTACCTTTGCCTCACGTTTTGGATACTTCTGCCTGATCTGACTGCCTCTTTGTGTACCGACCTCTGCCTCTGCTTCATTAAACCCTGTCTGTTGGACAAACAGATTCGTTGTCTCACCGTTGTGTCCTCCTTTCTGTGCCTCGTTTCATGACCTTTACAGCTTCAACACTCTCAAAGTGTTAGTTACAGACTGGATATCTCCTCCAGGACGTGACCTCTGTTGGTCATTATGATGTCCAGTGAAAGTCCAACTTTAGTTTAAGTTCATTTGTCATTTCACCGACAAAAGCAGACAATCCTTATTTTCCATTCAGGAGTTTTTGACAGTTGAACAGTTCACTTTCTACTTCATAAGGGATCGTCACATAGACTTGTTAATGAGAATTTCTATTTTTATGACACACGTCTGACTGTGTCTTGGCACCCAGAGTGTCAGTTAATTAACGATTGATTCTCTGCTCTACATCTGCAGGAAAATGGAGTCACAGATTTTGATCTGTTTGCTGCAGTGATGCTGTGATTTTACTGCTGATACAATGTGTTGAAAAAAAAACAAACAGCTGGGAATGTTAACAACGTGCATACAAAAGACAAATGAATGTGTGAAAAATTAGTCTTAATTGTGTCATGTTGTGTTTATTTAGTTTTCTCCTATTTTTTTGAGTGCATTTGTGTATTTTGACACTGTTTCCCTCCTGTTCTCTGTGTTTTGTATATTGTATTATATCGTATCGTATTGTATCGTATTGTATCGTATCATATCGTATCGTATCGTGTCATGTCGTATCGTGTTAAGTCAAGTCGACCTATTCCACATAATCCTGAATCTTTGAGTCCCTAGTCTCCTTCTGTTTTTTTTCCCCCAGTATCACTTTTTTGTTTCTTGGTTGGACATTTTAAAGTCAGCTTTTGTTGACTTTCATTTAGCTCTTCTTAATAAATCCTTTTTTTGTTTGCATTTTTGGGTCCTTTTCCTTTGTTTTGTGTACCATTCATGATACATTGTCTCTGAGGAGGAGCTTTCACTAATTGGGAGGGGAAATGTGTAGCTGAGTATCTCGCAATGGTAACAAGTTGTTTATCTGCAGGGGCATCTATAAATTAGGGAGACCATACGTTCTCCTTAACCCGGACATGTCCTCTTTTTTGGGGGCTGTCCGGGAAGTTTATGAAATCCTTTAAATGTATGCGGTTTTGTACTAAGTTTTGAGTTTGTGTCACATGGACTTCCTGAGTTAGAAGCGCGTAAAAGACACTTGATCGGACCCGATAAACTCTCAAAATTAACTTCGTGCGACTCAGTGACTCCACCCCCACGTAGTTGTGTCCTCTTTTTGGGAAGTCAGAATATAGTCACCCTACTATAGATTAAAGAAGAGTGGGCCAAGGATTGACCCCTGTGGAACCCCAGAGACAACTTCTGATTCTGCAGACTTGAAGTCGCCTGTATTAAAACATCAAACTCTCTTTTACATAAAATGGAAACCAATCAAGAGCAGAACTTATCATGGCAACTGAGTCATGAAGACTCTGAATCCAAATTTAAGGTAAATAATATCAAAGCTAGGGTGACCATATGTCCTCTTTTACCCGGACATGTCCTCTTTTTGGGGGGCTGTCCGGCTTTGTCTGGGGAAGCTTATAAAATCCTTCAATTGGAGTTTGTGTCACGTGGACTTACTGAGTTAGAAGTGTGTAAAAGACGCTCGATCTGACTTGAAAAACTCTAAAAATTAACTTTGCGCAACTCTGTGACTTCGTCCCCGTGTTTTCGTGTCCTCTTTTTGGGAAGTCAGAATATAGTCATCCTAATCAAAGCAACTGACGGAGAATATGAACTTCACTAAATAGTGACTAACCGTGGTTTTTAATCCCTGGATGATATAGCGAACACATGTTGTTCCCACACAGACAGATCACTGCTGAATGTCTGGTTCAAACTAATGACCTCCCTGCCGTGTGGCTGTCAGTGCTTTTAATGAACCCACTTGTCCAAATCTAGACACTCACAAATTGTACTTTTGGTGTTCTGTTTAGAGACAGTGTGTATTTTTCATCACTTAATTCTACTTATATAACACATTTTTGCTTATCTGCTATTTTTAAGTTAACAACGGGTCTGTACATTCTTCAATAAGAATAAAACCAATCCAACAAAGTTTATTCTATTCCATTCTTTCTCTGGAGGT